TTTTAAAACAGGGACAACTTGGAAAAAAGCACGCCTCTCCGGCTGGGAGGGCCAAGGGGTGGTTAGCGGGCTTGGGGAATTCTCCGGTCGGTTCGTTCGGTAGCGGGGCCAACAAACAGCAGGACTCCCATGCGTTTTATCCTGTCCTCGCCCGGAAGTGGGTGGGGGGCCCCTTTTTTCGCCTTTTGGGGAAAGACCTCAAATTTATGGCCTCCACGGGTTTTTGTGCTATGGGCCAGCAGAGCCCCTGTGGCCCGGCAGGGCTTTGCTTCCCATCAGCCCAGCCCGGCAGTGGCCGTCTTGTAAAGCTGCATTCCACCGGACATTTTCCAGCCCTGCGGGGTCAGCAAAATCGCTTTTACTGATCCCACAGCTCGGTCAGCAAAATCGCTTGTACTGATCCCACAGACGGGTCAATCTTGAATTTATATTGTCTGCTAGCCTGGTCTGCTGGAACTTCGGCAGCGATGGCCTCTCGAAGCCCGTCAACCAATAGCATTTGCCGATTTCAGATGTGACACACAGGGGCGTTTGCTGCTCGTTGCCGGGATCTTCCTTCGTGGGTTTCTCGCTGACGCCTAGGGAGCATCCCCGGGCAAAATACACCATGATCCTCCAAGAAGCTATCAGATAGAATTCAGCTCTCAGCTCTCTTTGGTCATTCTTGACGTCCGTCTCCCATCGACCCAAGACCTTGGGTGATCGAACCATGACGGGTATTATCACTCTTGGCGGTCAACTGGTCGCAAGGCCAAATCCAATATTGGCTGGGGGTGGAGATGGCACGCTATAATTGAGTGGGCCTGTTGGGCATGGCCCGGGGGGTTCACACATCGCAACTCTGTGGCTTTATTCTCTTCTACCTTATATTTCTTACTGAGGTGAGGCGGGAAGAATGGGGAGGGTGCTAACCTACCGGAAGAAGAAAGACGGGGCGTTGATGTGTGAGAGAGTGATGATGGATGAATTGGTTGCTTTGATATACACTTTTTTTCAATACTTGATACCTATTTTTTTTTCTTTTTTCTTTTGTGCATTTTACAGTTTGCATTACGATTGACGGTGTTTTTTGTTTTGCTTTGTGATGACATGAGAGATGAGGATTGAGCTTGGAGGGCTTGAGCATGGTGGTGGGTTGTGGTTATGAGATGATATTGTTGTAGTTTTGCATTTGTTTTGTAGCGATTTTCAACTTTGATGGTATGATTGCATGTAACGAATGGGGTGGGTGTTGTGATTCGGGGTTGGGGATTTTGTGTGACTTGGGTGCTGAGCGAGGGAATGGCGTTTGGATTGTTCTTTTGTGACTGAGGGGTATAGACATGGTGCTTGAGGAGTATGGACATGCATGGCATTTGAGGAGTATTCTTCCTGGAAACTTCAAGGGCAAGAAGTCTTCGGGAGACGGACTGATGCAATAAGGTACAGCAGAGGCAACGAGTGATAGTTTGAAGGGCACGCGCAAGTAGTACCTAGCATGCTGTGGACGACATTGCAAAAGTTCTGAACCATACCTAAAATATGGCTACTAGGCCTCGAAATGACCAGTAGGTCTTGAGAGATAGTCGATAGGCCTGAGGGAGTAGTCAAAAGGCCTATTCCCTGTTTAAAAGGTAGAAGTCAACGGTTATCATACGTCTTACTTACTTGTAGTACCAGTTATTTTGTCGACGACGCGTGCCTAGGTAGGTAGGTACCTTGGGAAATAATCTTGACCAGTTGAAATATAGAGCCAAAATATCAGGCTCAGAGTTTACGAGAGCTGTGTGTGCGTGCGTCAAAGAGGGTGTTTCATCTTGCTGAAGTTTGTTGTGATTTGTCAAGGTAAACGAAAGGATTAGTTAGGTACTTGGGAAAGCATTGATGCGTGGTCAAGAGAACAGACAAATGTACCCCCTTCTTCTGTCCACGTAGCTGCAGCAAACTTGGTGAAGCTCGATGTTACACCTTAAACCAACAGCATCAGTTAACTTTTATAAGGCTGAGCTTCATGTCTTTGAAGGTGCTGTGCCTGGCAGATCCTGGACTGGTCTAGCCCCCCGTTGGCCTCGTGGGAAAGGGAACCAAGAGAAAAATCGTACGATTCTGATGTCAGTGGGGCCTGGTTCTTCTGCTGACCTGCCTTCCCGTCGGGTCGGATCGACCTGTCAAGATTCGGCAGTGGCTTCCGATCTGCTTGGATTGCTTGCTTGCAGATAGATGTGCAGAAGGGCATGGTTCGCAGTCTTAAGAGTACGGCGTATGTTTAGGCATGTTGGTGTGGAGGGATTAGAGGTACACCTCGCGGTGGAGGAAGCAGGAGGGGGGTGTGTGGTTGGACACTAGATATGTCTGGCAAATTATGGACATTACCAACGGTATACATAGACATGATCGAGATGGATGGTCCTACAATCACTGGACTGGAGGTTCATGATTCATCACGAAGAGGTAAACAGCCTGGGACCACATCACGATGGCCATTGTCCCATGTGGCTAGTCTTGTGGTCCGTGATGGCGGCAAGGTTTCTCCAGTGCGGAGCGGCCCGGTGACGACTCTATTCTTGGAGACAAGGGTCTTTTGTGTTGACGACAGTGTTTGTCGCGATGGTGAGGTGGCATGTGATTTATCCAAAAGCATATCTGGCTGTCGATGGCCGAGTGGTGACAACACTACAATACCCACCACTGATAACACCGAGAGAGCCATACAGCTGCCACATCTGCATCTCAAGATGAATGTGACGGCGTGACCTATTCCTGATAGGCCATCTCTGAGGCCTGCTTGAACACAAAGGAAGGAAGATCTTCTTATCAAGAGAGGCCAACGTCTCAAAACCGAGCGGGAGAATATCACCGAGCGGCGACTTCACTCGGGAGTTGAGAGTCTCCAGACCACGAGGCCGGACAGATGGAAACCGGGAATTGTCGGCCACTACAAATGTTGTTGACCAGCCGAGTCAGTGTTGAAACTCGTCGTGTTGACGGATCCCTGAGCACAACCAAAACACGGAAACGCCTGGGGAGAGAGATGGAAAAGACCAGAAATGATGAAAGTCTAGTCCGCAAAGGGCAATTCCTGGGCGGACAAGATGTTGGGGATCTGCGGGTCCGACTCCGGTCTTTTGCGCTAACAATTTCCTGTCGATCAAAGGGACCCGGGGGTTCCGGCATAACTCGAGGGACGACGGGAACTCAACAATTGGGGCATCTTTCACCCACAGTTGATTGCCACTTTCCCAGTCCCAACACTGGTCATTAAATTTCACGATTCTTGCAGTGGCTGGGCGTGTGTCTGTCCTCTTGGGTTGAGGGAGAGTTTTGAGGGACGAGTTACTGGCTCTGTCTGTGGCTGTTGAAGACTTGAAGCGTGAAGTGTGATCCAAAAATCAAAATGCCATCTTCGGCGGTCCGCTGTCAGCCAGCCAGCCATGACCGCCCAGAAAACCCTTCCCTGGGGTCGGTTCCACCAGGCTGAGATCGAACCAGGGGCCGGCCCCGAGTGCCCAAGGGCACAGACCATCTGGGCCAGTTGCAAAAGGGTTGAACCGATCGGGGTTGGTTGTTGAGGGCTGCTGGTCTCTTTGTTAGTGCATGCCTCGGACCAAAGTACCCTGCAGGCTGATTTCCAAAGGGGAGACGGAAACAGAAACGGCACAAATGGGAATTTGGGAAAGTAGGCTCGAGAGATCGTAGATACGAAATCGTCGATGAAGGGATTCGGACACCATCTGGCGTTGCCCCGAGCGCCGAAGCGGCATCGTCGGCGAAACATTGAACCCCAAATCCGCCGTGTGCTGCGCCGGGGCTGACATGAAGGTGTCCATGCGGCTGGGTTGAAGACCGGGAGTCTCGGGCAGTGGCATGGCAGAGAAGGATGCAGGAACAGGAACAGGAATGCCAATCTGGGGACGGGAGATGGGGAAAGCAGAGGCTTGAAATAGAGAGAAGCATAGAAACCTGGAAGGCAATGCCGCCGTCGGTGTTGCTCCAAGTCAAGCGACGACGCGAAATGTACCTAGGGTGTCCCATGAGTGTCTTCGGTGATATCAAAAGCTTAACGGAGGTACATCTCTTGAACCCCGAGCCCACGGTGGAAGGGCACTTGTTCTGCGGGCTGACGTTGCTGCTGCTGGATGCCCCGGCAAGCGGGCAGACGGCGTGCTGTGTGTGGCCTTTTGGGAGTTTCCCCAACATGTCGGCTCGGTCGTCGGCGGTGTGAGCGATGATTGGCTTGATTCGACCGAGTTCAGATGTCACTGAGAGGCTCGGCGCGGGAAGCAAAGGGACGGAGCCACGGGCACGCAGGGGGTGCGAGGGGTGAAAAAAAAAAGTTACAGTGGAAAGTGCAGTGGTCGGTGGTGGTCTGGGTGTGTGGTGGGCGCTGGGTTGCTCGGATGCGGATGGCTCCAATTTTGGGGTCCCCACATCCCACCTTTCCCACCAAGCCCCGGGCCCCGGCTGTCAACCAGAATGTTTAGAACAGGGACGAACAACGTCTCGCCAGAAACCCAAACTCGACCCATTCATCTACGGACAACTCCTCCCCTCATCCCCCCCGAAGTAAGGACTTCTCCCTTCCCTTCTTCTCTCTTCTCCATTCCTTCTGGATCTGCTTCCCCTCCCTTCGCTCCTTGCCTGGTCTGCATCAACCTTGGGAGCTCCCTCGGCCGACCCCCCCCCCCTCTTCTCTTCGTCCCTCACCTCGTCTGTTCTGCTGCATTCTATTGCACTTATCACCATCGTAATATTTTGATTGTGGTCTGATAAACAGATATCTAGATCCCTTGCAGCAAAGGAGTAGGAGTAGGATAAGGATATACCGGTCCACATATCCAGGTTCGTTCGGACTCCACGGATACAAATCAGCAGCCCAATCGCCAAGCATAGAGTTTCGCTGACACCGGGGCATCCGCCAGTTCCAGTTCCCAGCACAGCACAGCAGACACCGCCGCCTGCCAGCATCATCCCCCTCCACCCCTTTCCTCTTATCGGCGTCTGGTTTGGGAAAATATCCGATTGCCTGTGCCGACCTGCTCTGCTCGACAAACGCTTCACACCGCCTGGCGCTACACCACGTTACGTACTTTAATGATCGAGTAGACGACCTCTTCTCTTATTTTCGAACGAATTCCCCGCCAGATCCCCAACAAACGAGTCTGCAACCCACCCCCCCAAAGCAGCAATCATGGGAGACACACCACGGAACGGCGTTATAGTGCCCAAGTCCAACGGCAAGGCTTCGTATGCCGAGAAGCACAAAATCGCCTCCCACTTCATTGGCGGCAACCGGCTGGAAAATGCCCCGCCGTCCAAGGTGAAGGACTTTGTCGCTAACCACGACGGTCACACCGTCATTACAAATGTGAGTGCTAGCCTGATACTTTTTGACCGAGAAAACACTTCTAACTCTCTTGTTCACAGGTATTGATCGCCAACAACGGTATCGCCGCCGTCAAGGAGATCAGATCAGTGCGAAAATGGGCCTACGAGACGTTTGGCGACGAGCGGGCCATCAAGTTCACCGTGATGGCCACGCCAGAAGATTTGCAAGCAAACGCCGACTACATCCGTATGGCTGACCATTACGTTGAGGTTCCCGGCGGCACAAACAACCACAACTATGCCAATGTCGAGCTTATTGTTGACATTGCGGAGCGTATGGACGTACACGCCGTGTGGGCAGGCTGGGGTCACGCTTCGGAAAACCCCAAGCTTCCAGAGTCCCTCGCCGCGTCACCAAAGAAGATTGTGTTCATCGGTCCTCCGGGCTCTGCCATGCGCTCGCTCGGTGACAAGATCTCTTCCACCATTGTAGCTCAGCACGCCGATGTGCCATGTATTCCATGGTCTGGTACTGGCGTTTCCCAAGTGAGTGTGGACGAGGATGGCATCGTCACAGTTCCAGATGATGTCTACCTCAAGGGCTGCGTGAGCTCGTGGCAAGAGGGCTTGGAGAAGGCGAAGGAGATTGGTTTCCCAGTAATGGTCAAGGCCTCTGAGGGTGGTGGTGGTAAGGGTATTCGCAAGGTCGTCAACGAGGAGACCTTCGAGGAGCTTTACAAGGCGGCGGCGAGCGAGATCCCCGGCTCTCCCATTTTCGTCATGAAGTTGGCCGACAGTGCGAGACATTTGGAGGTTCAATTGCTTGCTGATCAGTACGGCAACAACATTTCGCTGTTTGGCAGAGATTGCTCGGTCCAACGCAGACATCAAAAGATTATCGAAGAGGCCCCCGTCACCATTGCCAAGCCAAACACGTTCAAGGCCATGGAGGAGGCTGCCGTTCGCCTCGGCAAGCTTGTCGGTTACGTTTCCGCCGGTACCGTCGAGTATTTGTACTCCCATGCCGATGACAAGTTCTACTTCTTGGAGTTGAACCCTCGTCTCCAGGTCGAGCATCCTACGACCGAAATGGTCAGCGGTGTTAACCTCCCCGCTGCCCAGCTGCAGATCGCCATGGGTCTCCCACTTCACCGGATTCAGGACATCCGTTTGCTGTATGGTGTGGATCCCAAGACGGCTACCGAGATCGACTTCCAGTTTGCGAACCCTGAAAGTGAAAAGACCCAGCGTAGGCCAACGCCCAAGGGCCACACCACGGCCTGCCGTATCACCTCCGAGGATCCCGGTGAGGGCTTCAAGCCATCCAACGGTGTGCTCCACGACTTGAACTTCCGCTCCAGCTCCAACGTCTGGGGTTACTTCTCTGTCGGTTCCGCTGGTGGTATTCACAGCTTCTCCGACTCTCAGTTCGGTCACATTTTCGCCTACGGCGAGAACCGTGCTGCCTCCAGAAAGCACATGGTTGTGGCCCTGAAGGAGCTGAGCATCCGTGGTGACTTCCGTACTACTGTCGAGTACCTCATCAAGCTTCTCGAGACCGAGGCTTTCGAGGACAACACCATCACCACCGGCTGGCTTGATGAGTTGATTTCCAAGAAGCTCACTGCCGAGAGACCTGACCCTATGCTCGCTGTTGTCTGCGGTGCTGTCACCAAGGCTCACATTGCCAGCGAGAACTGCATTGCCGAATACAGAGCCGGTCTAGAGAAGGGCCAAGTCCCCTCCAAGGACATTCTCAAGACTGTCTTCCCTGTGGACTTCATCTATGAGGGCTACCGGTACAAGTTCACCGTCAGTCGTTCCAGCTCTGACAGCTACCACCTCTTCATCAACGGTTCCAAGTGCACAGTCGGTGTTCGCGCTCTCAGCGACGGTGGTCTCCTGGTCCTCCTCGATGGGCGCAGTCACAACGTGTACTGGAAGGAAGAGGCCGCCGCCACTCGCATCTCAGTCGACAGCAAGACCTGCCTGCTGGAGCAGGAGAACGATCCCACCCAGCTCCGCACGCCATCTCCCGGTAAGCTCGTGAAGTACTCTGTGGAGAACGGTGCCCACGTGCGCGCTGGCCAGACCTTTGCCGAAGTTGAGGTCATGAAGATGTACATGCCCCTCATCGCGCAGGAGGACGGTATTGTGCAGCTCATCAAGCAGCCCGGAGCTACCCTCGAGGCTGGTGACATTCTCGGTATCTTGGCTCTTGATGACCCCAGCCGCGTCAAGCAAGCTCAGTCGTTCATCGGCCAGCTTCCCGAGTATGGCCCTCCTGTGGTGGTTGGTAACAAGCCCGCCCAGAAGTTCACCCTTCTCTTCAACACCCTCAAGAACATCCTCATGGGTTTCGACAACCAGGTGATCATGCTGCAGACCCTGAAGGGGCTTATTGAGGTGCTCCGCGACCCCAAGCTCCCCTACAGCGAGTTCTCGGCTCAGTTCTCTGCTCTCCATGCCCGCATGCCCCAGAAGCTCGACGCTCAGTTCAGCTCTGTTCTCGAACGTGCGTCCTCGCGTGGCGCCGAGTTCCCTGCTCGCAACCTGGCCAAGGTCTTCCAGAAGTTCCTTGACGACAACGTCACCTCCAAGAGCGACGCGGACGTCCTCAAGACCACTCTTCAGCCTTTGACCGACGTGCTCGACATGTATGCCGAAGGTCAGAAGGTGCGTGAGTTGACCGTTATTACTGAGCTCCTGAACATGTACGCCGAGGTCGAGCGCCTTTTCTCTGGCCGCCGGTCTCAGGACGAGGAAGTCATCTTGCAGCTTCGTGACCAGAACAAGGAGGACACCTCCAAGGTTGTGCAGACTGTGCTGTCGCATACCAGAGTCGCGGCCAAGAACTCGCTGGTTCTCGCCATTCTGGAGGAGTACCGTCCCAACAAGCCCAATGTTGGCAACGTTGGCAAGTACCTTCGCCCAGTGCTTCGCAAGATGGCCGAGCTCGAGTCCCGCCAAACTGCTAAGGTCTCGTTGAAGGCTCGTGAGATTCTCATCCAGTGTGCTCTTCCGTCTCTCGAGGAGAGAACCGCCCAGATGGAGCACATTTTGCGCTCCTCTGTTGTTGAGTCCCGCTACGGCGAGACCGGCTGGGACCACCGGGAGCCTAACCTTGAGGTCATCAAGGAGGTCGTCGACTCCAAGTACACTGTCTTCGATGTCCTGACATTGTTCTTCGCTCACGAGGATCCCTGGGTTTCTCTGGCTGCTTTGGAGGTTTACGTCCGTCGCGCGTACCGTGCGTATGTCCTGAAGAAGATTGAGTACCACACCGATGAGACCGAGACGCCATCCTTCGTTTCCTGGGACTTTGCTCTGCGCAAGATCGGCCAGACCGAGTTCGGGCTGCCCTTGCAGTCCGCCGCCCCATCCTCTCCGGCTACGCCGGTTGATAACACCTTCAAGCGTATCCACTCCATCAGCGACATGTCCTACCTCGAGAGGAAGACACAAGAGGAGCCGACCCGTAAGGGTGTGATAGTGCCATGCAAGTACCTCGAGGATGCCGATGACCTCCTCTCCAGAGCTCTCGACACCCTCCCGGTGATGAATGGCGCCAAGAAGAAGACCCCTGGCCTCATTCCTGACCTCAGCGGCAAGCGTCGCCCGCCCCCTCCTCCTCGTCTTGACAGCATCGACGAACTTTCAGCCGTTGTCAACGTTGCCATCCGCGATGCTGAGGGCCGCAGCGATGATGAGATCTTGAAGGAGATCTTGCCCCTGGTCCATCAGTTCAAGGATGACCTTTTCGCCCGCCGCGTCCGTCGTCTGACCTTCATCTGCGGCCGCAACGATGGCTCGTACCCCGGTTACTACACCTTCCGTGGCCCCGAGTACATTGAGGATGACAGTATTCGCCACATTGAGCCTTCTCTTGCCTTCCAGCTCGAATTGGCTCGTCTCTCCAAGTTCAAGATCAAGCCCGTATTCACCGAAAACAAGAACATCCACATGTACGAGGGTGTTGGGAAGGGTGTTGAGACTGATAGGCGCTTCTTCACTCGTGCTGTCATTCGCCCCGGAAGACTTCGGGATGAGATTCCTACCGCCGAGTACTTGATTTCGGAAGCCGACCGCGTGATCAACGATATTTTTGACGCTCTCGAGATTATCGGCACACACAACTCGGATTTGAACCATATGTTCATCAACTTTACTCCCGTCTTCCAGCTTCAGCCTCAGGAAGTTGAGCAGTCGCTTCAGGGCTTCTTGGATCGCTTCGGTCCCCGCGCTTGGCGTCTTCGTGTTGCCCAGGTCGAGATCCGCATTATTTGCACTGATCCCTCCACCGGCATGCCCTACCCTCTGCGTGTGATCATTACCAACACCTCTGGCTACGTCATCCAGGTAGAGATGTATGCCGAGCGCAAGTCGGATAAGGGCGACTGGGTCTTCTACTCTACCGGTGGCACCACCAAGATCGGATCCATGCATCTGCTCCCCGTCTCGACCCCTTACCCCACCAAGAACTGGCTCCAGCCCAAGCGGTACAAGGCTCACTTGATGGGCACTCAGTATGTGTATGATTTCCCCGAGCTTTTCCGCCAGGCCATCCAGAACAGCTGGGCCAATGCTGTCAAGAAGGTCCCCTCCATGGCCGAGAAGCAGCCCCCGGTTGGCGAGTGCATCGAGTTCAACGAGCTTGTCTTGGATGACCATGACAACTTGGCCGAGGTTTCTCGCGACCCAGGCACCAACACCTGCGGTATGGTCGGTTGGCTCATCAGCGCCCGCACCCCCGAATACCCCAAGGGCCGCAAGTTTGTTGTCGTCGCCAACGACATCACCTTCAACATTGGTTCTTTCGGGCCCAAGGAAGACAACTTCTTCTACAAGTGCACAGAGCTTGCTCGCAAGTTGGGCGTTCCCCGCATCTACTTGTCGGCCAATTCGGGTGCTCGCTTGGGTCTGGCCAACGAGCTGATGCCTCACTTCAGCGTGGCCTGGAACGAGGAGGGCAAGCCCGAGGCTGGCTTCAAGTACCTCTACCTCAACGATGAGGCCAAGAAGAGGTTCGAGAGCACTGTGCTGACCGAGGAGGTCTCTGAGGGTGGCGAGAAGCGTCACAAGATCGTCACCATCATTGGTGCTGAAGACGGTTTGGGTGTCGAGTGCTTGCGTGGTTCCGGCCTCATCGCCGGTGCCACTAGCAGAGCCTACCAGGATATCTTTACTTGCACGCTCGTCACCTGCCGCTCGGTTGGTGAGTTATTCCCCCTTTCTCTGACGATCTTTTGAAATGAGTCGTGTACTGACTGTTTGCAGGTATTGGTGCCTACCTTGTCCGCCTTGGTCAGCGTGCTGTGCAAATTGAGGGCCAGCCCATCATCCTGACTGGTGCCCCCGCCCTCAACAACCTTTTGGGTCGTGAGGTCTACACCTCTAACCTCCAGCTTGGTGGCACTCAGATCATGTACCGCAACGGTGTGTCTCACTTGACCGCCAACGACGACTTTGCTGGTGTTTCCAAGATTGTTGAGTGGATGTCCTTCGTTCCCGATAAGCGCAACAACCCTGTGCCCATCAGCCTTGGCATCGACACCTGGGATCGTGACGTTGTCTTCACCCCAGAGCAGAAGAAGCCCTATGATGTCAGGTGGATGATTGCCGGCAAGCAGGACGAGGATGGTTTCCAGCCTGGTCTGTTCGACAAGGATTCCTTCGTGGAGACCCTTGGCGGCTGGGCTCGCACTGTCGTGGTTGGTCGTGCTCGTCTCGGCGGCATTCCTATGGGTGTCATCGGTGTCGAGACCCGCTCTGTCGAGAACATCACACCCGCCGACCCTGCCAACCCTGACTCGATCGAGCAAGTCAGCAACGAGGCCGGTGGTGTTTGGTACCCCAACTCTGCCTTTAAGACTGCTCAGGCCATCAACGACTTCAACTATGGCGAGCAGCTTCCCCTGATGATCCTTGCCAACTGGCGTGGATTCTCTGGTGGCCAGCGCGACATGTACAACGAGGTCCTCAAGTACGGCTCGTACATTGTCGATGCTCTCGTCAAGTTCGAGCAGCCAGTCTTCATCTACATTCCACCATTCGGTGAGCTTCGTGGCGGTTCGTGGGTCGTCGTCGATCCCACCATCAACCCGACCGCCATGGAGATGTACGCCGATGTGGACGCCCGCGGCGGTGTCTTGGAGCCTGAGGGTATCATCGGTATCAAGTACCGCAAGGACAAGCAGCTTGAGACCATGGCCCGTCTCGATCCCGTTTACTCGGGCCTTAAGAGGCAGATCGCCGACACGTCGCTTTCCAAGGAGGAGATCGATGAGATCAAGAAGAAGATGACGGAGCGCGAGCAGGAGCTTCTGCCTGTATATGCTCAGATCAGCTTGCAGTTTGCCGATCTTCACGACCGCGCCGGCCGCATGAAGGCCAAGGGTGTCATTCGCGAGGTGCTCGAGTGGCGCAACGCCCGCCGCTTCTTTTACTGGCGCGTGCGCAGAAGATTGAACGAGGAGTACATCCTCCGCCGCCTTGCCTCGGCGGCTGCGGTTTCGGGCGTTCACAACAAGAATGCGGCGGCAGCTGCCCAAGCCCGCGCCCGTCACCTCTCCCTCCTCGAATCCTGGTGCGGTATTGCCCACTTTGACAAGTCTGATCGCGAGGTTGCCATCTGGTACGAGGAAAACCGCAAGGTGGTGCACGAGAAGGTTGAGCACCTCAAGGCCGAGGCTCTGCAGGCCGAGATGCGCGAGCTCGTCCGCCTTGGTAGCCAGTCTACGGAGGATGCTGCCAGCAACCCTGCCTGGAAGGGTATCCGCGATGTCCTTCACACCATGCCGGTACAAGAACGGGAGAAGATGCTCCAGTATCTCAAGCAGGTGTAATTTGGTCATGATGTTGCCATGAATGGGCAGTAATTGGGGGGGAAAAGGGATAAGAAATACATGGTGACGATTGTACGAGACTAAAATGGTTTTTTTTCTTCCAGAACTCTGTAATTGCATGCACATGATGGACGGGATGTATGGGTTGAAAGCGGTGTTAATTTTTCTCGTTTGGGCATGGTTGGGATTGGACAGTTCTTCAGTGATAGTAACAATACATGTTTCCAAGTTATCACGATTTATGTCGGTGAGAATGTGATCTGTCTGGTGGTTGGAAACAAGAGGAATCAGCATGGTGACGGCGATGGCGGTGGTGACGATGGTGGATCATGCACGCTAACATCTACCCTAATACCGCTTGGTGTTTCAACAAATAGCCTGCCCGGCTAGCTCAATCGGTAGAGCGTGAGACTCTTAAGGAGTGCTCCGAAATCTCAAGGTTGTGGGTTCGACCCCCACGTCGGGCTCAATTCCCGTCGAACGACATTATTTTTGCCGTTTTTTTCTTCTGATCCATACTGGATGAGTCGCTCATTTTTGCCTTTTTCGGGGAACTTGATGGAATCTCTTCGTTTCGAGAATTTCGTGACCTGTGCTGTGATGTCAGAGTGTCTTGCGCAGAGGAGGGAGAATATGCATTCGTGATCAATCTTTCTTTTCGGGATGCAAGCCGAGTGGGTGGAAAAGTCCCTTGCTTGAGTGAGAATATGGTACGAAAGGAGAAGAGAGTTGGTTTTTCATTGCCGTTTTGGTTAATTCGATCCGCGAAGGAGAGGAGATGGTATTTACATCGGACTTTTTTGTAGAAAGGGAGGGGGGGTGTAACCGAAAGAGGTCGAATGAGGCGGGTACGTCAGCCTGGTGTAAGCACGGTCACACACCAGTGACACGTGCCAGCCTTGTCATGTTTGGTGATCTTGTTAGACCTCTTCCAAGATTTTGGGTCCGAGGTCCTAGCCGATGAGGCGGCTTGTAGTGTATTGTCTGTCCAAGCGGGTGGGTGTGAGATGAATTGGCCCACCAGGAGGTTCAGATTGGGTTGTGGAAGGTGATGAAAACATGAGTGACCGCTTACATGTGGAGGCTGCATTGGTTGTGCTTACATGGGAATTGCATCATTCTTTTGGGGATGGTGATGATGATGAGGTGAGGTGGACGAGAAGAAGAAGAAATATGGTGGTGCGAGATAGCGGTTGAGTGACAAGTGCCAGGGAGATGTTGTGGGAGTGTGAGAAGGGGGGCTTCACAAAGCAATAAAACGGACGAGAAAATGTGTATGTAGGGAGGCAGTGTATGATTTCGACGTCAGTGGCTTGTTGTCATGTAATTGGGAAGGGGGGCATGGGTGTCAGGTAGTTGGGATTGAGCCGCGTGGTTATGATAAGCAAGAAGGACGCGCTCAACTTTTTCTTTGGGCTTTCTTCATGATGACTGCAGAAAGCTGAACTTGCGCAAGGAAGTTTTGCATTCAGCGCTGACTTGGTCGTCAAATCACTGGAATCGCGTGAGCAAGGAGTTGTCAAAGACTTGGATCGATCTTGAAAGCAGAAATCTCGGTATTTTCTACTGCATAATCGGCACTTGTCCGTCAATCGGACTTCGACGGTAGCAGGTGGCTTGCTTGTTGTGTTGGACCCTGGTTCCACGTGGGATGTTGGTGGTGACACGGCCAATAGCTGGTGTTCTCAGCCTCATCCAGCCTGGAATGACGTATGGGGATCTCGTTTGACTGTGCGTTGAAGTTTCACAAGAATTTCCCTCAAGGTTCTCGGCTTTCATCCAAGACCTTGGTAGCGCTCGCGTGGCTTTTGCACATGCCGCGGGCGTTTGTCCAATCGGTTGTTTGCCGAGAAGCCTCAAAGACAGCATGAGAAAGTCAAAGGATCAAAAAGACAGACTCCAAATCAGATTCCGGTGCTGTGTTAACCCGAACTACCTAAAAGTGAAGGTGAAGGGAAAGGTACATAAAAATTCAAAACGCCATGAGCAAACTCCAGCCAGTACTCCAGGATTGATATCCATCCAGTGGGTAGGGAAAACCAGGATTCTTTGTGAGCCTCGACATGAAACTATCTTGGGCCTCCTGCGGCATTGCTGTTACCACTCGTTAGCTGCCACCCTCGTAATTACTGACAGACCTTCAGACACGTACGTACAGACATCATGTTTCACGATTTGGGACCAAAAGATCAAAAGATGTCCAAGGCCGTGACGTTCCCCTCGACGAGATTGTAGTAGCCGCCATCATTGCTGATATAATAAACAGCGACCTGGATGTAATATGCTCCAGCCATGGGGTAGTTGGTTGCAACCGCATCGAAGGTAAAGTGAACAACACCATTGCTCGTGCGGGTCCAGTCAGGGGATACCGTCGTCGCCCCTGTCAACCCGCCATCTACAGCGGTTTGGCTGTATCCTTCATGGAGAACGACGGTAGCGAAGAGATTGCCGATATTGGTGATATCTACGCCTTTGTAGTCTGAAAGAGTGAATGAGACCTCGATTGCGGGACTGATGGTTTCGTTCATCCCAACGCTTGCAGGCGGTTGGCCAATAACCCTGAGTGGGTTTGAAAAACGACGTGCCATGGTGAAAGAGGTGGAGGGAAGTTGTTGAGGCTTAGAGCTTTCTGATATGGAGTCGACTGTTGGTATTTACTGAAGAACTCAGTGTGCGATTGGCATGTTGGCAGATGGGGAGGGGGAATACGGCTTCATATACCTGTTCAGAAACCTGGTCAAGGGGTCATCGGATTCGTTGATGAGGAGTGATAGAGAGAATCCTGGTCTCGTGGTGGTTTCAATACTGACTTGAGGAACCAACAAACCGGGCACCATCTCGCATCTCATGTTGCTGAGCCTGGGTGGACTGGTAATCGGGACCCGGGACGTGCCGGATCTCCTTGTTCACACCCAATCCTCCCCGCCATGAGGGGGGGGCCCTTGTGCATGGAACATGTATTGAAAGATCAGGGGAAACGTTGATGAAATCTACCAGAGCCGAATACATGAAACCCCCCTGCTCTTCCTCGTCACCTGGTAGGGAAAAGGGGAAAAGGGGGCACCAGAAACAACAACAGCTGAAGGTTGTTGAAATCTTTCAGTTTTACTAGGTAGACATCGTTGTGGCCGAGTACTAGGTAAGGATATCACTCTTCTTTCTTCGCGAATTTTCGCTTCTGGTAAGCAAATCCAGTCCCGTTCACCTTTGGTAAAAATACCGCCATGATCGAGGGTGTGTAAGTTTATCCCGAGAATACGGAACTGGAACGCGATCGACCCTGCCAGATATGATTTGTCACTTTTGTGGCGGCAAGGTCTGGGATGTCTATAATCCAATAAGATTTCTCCATGCCCAGGTCCTCATGGTGGGGAACATGGAAAAAGAACCGATGGGTCGTGGTGTATCTACGGTAAAGCATCGTCGTTGGTTTCGAGAGTCCGAATTAGCTGAACATTGTGCTTAACCAAGTTAGCTTCCTTGGCCTGACCCCAGACCGTTCGCCGGTTAGAACTCAGGGAATAGTATTTTAGCTCCGATTCCCAGACAAGTTTTGGATATACAGATCAGAGCTGGTACCGAGCTCGCTTCGAGCTCCAAAGAACGCGGCATCTCCTAGAGAACCCGGCCCTAGCAAAAGATTTCGACCTAGGCGTGACTTCTGTAATTCACCATGCCGTCTCAAGTCCTCTACCATACATAACCTTTCGATATACCAATTAATTGTCTTGACAAAGGTCGTCCACGTTGAAGAGGAACAAGGGTAGACTACATTTAAACTAGTGATGATCTCTTCCCGATCCGAGATAGCGTGACTGCTGCAGCCGCTTAATCTCGCAGTTGAGTCCGATCATGGCGTTCGCTTATACATGTGCAGATCACGAAGGAATGTTCCAATGTTCCAACGGTACGTACAGTTGGTGGCTTTGGCAGGCAACAAATTCCTTTTGCACGTGGCCACCCCCTTTTTGATTCCATTGCCACCAGAACTTCGGAGACTTCTCCGAGACGTGGGGATTTCCGCAGGTATTTTGACGGCTCTCCAGTCGACTTGGCGTTGAAGTGGCAGCAAAGACTCCGCGTGGTATTTACCTCCACATGTATGCGGTGCAACATGCAGGGTCCATCTTCAATGACGCAGCCTTGCGATGGTGACTGATGTGATTGATCATGTTTCGAGCTGGGTGCGGGATGAGACCTACCCGATACTTTGGCCCTCGGATGCTATGCCGAGAGGTCGATTGAAAGTTTGCTAACGCGACGAAAATCGTCGACAATATCACCATTAATGAACAGGTATGGCCCAGGGGGCAGAAGACGAGTTTGTTCTGAGTGGAGCTGAATAAGGCACTGTGCCAAAAGCAAGCCTGGTGAGAATGTGCTGTGAGCAAGTTCCAAGAGTCAACATCCCTTACTTTCCAGTATTGGGAATGGCGTCAGCAAACCGAGCGTCTTTTTGACCGATCAATGGCGTCGACTGGAGTGGGATGAGTAAGTGCTCACAAATACGCTCGCAAGGTTGGTCCATATGCAGCCTGATCACAACGTTCCTTCCATCAACAGGCGGGTCAGAGAGTCGCAGGATCGTCAGTCAGAAAGGCGGTGTTATTTCAAGATCAGACCTGCAGGAAGATTAGTTGCCCGCATTGCAATTGGTTTGGTTCAAGACATCAGGAAATCAAAAATACCTCGGAAATGCGTCCTATGTATACAAACATGACGTCGCTAGAGAGTTTGAAGCGTAGCGCAGTTAGAAGAAGATAAGGTAGGATGAAAGAGACCAAATCCTAGGGTTAAATACTCTGCGTCGTAAACGGAGGTCGGTCACCGTAGGCTTGAAGATATCACAAGTATCCAGACGCGCAGACGTCACACTACCCAGTATTCTTTCACCAATGAAGGAGACAGAGAGACTAGGTACCCACCAAGCAACTTCCTACATGCTGCTGCCCCCGAGATTATTTCTCTTACACCTCAACTCTACCGTTTGATCCCCACTTGAAACAAGCCAATCATTCCATGCTCTTGCTCCAAGCTGTTGCAGCAGCTCGATAGGTATTACAGCAAAAATCTTTCAAACCATCCCCCGGATTATTTGGACGCTCGTCAAACGAAGGGAACCAGCTAAACATTATCCACAATTAATTCAAACACTCCCCAGCACAATCCGCTAGTTTGGTTAACCAAAGGAATGGATAAGTCACCCTTTTACCTACCTGTTCACCTCAACCAAATATTCCCTAGGCTCCATGTCCACAAAGCCCGAAGGTAAGCAAGTATGAAACGGACCTACCCACGCTACATCATTTCCATCAGCTCTATGATACCAGAGCTAACCCACTGCTTCTTAGATCCTTACAATCTCTTCCAGACAACCAGACATCATCTTCTCACTTCATACCGACGCCGATGACAAACTACTACCATATCCTCCACCCCAACCGAACCCAACCCGAGATCCCATCTTGTATAGTGGCTATAGCGACAACCTCCCAGTATCGACCCTATATCACTTCTCATCACAATACATCCCAATCAGCGGACTTGTACAAACTTTCAAAACAAGACCCCCAACACCTTATCTTGACCACGTCGGCGCCGAGGAGGGTTCAGACCATCCAGACTGAATGCGGCAGGGCCAAAGAAGTAAGGACATCACTACGCTTAGAGAAGGAGCCCCCCTTGTTAGGGTCTAATCGCACCCCCGATGTTAGCTCTTACTATTGGCCAAAGGCTTTATACAAAGAGGTGTAATCGTTTTCATTTTGATACTGTTAGCTGGTGAGCCCTGATAGGCCTATAATATAGAACCTATACAGGGTTGCTGTAAAATACAGCAGTGCGCAAGCGGAAGCAGGAGGATACGACGGCAGTGCCGAAGGAAGGTAAATGTGACGAACCCCTGTACAGAACCTCTGAAAGGGATACGGGTTGAAGGTAACTTCTGACAATTGGTTCGGTGCAGCTAAACAGTGCACAACAAGATGTCTCGATGTAAACACAAGATACCGTGAATACAATTGTGAATTGCATACTGCGGAACTGTCTATCTACACCAGCCAGTTCCTCCGTATATATAGACCTGTTTATCACCATTATCACCAGTGATAATGTCGATTATCACTCGTCGTTCACCGAAGACTGGTGATAATCGTGATTATCACCCTTGGCGCTAGTGATAATCTGACTTCCCCACTTTTCCGTTCCTAGTGGTTGGACGGGTCGCGCCCCGCGCTCCCCACTTATGTCAGGTCCGTGACACTGGTTCAGAGTTATTGAACCCATCTCCCACCATGGATTATTTCTATGTGGCTATATGTCACAATCGTTGGTGGGGGACCAACGCACGGGGCGCGGGGCGCCCCTGGCCAGTCATTACGGACCAGTCGGAAGAGGAGCGAAAGGCTCATGGTGATCCCGGTGAGCGGAGCGACAGGATCACGGTGATCATGGTGAGCCTCAGGTGGAGGATGTGATCCGGATCACCGCTAGGGAACGCGATCCAGGTGATCCACAGGTCTATATATACGGAGGAACTAGATAGCTTGTAGATAGTTCCGCAGTATGCAATTCACAGTTGTATTCACGGCATCTTGTGTTTACATCGAGACATCTTGTTGTGCACTGTTTAGCTGCACCGAACCAATTGTCAGAAGTTACCTTCAACCCGTATCCCTTTCAGAGGTTCTGTACAGGGGTTCGTCACATTTTGGCCTCGCTGCACCTGGTATTAGCTGTATGGTTAATGTTGTAAGCCTTGTGAATGCCTTCAATTGGGTGGGCTCCACTGCAGAGCCTTGGCCAAAGTGGTGGTCAAAGTGCTCTTTTCCAAGCCAAAAAAAAGTCCATTGAAAAAAGAGATTAATATCGATGGTGCGATCAGACTCTCATTTTGTCACTCTACCGTGCCTTTGAAAACCTGATTTTTAACTTCATGGCTCGACCGTACTTCCTCCCCTTTGGACACCCCCTTCCCGCTTCATCCCTATCACTGATCCTTCCCCGAGGTAGCAAGTAAGCAAGACATCAAAGATTGAGGATATCGCCATCTAGATTGAACTGTTATTAATCTGCTTTTTATTTAGTTTCAACTCCTCTTTCCACTATGGTACCTAAATTATCACCACTTCAAGGAAATCCTCCTCCCGCCAAGGCAAGAATATAAAGCTAGGACAAGAAAAATAAAGTACATTTTGGTACATGATACAAAAAAAAGTCATGTCCATCTCCCGCTTGGTTTCTTTTCTTCCGTAAGTCAAGCATAGCTGTGGTATAAGCCCCAATGAAGCAAAAGAGGTTAACAAAAATCCTGCAAAAACGCCGTCGCTGCCTTTCTCTTCCAACAACCATTCCCCTCCCTCCCTCCCTTGTGGTGGTAGTGGTGGTCATGGCTATAGTGATGGGTATCCATTATCCTCCTCCGTCTCCCTTCCTTATCCTCAACAGACAACCTTAAGCATTGGTGGCGCTGCTGTGACGAGGTCTCTTCCTCCCGCTCCCGGCAGCGGGGTGCATCTTCTCGTTGCGCTCCCGCTTGAGCTTCTCGTCCAAGACGCGGGCTGAAATGTCATGGTTAGCATTTCCCTCCATACCATCTCTTTCCCTCCATACCATCTCTTTCCCTCCATACCATCTCTTTCCCTCCATACCATCTCTTTCCCTCCATACCATCTCGACCAAAAACTTACTAAGAACATCGTAACCAAACCGAGGAAACTCCAAGCACAAGTTCCTGAACTCATCCTCGGCCTCGGCGCGCAGCGTGTGCGATCTCGTGGCCCAAAAGTTGGCAACAGGAGCGCGGATGCTCGTGTCGTCCTTGGCCGTGAACTCGTAGACGTACCGCGCGTAGGCGATCTCGCCCTTGGCGGTGGAGTTGACGCAGTGGATCTTGCTCGACGCCAAGTTCTTGAGGTTGTTGAGGCCAAACTTCTCGGCCAGAGTGTAAACCTTGGCGTGCTTGAGGAGCTGCTCTCCGGTGTAGTCCACGTCGGGGATCGAGGCGTCCTTCTCCAGGCTGCGCTGGCCGGCGATCTTCTTGGGGAAGTAGTCGCCCGTGTAGAGGAACTCGAGGAAGCAGCCCATGGCGTCGAGGTCTTCGTTGGGAAGCTCAATCTGGCGGGGCTGTCGTGGAAGCGGTGGGTTAGCCTTCATCTGCTACTAGAGGTCAGGAGAAAGACATACGCTGCCATCATCGGCAAACTCGGCGATGCGATCGGCAAAGTATGGGCTCTGGGTCAACAGCCCCTGATGAGCCGTCAGGATGGTCTCTTCATCGTTGCTACCGATCAACAGAGTGACGACGGGGCTACTCAGATACTGCAAAAAGGTAATGCGCGGCGCCGGGGTGTCGTCGGGATCGCCCTCAGCAAAAGGCAAATCGGCATTCTCGGTGCTGCCGGCAGCGGCAGGAGTTTCGGTGGCAGTGGCAGGCGCATCGCCTTCCTCGGTCATCTCGACGTCGCCAGTCTGCTGGGTGGCCGGGGTCTCTTCGACAATGACCCCGTTGAAGCTGTCGGCCATTGTGACGGATTGAGGATATTAGAAGCTATCAAGGCAATTGATTGGCGCAATTGGAAATGATGGATGGAACTGACCGGCGTGATTGGTTCTGCTGGACCGGAGAACCGTTGCGGTTTAGTAACGATGATGATGATGCTGCGGCGATAAGAACGAAAGTCGAGAATTAATTGAATTGATAGGGAAATATCTCCATGGGTGGGGTTGATGGTTGTCGGAGGGATGATGCGCCGTCGGTCGTGTCGCAAAAAGAGAGGACGGAAGCCTTGCGCAAACGGAGAGGCTGGCGAACAGGAGGAAGGAAGCAAGCAAGCTCTCTCTGTGGAGCTCCTGCATCGGTTGCCCCGAAGAGACAAACAAAGGAAGGAGCTGTACGAGTGTCTGAAATACTAGGCAGGCTCACAGCTGCCTTCAGGGGTACAATGGGAGCTTGGACCACCCTCCCGGAAGCACCTCGATGGCTCATCAGGAGCTGATCAACAGATCATCACCAATGCATCTTTTGGGAGTGTCAGAGTGTACATATTCTTGCATGTTTTTTCTACGCTATTTTCCTCATCGTCGAAGACGAAGCAATAATTACCAATATTCCATCCACCACAATGATATATATATATTACCCCTCGACACTGCCATCCTCCGAGCCATCGAAAACCATAACATAATCGCTATTCCCATCACCTAATGTACAAAGTCCCAAAAAAATCAACCGTGATCAACTTGTTTGAATGAACCTCTTCCATCCTTATGCATCCCCAATAACCTTTGCGCTCGCCCTACGAGCCCGCCCACTCCGCCGAACTCCATCGAGAGCAGCAGCGGTTGCCCCTTCCGCCTTCGGGACCAAACTCTCTCTGATTCTGGCCCTACCCCGCTGGGGAGGGTTGCTTCCCCCTTCGGTGTCCATCGTCGACTCTCTCTGTGAGCCTGCCCGCCAGCCCTTCTTCCCCCGCGCCCTCGCCTCGTCCTCCGGATCCAGGAAACGGTTGATGACACGGTGATCCAGAATGCGTTCTTCTTTATCGTTCTTGCCTGCTGACTGGGTCTTGGGCCAGACGTAGCCGTAAAGCTTGGAGTGGCGCTCGCAACGTGGGCAATTGGCTCTCGTAAAGTAGGCGTCTTTTTGAACAAATGCAGTGTTGCAGTTGGTGCAGTGGATCCAGGCAGTCTCGCGCTCTGAGAGAAGTAAGGGTGTGAGGGTGTAATCTCCTGGCACACGACGCTTTTGTGCCGGTGGTGGTGACCGTTGCTGAGCGGCCTGGCGCTTCTTGGAACCCTTCGCCTTTCCTACCGGCGTTGTCGGAGCGGCCGCATCACTGAGAGGTGGCACTGGAACCACCTCTTCTACTGGAGGAGTCGCTTTCGTCGCTTCTGTCTTGTTCAGTTCTTCGGCCGGAGGGGTCACCTCGGTGGTGGGGAGAATTGTTGGGAAGCCGTACGACTTTTGGGGCACCGGGGAGATCGACCCGGGCAGTTGCTGTACGTCTATCTCAGCTGTAGGCTGCTCGTTTCTTAGGATTTCGATCACCTGCTTGATAGGCGTCGGCTCAGGTGAAAGAATGAGCCCATCTGCCGAGTCTGAAGCGGGGGTCGTGACGTCGGTGAGATTGGCGCTGCCGGCTTCAGATGCAAGTGGACTACGCGAAAGTTCAGATTCCGAGCTGCTTCTCGAAATTGGCGACCCGGATGTTGTAGGTGGCAGATCATATTGCATAGTTTTGAGGCGCTTAGCCGGAGTGATGGGCGGGGTTCCGAGCGCTGCCGCACCTCGTTTGCGCCCCGGGCCTGAGCCCTCCGTCGATTCCGCTGTTGACTGCCTGTCGCTCAGAACCATCTGGCTTCCCCGTTTCTTGAGGACCCTGGGGCGGATATCCGGGGTGACGGACGGAGTTCGAGAGCCTGAACCTGCCACACTCTCGTCTCTCAACCTCCGCCGGAAAGAGTAGCCCTGTGACGCCGCCAAATCATCCTCGATGCTTCTCTTTACCGAAGTGCCACCCTCATCTTGCTGCCAGCCATTGACCTGTCTCGCCTCGCACGTCTGGCACAAGCACTCGCAATTGTCCTCTCCAAAGTAACTCTCGCTGTAGCTGACTGTGATCTCCTCGCCCACGCCAATGTCCCTGCATGCGATGATCTCAATCCCTGCCTGGCCGCAAGTAACGAGCCGGGCATTCGCGTCGCAATCGTGATTGGCAAATCGAGCAGGCCCCATGAATAAGCTGGTTGACTTGCTCCTGCTGCTGACCACTAGACTAAAGTCCTTTTTGCGTGATGCCATGTCTGCCTCCTCCTCGGGGGTGATTGTCACCTGGATTCCGGCCAGATATTTGATCGTCTCGTTGCGCCTGATGAAGCGCCGGGCTACGATGCTGGCCTCATACGTGACGATGGTGTAGCGATTGGTTGCATTGACCTCGAAAGGGCAATCTGGCAGGTAGGTCGACATGTAGCGCCGCATGTGGGCTTTGAAGTCATCCTTTTCCTTGGATGTTTTGAGACCATTGTAGAATCGCTTTAGGCCGTCGGTCGCAAGCAGTTTCTCTTCGGCGGTCTTGAGATCGGAGTTGATGATGAGGTGAGTCTGGATGAGCTTGGCGATTTCCTCCTCTCTGACGCCCCGGGAAGGATGGTAAGATGTGCGATTTTTGGGAATGGTCGTCCAGTAATAAGTGTGGTCGATCAGAGCATCGGTTAAAATGTCGTCGTAAGCAGCTAGCTGTGCAAGCGTGAGCTTCTTCTTTCCCTGGGCTTGTGACCGGGGAGGCATCTTTGTGTTGTGTGTTTGTCGGGTATCGATGAGTTGGTCGACCGAGGTGGGTGGGAGGGTTGTGAGGTGAAGTCGGGCGTCGGATGTTCGAAATATGAAAGAAGGAGTGGACGAAGGGGGTCAATGTTCAATGCGAGACTTGACTGCCTTCATGCGACCCGGGCAGATCAGATCGGGTCGGCGCAAGTGCCAATAATGGCTTTTTTAGGTTCCTTTGTGGGAAGGAAGGGAGCCGACCTGCAGCGGCTGGGCCGACAATGGGTAGGTGTGGGAGGTGAGACAGATGCAAACCTTGGGCTCAGCCTCTGGCTGCAAATTGAGCTGCGAATGCCAGTTGTCGTCATAAGTTGGCAAGTTACGGGAGCAACCTAGGTAACAGATTCCAGATATAGATTGACGCTTGAAGACTGGCTGGTCTGTACCGGATGACTGCAGCTGCACTTTCAAGTGACTTTACCCGCGTTACAGATACTCTGACTTCCCGAACCTGCAAAGTGTGCATGAGGTACAGGAGAAGAGGTCGGACGGGGAAAAGGGGAACGAAAAAAGACAGGATCACGGTTGCTGTCTGGTTGCCCTCTCGTTGCCAGGGAAATTGAGGGGGCTAGGCGAGTTGACCACCAAATCTGGCGGAATCTGGCGGGGACAGCGCGTGCCAACAAGCTGATCCCCTGTCGCGAGTTTTTGCGCTGAGCTTCCCATTGGCCAGATCTCGTCTTGACTGGATCCACAGCTGCCGGTATGTTGGAACAAGCTAAAGAGCTTGCATGAGGATCCCGATTGGGCATGGTTTCAAAGAAAGCAGCCTCTGTCCAAGCGTTACATAAGCACAGCCTTGTGCCCCTCGGGTCGGCGCGAACAATTTTCCACGGCCAGGACATCCCGTCGCCGCATGGCAATTGGCTGCCCATCCGGGAGCTTCACGATCAGCAACGACACCCCTCAGGTACGGTTTGGCCGTCCGACGACAAGATGATTCAACTAAAGGTACTTTTCTATTCTTTTGCCCAATATAAAATCAAGCTAACCCTCTCCACCAGAGCATGCTCAACTGCATCGACAACTCTGGCGCCGCCATTGTTGAATGCGCCATGGTCATCGGCCAGAAGAGACACGCCTCGATCGGTACGACGATAATTACCCAAGAAACCCGAAGAAAACTCACCCAACTGACCAATACAGGCGACCGGATCGTGGTGGTCGTGCAGAAGCAAAGAGATGCGGGAGCTGCCGGCATGGCCGCCGCCTCGGGTGCCAAGGTCAAGCGTGGTGATATCAGACATGCCGTCGTCGTGCGGACGAAGCAAAAGGTCACCCGGAGAGACGGAAGCTGCATCAAGTTCGACGACAACGCCTGCGTTTTGATCAACAAGTCTGGCGACCCTATCGGATCCCGTATCAACGGCGTCGTGGGCATGGAGTTGCGCAAGAAGAAGTGGAGCAGAATCCTCAGCATGGCCCCCTCGCAGGCATAAACTGAGACCAACACCAATAAAAAACGTAAAATCAAATCATGGGAGGGATCATTTGGGTGTATTATATCATTGCTCCACTGGGGAGTGGCATCAGAACGGCGTTATACGGCGTCGTGTAAACTACTTGTACAGCTTCAATACAGGCAAAATACTCGAATCACCTCTCCTTTCACGCATTTGTCCCTCATTCCCATGAATAAACAGCCCAGTAATAAAAATTAATTCCCATCGATGATGCCTCCTCCTATCCTCAAAGCCAAGTTTTGTTTACCCTAGCAGTGATAAACTTCTCCCACTCCTATATCAATCTCGCCAAACGCCGTGTCATGCAAATGTTCCTGTATCTTACTCGCCGATGTACAAGTGTCCCGCCGAAAGACCAAACTCATTGGTAAATATTACCGCAATAGCAGCACACATAAAAGAGTTTCTGAGAAAGGGTCAGCAACGGTTGGACTCCAGAAGGTGACAGGCCTGGAGCTGCTTACCATTCCCGTTTCAGCGCTTCGCTGTTGAGACTGAAAGAAGACAGCCTCCCCATGGTTGCAAGAGGGGCAAGTGCGCTGTTCTCTTGGCAGCTAGAGCAGAAACCCCGTCAGCCACTGGCTCAAACATAGGTAACGTGAAAACCCGTGCACTTCGTCGCTTTAACCAAATCAACACCGGAACTCCCAACCCGCTGTCTATCTATGTACCGGTATACGCTGCGGGATATGATCGTCGAGAGAAAGGTAACGATTGCGTGTGCCGCTGCAAGAAAAATGAAGAACGCCGTGTTTGCCAGGAATATTGTACAATTTGTACGTCAAATCATGTCGTCATAGCCTCGTCGTGTCAAGTGAATATGTATCGAAAGAGTTTGGCGACTACACAGCAGCGCTTTGAGCGAGCACGTAGTGTGACATGGCGTTATTCTCGGGCTCGAATCCCATGGCTTCTTCTTCGTCCTCCTCCATCAAGTCGCCAAAATATTGCTCGCTCCGAGCCATGAAGTCGGCGAGGTTCTCGCGGTTGTCTTGCCAGGCGCAAATGTCGGCGTCGCCCTGATCGAGCCGCATGAAGTTCTGGAGCGGTACGGGAATGTCGGGATTGTGGGCATCGGTGGGGAGAACGGCGAGACGGTCTTTGCAAATCTCACACGAAATCATGCGGCCGCATGTCAGGCAGCAGACAAAAGCGCAGTGGTCCGGGTTCGGGTGTTGTTCAAACGAGCTAGCATGATGGGAAGCAACAGAAGAATCACCCACCGTAGGATCAGAGCCAACGTCCTGCGTCACGCCGGCCGTCTCGCCAGCGGCATTGTTGAGGACATTGCGAAAGATGCACGACGAGGTGGCCTCTTCGGAGAAGTTGCAAGTGCGGCAGGTGAACATGAGCTTGCGATCGGCCTCATCTTCCTTGGGGTAGAGCATGTTGCTGCATTCCGAGCAGAAACGGAACGTGATTTGCTCGAGGGGCTTCTGGCCATGGAGCTGCGATTGCTCGCCCGAAGCTGAAGGGGCTGGTGATGAAGCCATTGCTGATGTCGTGGCTGAGGAGTGTGTTGTGTGGTGTTATGATAGTTTCTGGTGGTAGCAGGTGGTGGTGCAGGCACTGAAACTTTTTCGGGCAGCGGAAACCTGGAAGTGATGTGGTTGGGTTGTGTAAGGTTGTGTTTGGTGGTAAAAGAGTTGCGGTTGGTCTTTTTGAGTTTTGAGGAGGCGAGAACAGGCTGCTAGATGGTCCAAGCACGTGTCGCCAGGTGAGTTCCCCAGAAGATGCAGAAAGTAAAGTGAATTTTACCTGGTGCAGGAAATTATTTAAAGTCGAGTGGAAATGTCTTGGGGTGGAATGGGGAGCGAGTTGAAGATGGATATCTTTTTCTATGGATATCTTGAGTGAACCAAAGCTTGTGGTCAAAGGCGCGAAACGCAGGCACAGTGCATTGTGGGCGGCGCGCCACCAAGAGCAACAGTTGGGAACAAACGCGCCTTGCCCATTTCCGGCTGCCTGAGGTCGGCAGCCAACCAGGACGCCCCACTTGGCTTATTCAGGCACTGACAACCTACCTGGAACTAGATAATCTTGCTGTCTGAGGCCTTGGTTGAATGCCTGATGGATACGGAGTACGGATATGTAGGGTACAGTTAACCTGCGTCACGTCGCATCCATCAGCATCAGATGGGGTCCCTCGTGATCCCCGGTACATAGAGTGAGTGGCACACCTTGGGACAAGAGGAAGACAGGTGACGGGATGGCCGGGATGGTCTCAGACTCTCAGTCGTCCAGCTTGAAGACCCCCCGGGGCGGGGCTTGCCCTGTGAGGTACTCCGGCACGAGACAACAGCGCCAAGCAGGAGCGGGGTGGTCTCCCGCTGCACTCCGCAATCCATCCAAAGGTTTCCATTGCACACTTGACCCCTCTCAGTGCAACCCTCGACAACCTATTCCAACCTTCCCGTCTGCAGCACGTCATCTTCTTCTCTGTGTTTTTTTAGGAACTGCTTTTCTTTTGGTTACCTCGGTAGGTATTTGTCTAGATACATACCAACTCCAATCCCACCATTTAAAAAGGGTCCACAACCCGTTGCCCCTCCACGGCACCAAGTCCCACCAGTTCAACCCAGCCAGCGTTTCACGTCGTAGCCTTGTTGTCCATTCTCCAACAACAACAACAACAACAACAAAGTAGTAGCCATTTGTTGTTTTCTGTCCATCCTAGACCAACAATCAATCATCATGAACGGCGTATGTCTCAATGTCAATATCTCGAGCTTACTATATCATGTAACTAACCCTGTATCCTGCCCCAGAACCAGCAAGAAACCGGCCTCCCCCCTCACTGGGAGGTCCGTCACTCCAACTCCAAGAACCTGCCCTACTACTTCAACTCCGTGGACCGCACCTCGAGGTGGGAACCCCCCGCCGGCACCGACCCCGAGAAGCTCAAGGTGTACATGGCGACCTACCACTCGGCCAAGGCGCCTCTTCCCACCGGCGACGCCCAGTCCGGCAAGATCAGGGCGGCGCATTTGCTGGTCAAGCACAGGGACAGTCGCCGGGCGTCCAGCTGGAAGGAGGTATGTTTACTGTCATTTTTGATCATGTCTTGAAGGAGGACTGTAAGCTGACCATTGGCTGTCGCAACAGGCCGAAATCACCCGGTCCAAGGAGGAAGCCATGTCGATTATCAAGGCACACGAGCAGAGGATCAAGAGTGGGGAGATCACCTTGGGGGAGTTGGCCCTGTCGGAATCAGACTGTAGCTCGGCGCGCAAGAGGGGCGACCTGGGTTATTTCGGACGCGGGGACATGCAGAAGGAATTTGAGGATGCTGCTTTTGCGCTGCAGAAGGGAGAGATCTCGGGGGTGGTTGACACGGCGAGTGGGTTGCACTTGATTGAGAGGTGAGTTTTATCTTGGTGACCTTTGTTTTGTTTTGTTTTGGATGAATGCTAACGGAGATGGGATGCATAGACTTGAGTAGAGATGGGAACGTGTATGGATCGAAAAAGAAATTGGGTGAAAGGCATCAATTACAGGATGAGAGGGTATCTGAGGTCCAGTCTCAGTAGCCAACAGAGGACATCGGGTCGACAATAGATCAGCATTGTTCTCTGCAAAATGCCCTGCCCCGGTCTGCGAGTGTCATGATTTTTTGCCAAGTCTACCAGACAAAATTTGTTCCAAGTCTACCTTCTATCCTATCGACTGCTTTAGCCGTCGGCAGCCTGGCTAGGTGCCACGCCAACTAGACATGCGCCACAGTTTACTATGATCACACGCAGGCAACTTTCAAGTCAAAGAGATCATCATCCAATAACCAGAAGCAGGTACAATAACCTCCTTTTCTGGCTTACTTGATTGCTATCACTTCCCGATTACCAAATACATAAACAATTCATCATGATGATAAACTCCGTCGCCAATGCTGTCATCAAAAAGACAGAAAAAAAGAAAAAAAAGCAAAAGACCTCAAAACGGGAGTCGGAGCTCTGAAACCGTTCCAATCTAGAAACTGCACAATGGGTATAATATAGCCAACGCCGCCCCGCAGATTCCCCCTAGAAAAAATGAAACGTCCACTTCATGACATGTTTCGTACATCCCTCTTTGGTCTCGTAAGTTGTTGGTTGCTCTCCGGGAGCCTTGAAGCAACTTTAGCCCACTTTGTTTTCGGTTGTTTTGGTGTTGTAGTAGTATTATTCCCTCCCATAATTTTCATCTCTCCAAAAGGTCCCGAGTGCCCGGAATGATGTCCAAACTTGTTTGTTGACCCCCAAAAAAGAAGTTTGTGTGTTGTCCAATCTAGGCACCCACACTCCCCAACACCCACGACACCAGCGGCCCAATCGTCGAAAATACCACCGTCATGATCCCCAGCGCCATCATCGACAGGGCCGAATACGGCGCCGCCTCGCTTTTCGTCTCGTAGAGATAGGCAGTCCCCATTGCTGCAGCGTTGATGCCCACTGCTACGCCTGCCGCGACGGTTCGGGGGTCGTTTTCCCCTTTGGTGGTGGTGGTGGTATCGTTGGTGTGATCATCGCGGCCCCCAATGTTGACAAGATGCTTTTCCAAAAACCGGCCGACACCAAGCCCGAGCGACATTTGATAGACGATCCCGCTTATGACCACCATTGCTGCGTTGAGGGACTTGTCTGCTGATAGGGTGTCCAGCACGGGGTTGCCTAGCGCGAGGGTCACGCTCCGTGCGGCGAAGGCGAGGGCGCGGCCTTGGGGGGCGACGCCCATTGTGTGGGCGAGGAGGGGGCCGCAGGAGACGTTACCTAGGGCGATGAGGGACGAGACGGTGAAGACTGTTAGTCCTGCGCGAGACAAGAGCTGGAAGCGGTATTCGTAGAGTTTGAGGCCCCAGGATACGAGGCCGGCGTTGAGGATGGAGAGGGCGACGTCCCCTGCTGTGAGGGGGACGGAAAAGCTGTTGAGGAGCGCGCTGGAGAAAGGGTTGTGGCTTTCGAGGGTTGTGAGCATGGCTTGGAGGGGGCGGGAGGAGAGGTGGCCGTCGAGGAGGAGGTAGGCTGCCATTGTGAGGGAGGTCCAGAGGACGGCGTTGAAGAGGCCTGAGAGGAGTGTGCGGGCGAATGGGCGGAGGTAAGGGGAGGTTTTGAGCGATGATTGAATGGCTAAAGTTGAAAGCCAAAGGGCGAATAGCAGTAAGGTGGATAGTGGTGTATCGAGAGCAAGGCAGACGCGGAGAGGTAGGCCAATGGTGAGAGTTAAGGTCCACATGAGAAGGAGCATTGGGTTTGCAAGACACCAGAGCTTAGCTGATGTTGAAAACGATACAGGGTGAGTTGGCGAGGCCTTGGAATCAGGGGTCATCGATTCAGGCGGGGTGACACCCAAAGAAAACTCCTCTGTGTCCATGGAATCGCATACTGATTTGACTGGTGAACGAAGTTTGGGGTTCTGTCTCTCTTTTTCAGTTGTTGGTGACCCCTTTTCGATGTCTGACGAAGACCAGCTGCCAGAGTCCCACCGCACCATGAGGCATTGAAGTGGAAGAGCTAGCACATAGGACAAAACTGTGTTGAAAAGGCCGGTGAGGACTAGGCTGGTCAGTCTTCCCGGTCTCTTTGCATGGGGAAGGACGTCCTACCAAAGCAACCAATAATCGGCCCAATAACCCAGACATCTGTGAGCGAGCCCTTGCAGATCATAAGAAATGGAATCGTGAAACCAATAGACATGTGCCGGTTGAGGAGGTCGGCCTTGTGATTGCTTGTTAGCCTCGTGTTGTGGCATACCTCCACTCAACTGTCAACGAAAACAAGTCTTACCGGTCTCTTGAGGTGGTTCCGGTAAAAGTCCTCTGCACCTGGGAAGATACACCCGCACGCACAAAACAGCCCAAAGATAGCCGCCATTGCTACAACTGATGGAGGAAATTCGACCTTGTTGCTGTTGACGTTCAACACCCCCTGGATTCCAGCCATCAACAACTGAGCCACCACCGCAATCCCAACAGCAATCCCACCATCCAAAACTCGGGATAATAGCTCCTGATACCGCCGTGGGGGTGCCGTTTCAGAGTTCTGGGGTGGCGATACAAGTAACCGGCCTGAGTCGGTGTTCATGACTGTGGAAGTAGATGCGAGAGGCGTTGGAACGGTTGCTTGTGAAGCCATTGCAGTATGTAGCGAGACCCAGCACCACGGTAGCGGTGCTCGGATCCGAGAGGACTAGTGTAGTATCAAGAAGAAACCAAGAGAAGGCCGAAACGACTTTCTTCGGGATCAGAGGATAGGACAACAGTAGTGACAGTAGTGTTTGCTTCTCACACAAAGCCGTACATATGCCAAAGCAGTGAGACAAGGCCGGCCGTGAAGGATATCCGAGAAGACGGTAGAGACGGGAGCAGCAGACGAGAAAAGAGGATGGCGATAGTCGCACTTAAAGGGGACTGCATTGGCAAGTCTGCTTTTTGTCAGAACCTCGTGGTGTCTGGGACACACACTGCAGCCGGCCTCGCGTTTGTATTCCCCGGCGCCCATGTGGAAATGCGAATCAGTATCAGTCATGGCATGGAGTGGAGTTTGACCTTGTTCCTTGTGCCCAGTCTGGTGCTGTGGGAAGCGAAGCGGTCAAGGGGTCGGTTGGGAAGCAAAAGTCTACTCCCAAGCTTTCGCTCGGCCGGAGGTGAAGGTCACCCTTTCCTTGCTTCCGCCCGCACCCGAGAGCCACCGAGGACTGGGCACAAAAAGGAGACAAAAAGGGAGGGGGAGGGTGCTGCCCCGCAACCAAACGCTGTGCTCTTGCTGATCAGGAGTATTTCGGTATGCTTCGACTGTGATTCGATACTCGAGCAGGCTTGTGGCCCAGTGCCACCGGAACTTTCTCCCCAGTCCACCCACATCCAACCCAGAGATCGAGAAAATAGACACGACGCCCAGGCCGTGGTGGCCGTGGTGGTTCCGTGGTGTGTTTGCCGGCTGGGCTTCACAGCATGGCGGTTGGTGGTAGGTGATGTAATAGGACGACACGTCAACTTGTCGGTGTAGGCTACCCATCTCCTGGAGTCCCTTTCTTCCCTCTACCTGTACGGCCCGCGATGACCTGCATGCTTGGGTCATCAAACAGAAGCGGCACACAAAGGGTATCTGGGAAGCCGGGAACATCTTGGGAGATCGAGTGTTTGTGCTTTGAGTCTCCAAGCAACCGGAACGGCAGGAGTTCTGTGCCGCCGGGAACCAGGCCCTATTGCAATATCGCCATCCCAGCACCGAACGGTTGGCTCGAGGGGTGACGTTCTCGTTTTACACGGCCGGGGTGCGTAAGGACCCTGGCATAACTCAACTGGGAGCAGGCACATAACGAGTTAGTGCCTACAGAACTGTTACTCTCTCACACGCAGGCACACACACACACACACACACCCGAGGTTCAGTCCAGCAACCCACGCACCCCTGCTCGCAGCCACGTACCGCCCAAACACGCATCCAAGCGAGGGGTCTTGTCTTGACTGTCATGTCATGAAAATGACGGACAGGAGGCCCCTCTCACAGAGCCCGGGAAGGGGGGCCGAAGCCGCATAGGCTACCCGATACATGGATATCAAGCCACTGCAACGCCCCGCAAACAAGATGCCGGTGTGGCTGCCAGTCATCCAAACGACCGCAAGCAATCAAGCTATCATCCTCAGGGCTGCGTTAGGCTAGAGACAGGAGCCATGTCAGATCTGACAAGCGCCAGCGTCCGGATGCTTCCGTGGTGGCTGCGGGCGTAGAGGGTGCGAACCAGGGGGCTATCAACAAGCGTCCACTGAAGCCCAATCGGGACACCATGACAAACCGAGAAGCCAAGACGTCGTATCTTTTTTCGGGCCTCAAACGAAAGCATCAAGAGCAGTCCAGTCATGAAGTAGTATGAGCTCGGGGATGTGGCGGTAAATCTGCACCTTTCCGCCCCGAAACAACGGTTTCCTGCGGCTCGAGCCGCCCTCTGGCCCAAGCGTGATAATCAGCGATGTTTTCACTGAGAGCACAGCAGGTACAACGCATGCGCATCGTAAAAGTAGAGGGGAGCGTGCGGTGACCGGGTGGTTGGTGTGGTGTGCTTGGTACGCTGGGTGGTCTCCGTGGTCTGTGTCGTGTACTGGTGCTGGTGCGATTGGGTTGGTTCGTGGGGAAGATGGATGTAATGGCGAGGGACATCGGAGAAGGTGGTCCAGCCGTCGTACGTCTCCTGTCCACAACGGCTTGTGCTTGTGCTGCGCGGAGAAGCTAATTCAGACGATCGTCTTCGAAAACCGTGGTCGAGGCCCTGAATAGCTGAGCGTCTTCCTGCTTCCTATTTTCATCCTCCAACGGCACCTTAGTTTGGGCTGCGAGATGGCTGTTCCCCACGATCGGCGACATCCTGGGCGCATGCTGCTGTCGGTCGGCCTTTGAGCGTCAAGCGTGTCCATTTTCGTTGCAACCACTGCAGTCGCGCCATGCTGTACGACTGGATCGCGACAAGAAGGGGAAAGAGAGAGCCTGGGACTCGCTGTGTTGGCATCACCACAAGGCTGACGCTCCTGTCGAGCACGCATGAGCTAGCCCAATCAACACGCTGTGCATCACGCTGCTGCGACCAGTTCTGGTGCAAAAACCGCCGTGATTAGCCCGCTGGACAGGTCGGGTCCGAGTCTACGTCTTCCGAATAAGCCTCACGACGAAAGCTCCGAATGATGCCCGCGGTCGAGAATGGGCAGGCGCACCCGCTGCTTTTTGTTTCCCCCGTCCCAGTTTCGGGTGTGGACACGAACCCGTATCAGGGCAGTGTCGATTCTCGAAGGCCGGATCATTGACTTTCGATGGAAGGAAACATCCTCTTCCCTTAGATCGCCCTTTCCGATCAGAGTACGAGAGAAAATCGGACTGGCAAAGGCCGGTCGACCGGGATTCCGCTTTCTCGGTTAGATTTGCCAAACTGGAGAAGGTCCTCTGCGATTCTTCGAGAAGGCCGGTTGACAGGGCCATTCCAGGCCCCGGTTTGGGGGGAGGGGCCGCCAGCCATGGAAATGTTGGCAGAGAGCGTGTGTCACCGGCGGCTGGGAACCTTGGAAGGCGATCGGGGGGATCGAGGGTAGACCGGGCGGTTGAGAGAAGGTGGGCGGCGTCAAGCACGGTCTGGACAGGTATCATCCATATTCTCCGCATGGGTCACCGAGGGAGAGATATGCAGGGACTCGTTCAGTCATGTTGGGCAAGAAAGTGGCTGGCCGTCGCGCGCTCGCTGGTCAATTTCGGCACACCGCAGTCAGATATTTCATGGTGTGTGTTGTGTGTGCTTTATGCTGTTGGAGATAGAAATGCCATCCAGAAAGCTACGGGCGTAAGAGATGAAAAGGGAGGCAGGAGGCATAAGGCATGAGTTGAGCTGTCGTTGAGATAAGATCTGAAATCTGGGGAACACATGAGGAGGAGATGTTGGAGCGGAAGCCTTCCCCGAACCTTGGCGTGTCCAGGGCAGTGGTGCACAGGCCACATTGGAGCGGGGTTAGGGGTGTGAGGGCCCAAAAACAACAGAAGGGGATGCGCTGTAAAGTCAACAGAAACACCAAAACGCCACATATCACCACGACTCGACTCGTGGATGCAGGATTTTGCTTTGAGCTGCTGCTGTGTCTCTCTGCCCGCAAACCCATCCCTGTCCCGATGGACCCTGAATTTCTCGTCAAATTGCTGAGGGCGTACGACGCGTCATTCGATGCAGCGGCGGTGAGGGCCGCCTTCAACGGCTCATCCACGGGCAACCAGTTTGTGCAGTGGGCAACATCCCATCTCACCCCGGACACTCTCCTCACCCCGGACGAGTTTGCCCAGTAGGTCATCGTCGTCGTCCTTGTATATTCCCTCTCATACTAACTCTTTACGAGATATGCTGCACTGGAGAAGGCCGGCATTGTCGACAAGCTGGCATCATCCTCGGATCTGGCTGCTGTTCAGGGGCTCACGGATGAGAATGTCAGAGACGCCATCGAACAGCTGGACAGGTCTACCCAAGCCATCACCAAGCAGACCGAGACCCTGAAGCAGCAGCGTGAGGCCCTTGACCGCCTCGTGGCTGCGGATCGCCAGACTCGCCAGGAAAGACGGGTGTTTGAGTCGGAGCAGGACCGAAAATATGAGTCCCAACGTAGGGATCTTACTCTGGCTGTGCGTTCAGAAACACACACGTCCCCTCCTATCTCGACCCTTGCGAGCTTGGTAATAACAAGGTGTTCAGGTTGAAGAGCTGTCTCAGTCCCTGGATTCTCAACTTCTCGAGTTGGAACAGCAAACCACAGGGGCCGGCCCGGCCATCCAGCAAACCGTCGACACCCTGTTCCGCTCAGACGATAAGCTCCTGGCAAGCCTCCAGAAACTGGGATGGGAACTGGATACAAAAGACCCTGAAGAGCAAAATCATGTCGTCATGCTGCGTGAAACATGTGCGAGGTGCGGACCCTTATCCCCCATTGTTTTCCTTCTCGATTCAGGGACTCACGCGAGGGCAGGCTGATCAAGTGTACTGTGGAGGGCGTCCGGACGAGACTCGATCGTATCTATCTTGAGACCTTGGAGGAGAAGAATTCAGGGTCCAGCAGCCGAGTCTCACCTGGAGAAGTCTCTTCCCTGCAGGAAGAGGTCGAATCCCTCTACTCCGAGATCCTGCCTGTTGCACAGATGTCTGTCGAGCAGCAGTTTCTCGAGCCGGCGCTGAAGAAGGTGGAGGCCAAGAATGCCCAGGAGCAAGCAAAGTCGAAACAGGCAACTGGATATGTGGGTGGCTTGGACACAGCAGTAGGGGTCCTCGGGCTAACCGCGGGTTAGGTTCACGACTGTCTCGACTACCTCCTCGATCATGTGCAAGATTTAAGCGCACGCCTAGAGGCGTTCAAGGCTTACCAACTCGCGGCCGATTCTCTCCTCGAGATAGCCCAGTCAGAGGTTGCCACCAAGGTCGCACTCGCAACACCGCGTTCACGTCGTCCGACCGTTAGTCAACGCGGTGTGATGGATTCTCCCGTTCGTCCTCGGCCCAGACATGCGCGACGCTCTTCTGGGATGGGCGGTGCTATGGAAGAGTCGCCACTGAACGAGATATTGCGATCGCTTGCTATCAGTTTACCCCACGAGGAAGAGGGGACACCTGACTTCCCAGCTCGGGCAAGGGAGTTGGCCAGTATTCTCGCCGAAAGGCGCAGCAAGACTGAGGATATTGCCAAGAACGTACAAGAATCGTTCGATTACACGGCCACCAGACAGATTGCTGATGGAAAGGTTGCCATCCAACTCATTCGTGACTCGATCCTGGCGGAGAGCCCCTTTGGACATGTTCGACTGGTGGACCCCGAGATCGAGAGTTCGATCGATGTGCTCTCTCAGGAACTGGAAAAGATTCGCCAAGAGAAGGAAGGGCTCAACAACAGCATGGCCAAACTCAGGGCCAGAAGCGCAAAGAAGGATGAGCTCATCGCTCGTTGGGGTTCGTGAGGTTTCTCTACGGGTGCACTGCCCCTGAGATCTGCCGTCGGAATGCCCCACTTCATCTGATCGTTGGGTTTTGATGATATCAGCCAAGCGTTTGGATCTTGGCACCATCGTGAAGTCGAGACGATGATGACATGACGATGATTGCATCAGTCCAGCTGAACGACAGAACTTAAAATCCAGAGTAGGTCTGGTGTATAGGTTATCGACTTGTCCTCGGCAAAACTACAGTTCATCTTTACAAAAACATAACAAAACACAACGGAAAACCTTCATCACAATGGACAAAGTCAAGGACACAATGCGCAAGGGATTCGAGCAGGCGACGAAGATCAACGAAGAGCGTATGTCATTCCTTGTTTCTTTGTCAAGGTTCTCCAGTGACTGACCTGGACCCTTCGTATAGCGGCTCCCGAGAAGAAGCACCATGCTCTCAACACCACATACCCCGCCCAAGCCCATCAGCCAAGCATGGTTGGCGGAACCGATATACACTTCAACAACACGGCGCATACTGGGCAGACAGAGACGGGCAAGAGTTCGCTGGGACAACCAAGCAGTAAGCCCTGATGGTTGAGCACTGGCTTTTGTTTTGTGTGTTTTTGTCTCGCACGCTTGTCATCTGAATGATGGAACACAAGCCTGATAACATTGTATCCTGGAAAGCGTTGACGGATTATTTGGAGGAGAGTAGTAGGGCCAAGCGAGGAGCTGGCCCGTCTGGGGTAATGGCTGCGATGGGGGAACACTTTGAGCAGCCTTGACGAGTTATGAAGCAACAAGAACGCAAACTTGTATAATAATGTATTCAATGCACAAATATGATAAAAGGACTGTCAGATGGTCAGTAATATTCAAAAGTTAAAAAGGATTGAAGTTCAAGGCCAAGCTTGATATTCAGCTCCCGGCAGTTCGACCCTGTGGAGCCATTACATAGTTCGAATCGTCAGTAGATGCCTCTCCGGCCCATCCGGGCATAGCCGATGCTCGTTCTTGAACTGATCTTCACCTGTCATCCACCTTTTACGTCCTCAGCCCGGCCTACTCGGGAATAACGCTCGGACTTTTTGTTTTTCTGCAGCAGTACCGGAAACAAAACAATCATGTCAATAGCAGAGGCTTTTTCTCGTAACACTTTGACAACAGCGAAGGATTCTATGCAGTTAGTTCAGGGCTGTAAATAGCCACCAAATCATAGAGGACCCAGAGATGAGGTGGCACAAGAAAAGAAGGATACGAATTCACCGAGCGGTCAGGTGAGCGACTGAGTTGGGGGAATACGAAGGACACGAAGTAACGTCGCAGCATCTGCTTACCCACTATAACTCCTCACCGTGGCTCCAACTATGCCGGACGAGCTGCGGACCAAGCCCCAATGGAACTATGATTCTCGTGTTGCGGCTTGGAGATGCTTCGCATAGCATGTATTCGGCAGTGGCCATCCGGGGAATCCTGGAAGGGTCTTATGTCAGATCATGTTTATGTCAGGAGAGGTCAACATGTTGAATTGTATGCGAGTAAATAGGTATAAAAGGAGTTGAATGTCTTCAGTCTTGGTCCAATTTACTTCCTCATCACCATCACCAGCATCCAGTCTTGCAGTCACAGTCACGCTCGAGTCTACTCTACCACACTCAAACAAAACAACCAAATTTCAAAATGCAGCTCACCACCGTCCTCCTCGGCCTCGCCGGCACCGCCCTCGCCGCTCCCGCTCTCGAGGCTCGCGACGCCGTCTCCGCCATGGCCGCCACCCCCCAATGGGTCGTCAAGTCCTTCACCCGCACCTGCAACAAGGCCGACACCTCGTGCAAGGTCACCTTTGGCGTCGACACCCAGACCGGTGCTGCCGTGACCAACTGCTCCTACACCGTCACCGGCGCCCCCGCCAGCCGCGCCCCGACCAACGGCGTCACCTGCGGCCCTTACACCCTCAGCTCGTCCTGGAGCGGCCAGTTCGGCGAGGGCAACGGCTTCACCACCTGGTCTCTGGTCGACTGGAGCAAGAAGCAGATTGTCTGGCCTGCTTATGCTGACTGGGAGTTGGTCAACGGGAAGGCTGTTGTGCCTGATAAGAGCTACGCTCCCCAGACTTTGGCTTGAGTGCCTGACATGTTGGAGGGGTTTTAGGGGGGGTTTTGTTATGAAGTAATGGGTTAATGAATCAAGGGACTTTTGATGGTGGGGAGATATATAAGCGAAGGATTGTTCCTGTTATGAAATGGTTCGATAGACTTGCTGTTTAATGCTCATTTGTTGTCACTCTCTGAACCGCGATACTCGCCAGCAGCGAGGATCCTTGCCAAGTGAAGCCTCCATCTCCCAAACCAGATCCTCACAGTGTGCAAATCTCAGGGGTAGGTACCTGGTACAACAAACATAGGTGTTCTTCGTAGCACCAACGCCGACATTTCGTTTAAAGTAGATACCGCAGGTATATATCCAGTTGCTTCCAGTACATCGTCGTAATCATATTGTCCACAGCTGTGATTTGACACCAGCAAATCAACCTTGGTTTCCTGGTGGATTGAATCACCAAGCGAGCCAAGTGACACCCCCGCTGATGCGGCTTGTCAGATCGTCCGTTTCCCCGCGCCCTTCACCAGAGACGATACCTTTTATGCATCTTGCTTCTTCCATCTCAGGGTTTATGTCTCCTTTTCCTCCTCTGGCTTCGGTTTCTTCGGTTTGTTTGGTGTCTTGTTTTTCTTCTTTTCCGCCTTTTCCGCCTCTCTTTGCAACCGCGCAGCCTCGGCCTCCCGCTTCTGAAGACAGTGACTACACTCAGGAACTCGTCCGACATGGTGTTCCAAACAGACGCCACACCACTTTACGTGCCCCTGATTCTTGCAGCGACTATCTGGCGATTTGTGGCATACGGGGCTACATGGCAGGTGAAGTGTGAGCCGTGCTGGGGGTTTCACTCAGAACATAAGGGTGTACGAACCAATGATGAGTATATGATCCCGGCATCATGTCAGCTGGAGCCACGGCTAGCTCTGATTGGGGCCAACTTAAAGTAGATTTCCCGCTGATGTTGTTACCGAAACGTCAGAGACTGACGAAATGATCAACTCGAGTTGTCTCTTGAATGGCTAACGAGGCCCTGAACGTTGTGAGGTGCTGCAGTGAATAGATAGTACTATGGCGAACCGGCTAGTATCCAACACTGGTCAAGGCCTCTAGGTTTGGGAGAGTCTTTATTCTACCTTCGATAGATCTCCATTATTCCCCTCTGTTCGACTCCCAGTCCAGCCCTTTGATCAGCTCGCATTTCAATGTCTGCGGATCCTAAAGGCTCGACATGCAGCCCGGGTGCAGTCTCGCAGTTTGGAACATTTACGGAACTGTCACGGGCAGAGCTATCAACAGTACAAAGTGGTAGTGCTGAGAACAAAGACCTTTCACTCACAAAGTGTGGTGATACCGTCTGAGTAAAACTGCGTATTGGCTGGCTACCCTCATGTTAGGTGGGCACTCTGGGACCTTGCAGCACAGTAAGCAGCTTTAGAATTTTGAATAAGGTATGCTCTCAATACCTAAGGTACGATGGTAGATCTAAGTAGGTAGGTAGGTAGGTAGGTAGGTAGTATTTTCCCTAGCCACTGCTGCTTATTTAGGCGCTTGATACCAAGCTGATATCAGTTTGTCAGATGGTAAGCGTGGGAGATAGCATGTTCTATTCAAGCACTTTATGCTTCAGCTGCAGCTTCATCTCCAGCTTCCGACTCGTCCGAGTCTGAAACTACAATGGGCGGTCTCTCGGCCAGTGGGTTAAGTGCCGCCGAATCATCTGAGTGGAACAGCCAGTCGAACCCTTCCTTCAGCTCCTCCCGCTCTTCATCCTCATATCTATCCTCCCCAATCCAGATCATATGATGATACGAGTTTTCATGTTTGGGCAACGCCAGTTGAAGAAACTTGCGGACGATTTCGGTGCGAGTCGGCTTGCTATGCAGGGCAATCCAGATAGCCTCGTACCTGTGAGGTCTCCAAGTGTGCTTCACAAAGGCACAGACAAGATCGTCTCTTCTGACAAGAGCGCTCCAGCTCGGTGGCGTAATAATCTCGATACGCATTCAGTTCCATTGGGGAGACCTCATGCTCCGAGTCAGGCCGGTACCAGACCGGGTCCCAGTCACGAGTTATCCACCCCGGATACCTGGCGTAACCGACATAACCGGGTACTGTCTGGGCGAGATCACAGTCGGTAATCCCAGTCACCCTGCCGCTGGCGTCCACCAAGATGTTTGAAGAGTCGAATCCAGGGAGCTCGAGCACGAACCAGCCGTCATCCTGCGGCAAATATGTGACGAGCACCGGGAGAAGTCTGCCAGTTGCCATTGTCCACGAGGTACCCCACCCTCCATCAGGCACATTTGTGTGCATCGCGAGGTACTCGGCGGCAGTGTCGAAAGGGCCAGTAGCCTCAACCCTTGGATCTTCCTTCTCCACCATCACGTCTCGATGGCACACGGGACCAACCATGTACTTGCCCGGAGTGCCTGGGTCCTCTTGAATGCACCCAATATTGTCAAAGGAAGGCAAGGTGGCGAGTTGAGCCATAGTTTTGGCCATGCTGGAAAGGACCCTGAGCCGGAAGTATTCGAACATATCCTTGGGCCCCCTCCTTGTCGTACCAAGCGTGTGATACGGGAGTCCCAATCAAGAAGCTGGTGCAGATGTACGGTTGGCGATTGTCGTTGCCGAAGGTCAAGTCGAATCTGTAAACCTCCGGAACGGGAACGGTGGTTCTCTCGCGGATAATTTTGAGGGTAGCGACCTCTGACCTCATGGATAGCGCCGCCTCCTCGGTCCATCTCTTGCCCCAGAAAGCAGGTACGCGGACCACGAGTTTGAAATCTCCGTAAGCGATAATGAAGATGAAATTGAATCCTCCGGAAAGTTTCCGGACCACACGACCATCCAGGGTTTTCAAGACTGGTGCATGTCGAATTGCCATGTTGTAAGTAAGGCGGACAAGGGCTTCTTCTGAGATTCTCAGAATTGGGCCAAACATCTCCGTATCGAAATCCTCATCAAATCCTGATCCGCGTCAGGGCCTGCCATGTTTGCTGATTTTTTGGTGATCGCTAAGGCGCGTGGCAGGTAGATAGATTGCAGTGTTGGGCCTGAGAGACTGGCAGAAGAAAAACGAAACTGGTGGGAGCAAAACGGGGTGTGGTATCAATACGGAGCTGTGGTGTTGCTTTCATTCCGCCTGCTCCTTCACGAGTTTTGGAAGTGATGACTCAGCTGGTGCTTCCATTCATATTCACTACATAGATTTTCCCGCTTCTAAAAACGGTCAGATACAAAGAACACACGAGAGCATCTGTGCCCACACCTCTTTTCTGCCTTTCAGGCGCAACCTCACCACATGTGGGATGTGAATGGTGAGCAGGTTGCTCTTAGGGCTTGAGGCACATGGCTTTTGAGTCTTTATTAATTTTCTCAGTTCATCACCAAAATCATCACTTTTCACTCTGGGCGTTCCACACCCCAAGCTCTTCAGATAAGTATCTCCTACATTACTTCCGAATAATAAGACAAAGGTCATTGAGGCTTATTGGTGCTCTCACATGACTTTGATGTAACCTATGGAGTAAACCACAACCCAAATCATCACTCAACATTGAACCCCCAAATGTTAGGCTGCTCATGACTATACTCCTGTTCCCAATAAAATTCCAGAGCCAATCCTGGATAACTAAATCCTCATCCTCATTCATAACCGAATCTCCATGGCCAAATTTGCATCACCACCACCAACCGAACCTAGTAGATCTGGAAATGTGGCAGTTTCAGGTATCATGGCAGAGAGATGCAGACGGCGAAGGGCATGCTGATTGGAGTTGAATAACTAACAGGGACTGTGTACGAGATCGGGGCTTAACAAGAGGACTCAGCGGTGAGGTCAGCATAGACTTTCATGACCAAGATGCATTGTGGCGAGATGTTCATTTTAACCACACCTATACACCACACAGCTGCAAGTGTACCATCCTCAGCTCATGTTCCATGCAGCCATCTGAACCTGCATCGTCAACTACCAGCACATGACCCAAACAATAGAAGTCAAAAACACCAAGCCCATCATGCATCAAGTACAATTCATCTAAATTCCTCGGATATATACACCACCTCCATCTTACAAGGTACCCAAAAAAAAAAGAAAAAAAGGTCTTGCTCGTATAAACAAAATCGCGCCACCCAATGCAATGCATGCCTTCTCTACCAAACATGTAATTGCCATGCTTTTGGAGAACAAAGTGACTTTTCGCAATGCCCATTCCCTTCCATCCAACACTTCCCTTTCCAAAACCCTCCTCTTCTTCCCCCACCTCAAGAAGATCACAGCACACCAGACCGCCATCCCTTTCCCGTCCGTCTGTCCCTTTATGTACCTATCCAATCCGGTTCCATATCGACGTATCCAAACAAAGTGGTATCCTTGACTCGGGCGGCGTTGGTGAATTACCGTCCTCGATGGTAACACGGTGATCTGAAAGCCCTTGCGCTTCTATTTTCCCGTGTTGCTGTCGCATCTCTTGCTCCTTTTTTTTTCCGTAAAAAGAACAAAAAAGATGAGAGGAAGAGACAAAAAATCAAAAACTGCTCGAACTCAATTCATTCAAGCAGCCTTGGCCTTCATGCTATCAAATTCCTTGTCGCGACTATCCCAAACAAAAAAGCAAAACAGCAGTTTTTGATCAGCTTCCAACTCCTTGAAAAAACAATACAAAAAAACAAAAGGCCAGATGCGGGAATATGAAACAAAATCCAGGGAGGGTCCAGGTGGTCCAGGGGAGTTGGGTCCGGAGGGGTCCAGGATATGGGTGTGACGGCTGTGATGATGGGGAGGAATTATTCTTCGTACCTTCCCCCAGTGATGACTGATGGGCCGCTCTTCTCGAGCTTCTCCTTAAGGAACTCGTAGACGGTGAAAGTGACGGCCTGGCCGGGGGCGACACGCATGATTCTGGGGGTGATGCCCTTGTAGAAGGCGTGGAATCCTTCTTGCCTGTTGTTTATCGGGTTAGTGGCGTTTTGTGGAGCGAGACAAAGAAGTGGACCTACTTGAACATCTCGCCAGCAATCTTGGTGATTCTCTGGAGGGCGGAGGTGCCGGGCTCGGCCTTCATCTTCTGGAGTCTGGTCTTGATGGTATCGATGGGGGCGTTGCTCAGAGGACCCATGGCACCGGACACGAGACCGATGAGAGTGGTCTGGTAGCTGGGGAGGTTGCCGCCGACGTACTCGGGCTGGTACTGGTACAACCACTCCTTGAAGTAGGTGTAGGCAGTGAAGTTCACGGCCTGGTTGCTGCCCTGTCTGAGCGCGGTGAGCGAGACACCTCTGTAGAGCGCACTGAACCCCTCCTCTTTGACGACGGTGTAGAGAGCGTGGGCGGCGTTGCGGTACTTGGGCACATCGAGGGGATCGGCCATGGAGTGGTGTTGCGCCTGGAGACGAATCTTGATGACCTCCATGGGAGTGACGACGGCAACGGCCTCGGTCACACCGGCAGAGAGACCGGCAAGGAAGAGGGCCTGGCCGGAAACAACACCGGTCTCCTTGTTGGCGAGGAGCTGCTTGTACCACTCGAACGAGGTGAAGCGGATGGCCATCTTGGGAACGATACCAGTGAGCACGGCACCGAGACCCTTGTACAGACCAAGGGCGGTCTCCTTCTGAACGATCTCGACACCAGTGCGGATGAAGCCGCGCTTGGCCTGGCCCGGTACTCTGCCGCGCTTGGAAAGCTGCATGCGCACCTTGATGGTGTCAAGAGGATGGCAGACCAAGGCCTCCATCATACCAGCACCACCACCAGCTGTTTCCTTTCATCAGCATTCCTTGTCCCCGATATCTTTTTGTCGCAAGGCTTGAGCTCACCAATCAAGTTGGTCGCGGCGGTGGCAGGCTTCTTCTGGCCATCCTTGCCGCCTGATACTTTTGTGGCCATCTTTGCGATGTTTTCTGTGTGTGAGGAAAGAGAGGTGTGTGGTGGTTCGAAACCGGTGTCTCCTACTGGCTGGCTATGCCTTGTGTCTTCGTCTTTCGTCCTCCGCAGTAAGTCCGGTTAACAAAGATCTGGTATCCAAAAAAAAAAAAAAAAAAAAGCTCGTGGGGTATCCGTTATTGTGTTTGGTCGTATGCACCGGCTTTTCGCGGAGAGGGAGGGGAGGAAGGGGGAAGGAGGCTCGCCAAACAGCAAGAAGTCCGTTGTTTCGTGAGAGCGTTGGATGGATAACGAGCTCAACGGTCGAGTGTCCAGGCGAGTGGGAAAAAGTAGGCCTATGTGTAATTTCTGATCGAAAATCTCTTAACAGCGAGTTACGGCCGGCCGGGGCTTGACACGAGTCAAGAGGTCCCAAGACTGGGGACGGGTTATGGAGCTGAACAACACCGGGAAAATAGCACGGGATCCACCTCCGCAACTGGGAATGTGGAAGAACAATGTAAAAAATACGGGGGGAAGCCGGCTAACGGGGACGGAATGGCGGGGCAGTTGGACGGAGACCTGGAACAAAGAAAGAGAGAGAGGAAAAGACGAGTTGGCGAGACAGCAGGACAATGACTCCAAATATCCTCTGGATGATCTCGAGCCCTGGGAGCGAGCAACAACCGCCAGATCGGATGTAATGACGGGGGCCGAGCCGAAGAGGCAGGAAAACCGAGCAAGGCCCAGGCACCAGTACACTTGTAGCCGGTACATGGTGTTTACAAGACCGAAAGACCCGACCCTTTCTCTCTTTCGGCTTGTAACGAAACGAGGGACAAGAACGAGATCCCCACCACGGTTGTGGGTTGTGTCAGAAGACGATGATTCCCAGTCCCCTTGCTGGGACAACCGACTTTTTACCCGTGATTTGGCCAGGGAACCGTAGAACATGTTGCAGCGTATTTTGCTGTTGAAATGTACACTACTGTACCTCCAAGAGGCAGAGCAGAAAAAAAGACTGAGAGATCTGCAAGGGCCATGACGGGATGTGACGGATTGAGGAGCGTGGAAAGCGTCCAAAAACATGCCGGGCACAGGCACACGGGGAGCGTTGAACGTGGATGGTGGGGTTGTCGAGGGGCCAATTGGGGCTGTGATTGGCCCCTTCGTCCCATCGGCGCAGCGGAGCTTTCCTTTGGTTCGAGGCTCTGCCGTTTTCCCTGTCCATGTTTGTGTGTATATAATTCTGTATTGTGTTGCTTGTATTTCATCCTTAACCCCGTGGTTACGCGTAGGAATATGTATTCTGTGCTGCTGATTGATATATACAGCATTTTGACAGCTTTTCTCCTGGAAATTGGAGGGTGATGAGTGGCCCGCCATTCTGTGTTGTTTACCCCTGACAGTGACGAGCTGGACAGGAAGAAGTGAACATCACTGAAGGCGGCTGGACGTTGGATCAATGGCTGGCAACATCATCATCAATTGTGAAATTTCCCCTCTTCCTCGTGACGTCCTGCTGCGTTCAGGGTCAACGGCGACCAGCACCAGCTCCCCACCCTGCCCACAAAATAATTGAGACACTAAAGTAAGTTAACCCAGATTATGCTATGAACTATACCTTAAAAAGTAAGTTAATAGGCCTTTGAACAATCTTTTAAGAGCCTGTTAACTGTCATTGAAGGCCTATAAATTATCTTCAAAGGCAAAATTACCTACTTCAGTGTCTCAATTATTTTGTGGCAAGGGTGCTCCCCCAGTCCCAAAAGTCCGAACTGGCTTGTGATCTACCAGTGACGTATTTACCATAACCGACTCCAAGCCGAGCTTGTGATACTGCGGGGAAGCTTGCTGCAGCGAGGGGTGCAAGCAGTCCCCACAATCCCTCCACACTCTTTCAACCGCAGACTCGGACGCTTCCGGGATCGCCCTCGACGTCTGCAACCAGCGCAATGCCGAGGTCATTGGGCGTCTGTGCCGAACCCGCTGCCATCATGCTGCTGCCATGCCATCTCTGCCATGCCCTGCCCTGCCATTGCCTTGCCATTGCCCTGCCATCCCACTGAAATGCCGCCGCAGAACCCGGGGGACCACATGACTCAGCTGTGAACCGCTCCGGCCTTCAGCTTTAACACCGTTCCGAGTCCCGATAATACCGGTAGTGTAGATATTTTCAAAATCGATAATAATATGATTCTTCTGTAGAGGGTATTGAACTCTGAATGAACGAAACAAGCAAAGCAAGCTAAACTCCGTCCTACCATCCATCCCATGCCTGATGATGTGGAAAATGCCAATAAGCCTCTTTCTAAAGTGCTTTTGTGTCCCTTTTTCCCAGAGCCCATGCGCGCAAAGTAAACAAAACAAAATATACGCCCAGGAAACATGCCCATAGCCAACCGTGCTATCCTGTCCCCGTTCCCCATCACACAACAATGATGCTTTCTGATGCGCGCATCTGCAAGAAGGGCTCGCAAAGCATGCCCACTACTTGCTTCACAGAGCAAACAGAAACAAAGAGAAAAGTAATATGTATCATCCAAAGTAGACCAAGGATAACGCCTTTTCGGTGTGCCCCTCCTCCCAAAAAGTATAAAAAAACAAAAAAAACCAAAAAAAAACCCCCGCCGTCGCCTTGTCGCTAAGCGGCCGTGGCGTGGCTGTTGAAAACGCCGTCTAATTTGGAGCCTTGAAGGAATAAAGGCGCACTTCACCGTCTTCGCTCCCGCTCGCCAGGAGGCTGTCGTTGAGACCCACACACGTTACTGGACCCCTATGCCCCGTATAGGTGGCGTCGCACTTTCCGCTCCGCGGCTCCCAGCACTTGACCATGCCGTCGTTGGCCCCACTAATGACGCGAATCGTGTCGCCGGCCAGCGCCCAAATACCCTCCAAATGGCCAAACATTGTTTTTAAACACCTGCCCGTTGCGCTATCCCACAGCCGGATGGTGCTGTCCAAGCCACCCGAGAGGAAGTAACGGGCCGGTAATGGGCGCGTCGTCTCAGACTCGAAGCCAGCGCCATAGAGTGCCCTAAGTTCGTCATCACGCGCAGGTGAGCTGGTAGGGCGATCCGTGTGGACGAAGGAAACTGTGGGAGTCCCGCTACGGCCGCTGGAAACGGACACCGAATCCGAGTTGTCGCCGGGACCACTAAGCCCGTTCAGCAGCTCATCATCAGGTTCATATTCTGGCGGGAGGAGAAGGACTTGCTGGACATGGCCAACATGTCCTTCAAACGTCCGGATAACCCGCCGTGTGTCGAGATCCCATAGTTTGATGGTGGTATCGTCCGATGCCGACATGACTGTCCTGCTAGCCGTGTCAAGCCGGGTGCAGTTGACCCAGTCGGTGTGGCCCTTGAGACAGAAGGCCTCCTTCGAGTTGAAGTCGAAGATCTTGACGCTCTTGTCGATGGAGCCGCTCGCCAACAGCTGGCCTTCGAAATGCAAGCTGACAACGCCGTCGGTATGGCCTGCCAAGGTAGAGATGCACTCGCCCGTGTGCCAGTTCCAGATCTTGATAGTATTGTCCAAACTGCCGCTGATCAGCTTGGAGTCGTCAAACTGCAAGGCGCGGATGCCCCGTGTGTGCCCTCGAAGCGTTCGGATTTCTTCCCCGGTTTCGATATTCCCTGCAGCTTGTTAATACATGTGAGACCAACCAAAGAAGACAGCTCGACATACAGATCTTGATGGTGGCGTCGTAGGAACCAGTCGCCAGGATATGGTCATCCAGTTGAAGACAGGTAACGCCATTGGTGTGACCTCTCAGAGTATGCACGGTGCAACGTCCAACCTTCCAGTTGTAGCCAACTTCCCACCGATCCTTGTACACATCCTTCCACTTGCGCTGCTTGAACTCGGACTCGTCGACGCGGCGGCGCTTTCCATCTGGCTCATCGTCAGACGAGTCGGCTAGTCGCTTACCGTTCTGGGTAACGACGCTGTTTTCCGAATCATGGATCTCCTCGATTCTGCCATTCGAATTGTCCTTGGCCATTTGGCGTTGTCTGGTATAGTTGCGCAATCGTTTGCGCTCCAGGAGAGGTAGACCCCAACCGCACTTGGTGCATTTCCTGTTCACGTGTTGCTCGCACATGTAAACCCAGACAGCATCCGAATCGGCTAGTTGGCGCCATCGCTGGCTGACTTGAGCAGCCTTGGTGAGGCTGACGGTGTCGAGGTAGCACAAAATTTTCTGGGATAGCTCGACGGGGAGGGCGGTGATGAAGTCGATCTTGAGGGCCTCGTTGACCTCTCTCGAGATGAGGGAAAGCTGGGGGAAGCAGAGCTGTGACAAGACACCTTGCAGCATGAGCTCGCGATGGCGGGCAGGGGCCGCAGAGAACAGAGACCACACGTGGGTGATGGCTTGTTGATCCTATACCCTTTTCGTCAGTATTTGGGTGACCATCATAACGACCAACCATAAGCCGCAACTTTAAAATGGACAACGACAAAAAAAGGTCAGGACATACTGCTGGTGTGAGCTTGTCGAGCTCGTTCTGGATCATAATCATCTTGGCTTCGTCGGCAGCTCGTCGACACTTGGAGTCTGGCCGGTGGCGGTAGCAGTATCTGGTGTTGGGGTTCTTGGCCCGAGCCGTCTCTTCATTGTTTGGCTTGCCGATGGGAGCATAGAGACTGGGGATGTGTTCTCTGAGAAAGGGGGTGACCGTCTTTCCTATTAATAACGACGACATGTTCGTCATGCTGTCTCGAGGACGGAGCCTCTCTTCCTCCTCGGGCCGCAGACGATCGCAGCTTTTGGCAGTGTCTGGGGTCACGGTGTCGGCGTCGGTAGGTTGGGGATCCTCGTCTTGGTCGAGGTCGACGGGGGGAGGAGCGGAGGTTTTGTTTGGTGTTGTGGCGTGATCTGCTACTGGCAGGTAAGCCGGTTCGGCGTCATTTGGATCGAGATGAATGCCATCTTGCTGGAGGGGAGAGTAGCCTGGTTGCAGTGGACGACCATAGGCGATCGTGCTAGAAGAGGAGCGGTCCATAGGGGGCACGACCAAACGGTGGTCCTTGCGTCTTCAGAAAGTTAAATGGGACAAGCAGGCATTGGGCTCGTTTGCCAGCATCTATCAGGCTGAGGGCAAATTGCGTGCTGGGCCAGGAGTGCTGTTGGAGGGCTGCGCTGCGCCCAAGACCAGGCGGAACTCGGGGCGGTCAAGCGATCGGGACGTCAGAAACCAAACGGCACAGTGGCACGCAATGCGCGGCAGCTGCTTCGCAATCTCAGGGTCTCGGGCGAGGTTCCACAGAGTCAGAGGCAGAGACAGAGAGAGAAGCAGAGACCTGTTGTTCCAGTGGCGATGTTTGTTGGTGATGATGACTGAGCAGTGGTCAGGTACCAGTTTCAGTTGTGAGTAAAAGAACAAAATATCGCCGAAAAAGGATCTACCAAGATGCCCTAGCGACAGAGTTGAGCTGTAGCTAGCTGGGCGTGGCGGTCACAGCGGTTCTGGATGGGGGGTTTGCGATATGGTGCTATGCTATGCGGTTTGTTGCAAGATTCTCGAAGAATGGCGAAATCGGGTTGGGTGGAGTCCCTGCTGTGCTTTGCACCAAGAATGGCGTTATCGCTTGTCACTGTGTCACTCAGCTGGGTCACTCCACTACCCGAAGTTTTGGTTGCGGGGAAAAGTTGCTGCTGTTAGTGACCCCGAGGCATCAAGCCTTGCCCTTTGACAGCCAAAACCCCCATGGAAGCCGCGCCAAGTCGAGATAAGAGTGCTATTTTCCATGAAGCCATCCCCATAAGATTCACTCATGCCTCTCCACTCGACATTTCCTATTCCCCAGGGGGGACAGCTCTCGCCTGCATCTCCTCTCAGTTGCTGTTCATCAAGGTTCTTGGCGCACTTGCACCAGTGCCATGTGGGCCGTGGTCGGCGAGGCGAGGGTCACGTGATGCGATGGTCTCATCAGCTTTTGACCAGAGACGGAAGGAGGACAACCGGCTTCGGCGTCACATTTTGAACACAAGAGGTAATTTTGTGCAACCTGGTATGTTGTGCCACCCACCAGCAATCACAGCTGCAGAGACTGCTTCTGTGGTTTCTCGACAGGTTCAGCTTGAAAATAGGGGTCGTAGACAACCCGTATTCCTGGCATCTCACATTCCTCATGCCTCTCCTGAACAAGCTCATAACTGATTTGGAAGAGTATCAAACCCACGCTAGAATTATTCTGGAAGCTGAATTACAATATAACGCTAGGAATTCCTCCCCTGGAAGCTTATCTATCATGAACCATGCATGACCAGGTCAACCATCGCCGATGCACAGGAGATAAGCATATCTAGGGAGACGTTGGCCGGAACACTCTCCAGTGGCCTTCTCACGACTGAAAGATCCCTCATGTAGGCACTCTCGGTGTTGTCCCCCCCCCTGCCAGGCTCATCATTGCCGAGATATCTGTCTCTCAAAACAAAGCTGGTCGAATCATCCAGCAGCCTGTTTGCCAATTTCCAATCAGGTGTAGCATTGCGCCATTCCTTGGCGGATGGCATCCATCATCAGATGAGTCGTTACACAAGGACCCCGCCGTGAAGAGGCCTTTGAGACGAGAGTCCACTGATGATGACAGTTGTCTTTCTTGACTTGGGCAGCTATCTTCTCATTACAGATCAAAACAATAAACAGAACACGAATATCCGTCCATTAGGCTTCGGTGTGGTGCCCAAAATACGTCATGAGAATGAACGAAGCGGAAACGCCATGCTGAAGCCAAATCGCGTTTGAAAGCATTACTCCAGGAGCCAGATGACACTCCGTCTCAGTGCCTGGTTAAAATCCGGGTGGATGAAGAACTCCAATCAGGCAATCTTTGTTGGCGGTCCAAGTCAGGTCTTGACCCACTCTCGCCCCTGAAATACCCCTGAGTTGCGCGTGGTATGTGGTAAGGGAGGTACGGTCCACATGATTCAGCTCGTCTACCTAGCAAAAGAAGTATTTAATCACACAGTATATGGGGGACAAGGTGTATCATGATATTGCTGTATGAGGAATAAATTCAACAAACTGAACTCTATAGGTAAGGCAATTACTCGGGGCAGGTTCGAACTGGCAGTTAGCCCGACACCTATTTGGCCAAATGCTCATTCGATGCAGCATCACCACTTCCCGGAGCAGAGACAGAGACTCTGCTCTTTGGAATCCACCTGGGTGCGTCACCCAGTTTGTCAGCTGTCAGCCCAGCCCTCCCTGGTTTCTTCATCCCAGCCTCAAGCTGTTTCTGATAAGAGACATTTCGTAATCTATCTGCCTCAGCCGGTGTGAGGTGTAGCTGTTGAACACTATAGTCAGCAACTCGGTCTACTGAAATAATGACACAGAAGAACTCACATAAATCTCCACCCCAGCTGCATGCAAAGCAAACGCCAGCCAGAAGGCCGCCCCAAAAATCATGTTATACAACGCAGTCAACTCTGCCAAGTCACCATTCGCGTCAGCCGTCACAGCAACAGCCTGTCCCGGCACCGACCCATCAAAGAACTGCGCGCAAGCAGGGTACTTCTCCAGTATCCGTTCTACCTGCCCAAACATCAAGTACGTGACCTTGACGCAGGGTATGGCATGGCTATAACCCTTGCCTAGATGCTCATAGGTGCTCAACACATGCGCAATCGCCATCATGGCCAGTCTCATGGTAACGATGGAACCAGCATAGGACCAAGCCCGCAGCATCCAAGCGCGGTGCTGCTCAATCTGGAGCCGCTTGATGTTGTATATAGCTAGACCGATGCTGACAATGAACATGAATGATATAACGCCAATGGCGAGCTGAATTTCCATCGGGCCGCCTTGGGCGTTGCGGACAAGCATGAGGGCGCCGGCTGTGGAGATGGCCGAGAGGAGGACGATGAGGTAGCCGCTCACTCTGTGGAAGAGGAGTAGCTTGTAGCGGATTATGGGGACGAACTGGAAGACGGCTAGGAATGAGGCTGGGAGGATGGCGCTGAGATGGATTTGGATGCCGATTTTGTCGAGAGATCCGGGTGTGTAGTAATAGCTAAAGTATGTTTCAGCCAGAAGTGCATCAGACACTTTGGATACCTAATGTAGACATCAATCCATACCAGTCAAGAGTCCCGCCCCCTTCAGGACACAACCCATGGTCAAAAGAGAGGTACTGGAAGCGAGCAAGAGTGAATCCCAGGAGAGCGCCACCGAATATGAAGAATAGAACAAAGTTGTAGAATTTCTTGAAACCAAGGGGATGGTAAATTTTGCGAGCCGCGTCGGCCACCTTTTCCTTGGTCGACATTTTTGATACGGGTGGCTTTGTGCTGCGATGTGCGTGCGGCTGAAGGTCTTCGATGGTAACGTAGCCTCCAAAGAGTGTGAGAGGATAGTACCTTGCACCTAAACTGTTGGGTAGGGCAATGCTGCTTTAATACTTCCTGCTGCAGCTTCCAAGCCTTTGAGCCTGGATGCATACCTGAAGTCCCCATCACCAAGATCCTGCAAAGTCTCATCTGTTGCTACACGGCCGATATGCGTACATGCGTTGCCTGGTATTTATCGCCCTTGACTCGTAGTCCTCGGACTTCAGGCGGCCAAAAAAGGACAGCTCTAATAGGACTACCAACAGAATTGGCGCGAAATCCTTCCATTTCGGGACTTACGAGGGATTCGGTTCATCGTCATTGGACAGCCTCGGACACCCATGGGGGTAACAGCGGCTTGATTGTGACGTAAGCTTCCTACGAACGTCTCACCAGACCGAAGCTGATAAATAAAACTACCTAGTATTACAGCTCGTACTTCCCATTCTCGAAGCATTCTGCGCCCAGCCGTCCGACTCAAAACAAGAAAGCATTCAATTTTTCCACTCTCCGAAGACAGAAGCTAACATGGTTGGGGTTCCGGGCCGTTCGAAGGCATGCCACACCTGTCGCCGGCGCAGGAAAGGGGTAGGACTTTTCACATGCCCCAACACACGTGCCACGCATTGGTATTGACCGGTCATCAGTGCGATTTCGAGCGCCCTTCCTGTGGCCAATGCAGGCGTCTAGGACTCCAATGTGATGGCTACGAGCGCAAGACTGTGTTTGTCCACTCCGGCCCTGCAACAGCTGGCACCAAGAAGGATGTCGCTACAACTCTAGTTCGGCAAGCCCTATCGGCGAATGGAACCAAGAATCATCCCTTGGAGGCAAAGATTGGAGCAGTAACTCTTCTCCCGCCCGGCTTGGTCTCCTCCGCTTATAAATCCAACTACGTTGGACTTTTCTGGGACATGTACGATCCCAGCTCACACCTTCGGCGAGACTTGGGTAACGCCATATCAACGACAAGCTGGCTGCGGAAAGTCCATTCTGACAAAAGCTACCAGAGCAGCCCCCTTCTCCAGACCTCCTTTCTCGCCATCTGTTTAGGTACGGTTGGCCAACGTCTCAAAGCGCAACATCTTATCCAAAATGGCATGAAAGCCTACAACGAAGCCCTCGGTGGGCTGGCTAAATCGATCGCCATGCAAGCTCAGAGCAAACAAATTCCAGACGACACCACAATAGCCACGACTCGCATACTAAGCTTGTATGAAGTTTTCTTCGGAAGCGACCCCTTAGCCCCCGCGTCGACGTCGTCATGTCCTGATACCACCCTCGTCAAGCCACAGGGGCTCATGGAGCCGCTCTTCATGTCATATAACCAAGCCGATGCCTGGCGTCGTCACCGGTTCGGCGAGCTGGCTTTGCTCGAGTCACAATCCCCAGAGATGTACAAAGAGGGCATTGCACACCAGATGCTGGCTGACGGTCGCCTGAGCATCACCATCGCCGCCGTGGGCGTACACCGGTCTACTATCCTCGCAAGAGAAGACTGGCTCACTGTTCCCTGGACAGGCTCCCACAAGAAAACAGGCTGGGACCTGCTGCTTGATATCTTTGTTCTCCTGCCAGGATGTCTGGAGGACGCGACAAGGATTGAGGTTGCTTTAGAGATGAATCCGAACCACTTCCATTTCCATGTCACCCCCGCGAGGATCGCAAGTAGTGTGGGGATACAAGCGCTGCTGATGCTGAACAGGAAGTGCAAACACATCCTCAGCCAGCTGCAATCATGGTACGACAACCACGCGCCTCCTTTGTGGAAAGCCTTTCTCTCATCATCAACATACCCTCGACCAGTAAACCTGGCTTATCCAACATCACACGACCCTCCTTCTGCCGATGATATCTCGACTGCTCATATGATGTGTCTCTACTGGTCCACCAAGATCAAGATCACCCTTCTTATTCTGCAAGTAAGAAAATCTCTTGCTGGCTTGCAGGTCGACGTCTCAAGAATCGATCGAAGCGATCTGAGGATGTCAATAACGCAAGACAGCAAGCACATCATGAGAACCGCGCCCATCTTTTTCGAGAAGGGAGCTGGGATGGCAGGGAGTCATATTGCCATCTTTCCGCTTACGGTTGCACTCAAGGCGCTGCTGATGATGGGGGAAATAGGGGTTGCGGAGCAGAGGGGTATGGTGAAGGAGCTGTTGGTCAGAAGGGCGGCCGAGTCGGGGCTGTCGGTCGGGCCGTTTGTAGGGAGCTTGAGGGTTTTGGACTGATGATCAATATTTCTCGATAATTCGTACGATGCTGCAGAGCACACCATAGACATAGACGCCACAACTCTCTTCTTGAACTATCACCACCTTAAGACATAGATCTAAATAACCGCTCACTCCAAACACGGACAACGAAGACATTGGTCCAAGCAAGTCACTCAAGCCCTTTCTCCAGCCCTCCACATGGGGTAAAAACAAAGCACCATTCACCCAAGATCCAACCGTTCTCGACACCAAAACAACCTAGGTACCTACCTAGGTAGTCGGTCTCTAAAACTTCTTGTGTCTCGTCCAAACATGGTTAGCCCAGAATCAGACTCGCTTCGCCCTCGGCTCACTTTCTGCTCATCTTGAGCTCACGACCGCTCACCCTACGCTCACTACGCTCGCCATTCTCCAAAAACGACAACTTTACGCGACGCCCTGATAGTCCAAGTTTGGAGCCTCCCTCTCCTACAGGGACGAAAATGGGGTCGGATTGGGAGGGTCTCATTTTTGGGACCCCCAAACAACTCCTCCACCAAAACGGGGACCGAGAAATGGACTCACCAGCGTATTGCTCTCCGTTTTAGGGGACTCTGGGTCCTGGTAGCCATTTTGACATGAAAAGATCCGTCACTCCTTACCTGCCTACTGCGCGACATTTCTTCTTCTAGTTCTAGCTACATAAAGAGGCCATTCCATCCGTCCTACCACCTACCACACGACTCTTCTCTCCCATCCCCCGTGTCCTTACTACCCCGTATATTGGTTGGGGGTGCGGCTACAAGCCTGAGGGTATGAGTGAGGAAGTGGGGCTCTCGGAGGATTCGGGGGGTTCAGGGGTCATGTATATAAGCTATCTGGTTCTCACATTCTATTTTAGACAAGACATCGACTTTTACTTCTTCAAATTTTGTGCGTTGCACGCGTGCAGGAAATTCTGGCCCTCTGATCAGGCCAATCCGGTGCTTATTATGTGGCCTGCAAGCCCATAGTGTCTTTTCTTTGTCCTGCGTGAAGTGCGGCCTGCGAGCAAGTGTCACGGTCCAGTATCGGCCAATCAGGAGTGGACCGAGGACCGTCTGTAAGTCAACGGTCCACGGTCCACTGGTCTATATATACGGAGGAACTGGCTGGTGTAGATAGACAGTTCCGCAGTATGCAATATAAGTAACAATCGTTGGTATCTAGACTGTTGTGATTGAGACAAGCCATTTGTTATACACTGTTTAGCTATACCGAACCAGGATTGTTCAGAAGAGCCTTCAACCGGTATCCCTTTCAGAGGTTCTGGATAGGGGTTCGTCACAGTACCCTTATTGTTTTTTGATATATATTCCTTTACTAAAGGAACGGTATGTGGAAGGGGGTGGGGATGGGTATCGGCAGACGACAGGCACCCAACCACCTAACACTGCCATGAGGCCACTTCTGGGGATCCATTATCAGGGACTAGGCGAGGTGCAACTAGGTGACGGGGCTAGAGCGAGGGATTTGTGGGAGGCCGGAAACGAGCTCGAATATCCCGGACAGCTCAGTTTGTCGATGGGCGCGGCTGGGTCTATGGAGGTTGATCTTGATAATCATGGCCATCAGTGGTTCTCCGACGAGGTACTCAATCTGCCTGGGACTGATTTTAATTCTTCTGGAAACCCTGTATCCTGTGTGAACTTCTTCATAGGTCCCTAACCCCTTCCCCACCGTCTACAACTTGCCCATATCCCCCACAGCCTGCCCTTCCCCAGTGTTGGTGCTTTCCATAGTATCCTACTTCTTGGGCACAGCGTGCAACAGGATAAACTTTATACTACCTTTCTCTACCTTGATTCTATTATCTTGACCGGACAAAAAGACACACCCTTGCCACCCGAAAGAAACATCGCTTTCGAATTTAGACGGCGGGAGCTTGATGAGTTTGACAAGAGTTTTCTCAGCTGCGCCAAGCTCGCTGTCGTCCTCCAAGAGAGGGATGATCATGCCGCTTGCTTTTGTCCTACCTCCTTCTTTTAACATAAACGGTCCTCGCCTGACGATCTCACAGCCAGCCTCCCAGTGCTGGATGTCATCATGCTTAATGAATATGTTAGCCAGAGTATTTCGTAACATCCAGTATATACATACATAATCCTCGAGGAATTGAAGGACGAGGTCTTCGTGTGCCTTGGTACCCTTTGCTTGGTATGAGAAGGTGTGCCCTTCTGTTACCGGATCCCAATTATCGCTCTCGCGGCAGGCCTTTAGTGATAATGCCCGCAAGGCCCCGTTCATCTTGAGCGGCCCGTCCATAGTGTGCGTTGTGGTGTGTCTTGTGCGAGGGGAGATGTAAGGGTAAAATACATGTGAAGAGGTTGGGTTCCGCCAGCCAGATATTTATTGTGGGCTCTACGAGTCCTCGAGGTGTGGTAATTTCCAGCCTGATAATTTTTGGTTTGGGCTATGTATTTTGGGCGTGACGAAATTTCCTCGCAACTTTTTCTGGAGAAATAGTTGACGAGGCATTTTACCTGGATCGGATTGATCAACCCCACCTACTTGACATCTATAACATGAACCGCCCGAGCCGCCTTAGCATTTTAAGTCTGAACGGTAATTGATCGTGACTTCTGCAGACCTGACGATGTCTTCCTGCTTTTATTGCGCTTCTATTTAATGACTGCCGTCCCAGTTCAGGCGCTGCTTTCCATAGACAGGATCAGATGTGCTAACATACCCAGTTAGCCAGGCAAGAACAGGTAGATCAACTAAGTTAAACTCATTTCTCCCTCTCCCTCAACTCTTGCGTCAATCCATCCTCTTTATCAAACTACATGCAAACAAATCAACCGACTTGACCAACAACCGAGTCAGGTATGAGACCGATCTTTTCGATTCTGCCGTGGAGTCCTGGACATCATGAAAGCCGCAATTTATAATGAAATGTCTAGGTTTCAGTTTCGGACAACAGATCGTTATTAATAAGGTTTTTACATCTACTCCGGAGAGCGCCCGGCTGGTCATCTACTTGCGTTTGTCGGCCTTTAGAGTCATCTTTTAAGCCCTATCGACTCCTTTACGTTTTCCGGCTCGAGAGGGGGTAGTAGCGAGGGATCTTATCATATCAGACAGTCCAGAAAACCGGCTACCACCAATATTAGACCACTTCTCTTCCGCCACCTTATTTCCACTTCGAATAGTCACATTCATTCCCCAACGCGCAAGGCTGATTAAACAATCCCGAGGTGAAGTACTCGGTTATGGAGTACTTCTTCAAGGCTGGAATTTGCATCTTGGCTACCAAGGATCTGGACAGCGCCTGCCGCAAAATTGAGCGATACAGGGAAAAGGACCCCTCGTTTGGCGGTCAGCGCGAGTTCCAGCTCTTGTCAGACTTGATCGAGGCTGTGGAGGCGGGCAACCAGGAGGTGTTTACGGATAAGCTCTATGCCTACGATCAGATGAGCCGATTGGACAAGTGGAAGACGGAGCTGCTGGTCAAGATCAAGAACCAGATCGAGGAGGCTGACAACGAGTTCTCGTAAAGGCGAGGTAATAGCCTGAGCAGCAGATGTGGTAGAGGCTTAAGCCATGGCAAAGCCCATCGACGACTTCTTCCGAGAATATGGGAAGCAGCACTCACAGCAGAAGTGCTGAACCCGCGTGTCTGAGGGGTTATGCGTGGTGTAGGCAAGAGACTTAATGCAGGTGCAAAACGGCCAGGAATGCACGTCGAAGGGGGACTCGGCTCCATAACAGCCAGCACCGAGCGAGGCTTAAGAGCCGCGTCCAGATCACCCCAAAGACTGGCACTCAGCGGAGCTGTAGATCAGCTGAAATTGTTTACGCTGCTCCTTACAAAGACGCTGCGCTGAACCGCTTGGAGGCGAGGGGGGTTGTGGCGTGAGCTTGAGCACTGATTCGGACCACTTCTTAGAGGTTTCCTCAGTGATATGGAGATTCCAGTTCGCAGCCAAGACGAAGGCCATTGGTTTTGGGGGGGCAAAGATGGCATGGCCAATAGAAGTGAGACAGCGACGTGTGAATCAATCATAACTCGCACAGTCAATGAAGGGTCCGTGCCTTTGGCAATGGCGTAGACGTTATCGATAACGTGTGTTGCAACAAACGTACGAGAAAACAACTACACAACACAAGAAACACCACACAGCACAAACACCACACAGCACGAGAAAACACCAAGATGGATCCAAGCTATGAGGAACTTGTCAAACAGCTCCAGGAAGCAGAGCGTCTCCGTGCAGAAGCGGAGCAGAACACCATCGCCGAGAAACAACGCGCCGATAAACAAGCACAACAAGTTGTAGAGTTGCAGGAGCAAAGGCGTCCGACCACTCTTATCGAGTACTTTCAGCTCTGCCACGACCACCTGTCGACAAAATTCCGCGTCCAGACCGATCGATGGTTCACGACCCAGGGAATCTGGACAGACCCGGCGGGAAAATACTGCCCCCGCCGCCTTGCAAAGTGGGATGGCTTCCTTGATGAACAGAGGGCTGCGCTTGGCAAGGTTATCGCCTTCTTCCCCGAAACACTCCAATTACTTGAATCGCGTGATTTTGTCCAGGGTATTGGCAGCCGCCTGGCAGCTGGGTCCCCAATTGGTAGCGAGCGCGACCTTGAGCGGTTTCATCACACTGCTGTCGAGCTTCCTGTGCAATGCATCATCGATCAATTCACGCATGCCCAACAGCACCCAGACGCAATACCACCGCTTTTGGGCGTGGGGGATGGTATCTTCTTCGAGAACCACATGAACATTCTCAATAGCGATACAACTCCTTCCACAAGCGCCGCACCATCGACGCCGCCGCCGCCACCACACGTCCCACCTACTAATAAGATCTCCATCGGGCCTGACCAGATCTGTGTGTACCGGTCCTTGAACGGTGACCGAACGCTTGCATACGTGCTGGAATACAAGGCTCCCCACAAGCTAACGGCACAGCATGTGCGGGAAGGAATTGAAGACCTGGACGTGGTTCGGGACGTGGTGAATTGCGTCGAGATCCCGAACAACGATGACGACCGCTTCCGTTACTTTGCCAGGAGGCTCTCAGCTGCAGCTGCCACCCAGACTTACCATTACATGCTCCAGGCTGGGCTCGAGATGGGGCTTGTTGCCACAGGCGAGGTCATGATCTTCCTCAAGATCGACTGGGCCGACCCATCCACGCTGTACTACCATGTCGCCCAACCCACCCACGAGTGCCAGGCCCAGCCAGCCGAACTCATCCCCTACTGCACCGCCGTCAGCCAGCTGCTGGCCTTCACTGTGATGGCGCTGCTCGGACCCGGGTCGCAGGGTCAAGATGCGCGGGACCGCGCCATATCGGGTGCCTCGACCTGGAATGAGGACTGGGACGAGATCTTGGCCCGGATGGGGAACACGCCGGCCCCTCGCACGCCTCCTTCGTCGGGGCGCTGCTGGGAACCGCGGACCTACGTCGGGTACGACCGGTCCCCCATCCCGTTCCGCCACCCGAGAAGGGAAAAGAGTCCCCAAGCAGATGAGCCGCCGCCATCCCTTGGCCGGGGGCAGGGTCCTCCGCCGACCGACGACGACGATGCCGGCCCCAATCCTGGCTCCCACCCCTCTCCTCCTGCCGCCCAAAGAGGGTCGAAGAGGAAGCGTAGCGCTACGCAGTCATCCGGAGCTACAGCGGCGGCGGCGGCTACTGCTCCTGGTGGCACGCAGACACAGAACCGCACACATTCTTCCCAGCCACAAACACCACCGTTCTGCACACATGCGTGCTTACTCGGTCTTGTCCGAGGGGGGGCTCTCGATCCCGCATGTCCCAACATAGCCCTCCACCGCCGGCCCTATGTCGAGTCGTCACCACACGTCCAGTCATCATCATCATCATCATCATCATCGTCGTCGTCGTCATCATCACACATCAAGTCCTCATTATCGCCATCCCTACGTTGCCAAAAGACACACTCGCTACCTATCCACGTCTTTCTAGAGCGGCTACGCCAACAGCTCTGCGCAACCTTGGACGAGGGTATCATGCCCCTGGGGAGATACGGTGCTCGGGGAGCCCTATTTCGCATCACACTACTCAGCCACGGCTATACGTTGGCTGCCAAGGGGACCACGTCGTCATCAGTACGCTTTATCGAGCACGAAGCGCGTATATACGAGCAGCTTCAACCGATCCAAGGCCTTTACGTCCCCGTCTCTCTGGGCACCATCGACCTTCGGGAGCTGGGACGGCGCTATTTCTACGCGGCCGATGTCCACATCATTTACTTCCTCCTCCTCTCGTGGGCCGGCAGGGATCTACGCGAAGCTCGGGAGCAACCAAGTAGTGTCGGGATACGGAGAAACGTGATCCGATCCCTGCAGAGCCTCCATGCCCTAGGGGTGGCACACGGCGACGTCCGGCGGGAGAATCTGGTATGGAGTCATATGCCGAGCGACCCAGTCATGGTCATTGATTTTGAGCGGTCCGTTCTCACCAAGGCGTCGTGCCGGCTCGGGTTGCTGGGGCGATCGGAAGACGGGGAGGAGCTGCCGCCGGAGTGCCTCAGTGAGGATGATAAGCTTTTTTGAGCAGGATTTGCAGAAGGCGACCTACATTTGGGTTTAATACGTCGACCCCTATACTCGCAGCCTTTCAGCACAAATCCTTCCCAGCACTGTGTAATGGCTCGAGCGAATGCTCCGCTGAGGCGTTCGGCTGCATTCAAGGACGAGAATGCGACTACTTCGCGGGATCCTATATCGGCACGGCCGGGAATAGCGAACTACAGATTTAAGCAGTCGCCGCTTTATATTATGGCTTTCTCTAATATAGACGATGTCGTCCAGGAGCAAAATATTATAAAATATAATTATAAGATAGTTATTTAAGTCGACGGGTAAATTATAAGTAGTGCCGAGAAAACGCCCTAATCGTTTTACGTACTAGCGGATTTTATAGAAAGGCTCGATTCTTCCGTAATTATCCTTCTATACTAGTAGTTCGTGTGACGAACCCCTGTACAGAACCTCTGAAAGGGATACGGGTTGAAGGTAACTTCTGACAATTGGTTCGGTGCAGCTAAACAGTGCACAACAAGATGTCTCGATGTAAACACAAGATGCCGTGAATACAACTGTGAATTGCATACTGCGGAACTGTCTAGCTACACCAGCCAGTTCCTCCATATATATAGACCTTGATTTTCCCGATCATGGTGATCATTCCGCTCTTCCCCAATGATTATAATGATCGCTATGATCCTTCTCTGGTTCCTTATTGGTTGTACTTCCGTGATCACTGCACTTCCCAGTCTTATTGCCCATGATCGCCCAGACCGCCGCGACCTTGTTCTGATTGGCTGGTGACCTTGCACTGCTCCACCGTTCCCGATGTTAAGGTTGTGACAGTTCGCCTTCTAATATATAGCGCTCCTTGATCTTACTATTACTTATGTCGAGTTTAAGACTGTCCCGAAGTGTGTGGTAGAGTCCGATGCGATCGCTAGTAAAGTGTCACAGTTAAGCCAACAGGCCAGATGAACAGATGTGGGGCACAGGAGGTGCCAGTCAATCGCTACGGGAACCAATAGGAAGTGGAGCGCTGGGGAGCGCCAGGAGCGCGGTGATCCAAGTGGTCCTAAGGTGACGTGAGTGATCCAGGATCATTCTTGGCACCGTGATCCATGGTGATCCACTGGTCTATATATACGGAGGAACTGGCTGGTGTAGATAGACAGTTCCGCAGTATGCAATTCAAGTCGCAATCGTTGGTATCTAGACTGTTGTGATTGAGACAATATATTCCTTTACTAAAGGAACGGTAAAATTAAACCTCGAGTAACGGATAGGTAATCTAGTATATATATTCCCGCTATCTTTTCATAATCTTTAAATTATAGTAATTAAAGTTATTTAACTTAATATTTATAAATATATAATTTATAAATGTCATTTTCTATTAGAAATATAGATAAGTCTGTTTATATATAAAGTTGTAATTTTAATATAAATGGTGGTTCTAGTGGGCTTAATAATGGGCTACTGGCACGCGTAAGGAGAAAACGGAAGTTATATTAGTTTTGGTTGCGGTAAGTATAGCCGAGCGGTCCTTAAACCCACTTCAGCTCAGGGTGATGCTCACTGCGCTTACCTTTTGCTCACCTTGTGAGACCAATACGGACTGAGCCAAAAAGAATTGTCAGGTGTGACTATGTAGGTATGCAACCCTCTTTCTCGAACTCAAAAAGACCGCCCACCCTCTCGATCTTCACCCTCCCCAGACTCCCGCCCACCACCCTCTCCACCACCCCTTCCTCCGCTCCAGACAAACTAACAAACCCCTCAATGTCCACCTCCTCCAACCCACCCATCATCATACCCTCCTGCACACTCACCAACGCCGGATCAACAACGTTCATATCCACCCTCTTTGCCACCGGGCCGTCAACCCAGCCCCCAGACCCTTCGTCATATTGTCTCTCACCGCTTCCAGCGACCGCAGTGCTGGGGTGATGATACCGGTAAGGACAATCCTGTCGCACATCACCCAGCAAGCCACGTTGCTGTCTGTTATAACACCCATGATCAACACCAACCCCCCGGTTGCCAGCGTTAGATGGATAACCACCCCGCACTGGCATCTCTGGTTCCGGCCGCCATGATGATGGCAGCGAAGACCACTGCTCCGGTGGGATATTTGTCAGTAAAGGGTGGAGTTGGTATTCCCCTTCCTCACCCCTGCGTCTGAAAGGGGATGACTGTTGTTCTGCGGCGTTGGATGAGGACTGAGGTCCAAAAGGAGAGGACGACGGCGCAGGTGTGGGCAGGGAACCTGACGACATGCGCCATGCAGAGTTGGATTTATTCCTGGAGGTTTGAGGGTCCGGGGGGGAATACCCGCGCGGTCGTTCACGGGGTGGTGGCGACGTGTGATGTGGACCGGGAGCCGCTTCTGGTAATGACGAGGGGGAGGAAAAAGTTGTGGACAGGCGTATGTCAGTCAGCCTGTCCAACGCGTGGAGATAGAGGTCTTGTTCCCGACTCGGGCCCAACACAGCCCTTTGACCACTACCTATCGAGCGCCGCCGGGGGTAGATTGGAAGCGTGTCGATAAAAGTCATGTAGATTCTGTCTCTGGCGCTGGCGTCTGGCATCAGGTGGATTGGTTGGGGTGTAGTAGTCAACCTGGGCAAGCACAAGGTCCGGGCGTTTGACTGTTCACTCTGCCTCTCGGACGACTGGGTTCCGTCCCGCCCCTGGCTCTCCTTTGCCATTTTCATTTGCATCGCCTTCTCTTCCCTCTTCCTGGCTTGGTATCTCCGAGCGCGTTCCAGCCCGGCTGCCCGACAGGCAGAACACTTGGAGAAGTGGAGGTCGTCCACCTCCTTGTGGCAGTTGGTGCACAGCCTATGTGCTTTGTACCATGCCAGGTCAGTGGCGGTCGCCGAAGGTTGCTTGGAAGGTCTCAGGGCTGGAACGAGGGGTATATGGGGGACGATTACGCCGTGTCGGGCGAGGACCTCTCGGCTTGGACGCTGTCCGGGTTCTGGAAGCGGGGGTGGGTTGGGAAGGTTGATCCGGAGGTTATCGGCTCGACGACCAGGGCCTCTACGACCTGGTTGCTTGGTTTGGGCAGTAGATGGGATTGTCTGCGATGAGGACTGCCGTGATGCTTCAGTTTGGTCAGGAGTATCGTCTGTTGGGGGAGATGATGAACGGGACTCTGTGGGCCGGTCGGTTTGGTGTTTCTTCTCGGCAGAAGAAGAAGATGGTTGAGACGGGGGCGAGTCGGCTGACAATACCAAGGGTTCCCCATTGTCAGCGTGGGAATCACTTTCTGAAGCCTCACACGCAGCGAGCAGGGTGGTCTGGATGGCGTTTTCGACATGGTCTTCTCTCAAAGAAGGTGTAGCTTGTGTTTGATCACGTCCAGGTCGATGAAGCGAGCAGTAGCTCTCTGTGGTGTCCTCATTTCGCTCCTGGCGTAGACAATAATCGCAAAAGATAAATTCCCGCGACCATCCACCAGGGGAAGCAACACGAACCAAGCCAAAGTGAGGCATCATGACAACTGAATGTCATGGAGGAGAGAGGAGAGATGGTCACCAGGCACGATTGCGAGTGCTTGGAGACGGAAACCCTTATAACAAAAGGTCTATATAGAGATTTCTAGAATGGAGCATCGACCTTCCTCACATTGTTCAGTCTGTTGCCCTTCTCTGCCTACTCGCGCTGCCTTGAAGACATTGACACACGTGGAATACTATACTGAACTCTTTTTCTTTGCCTCAGCCATTCATGATACCCAACGACAAGCTCAAGAAACAAGAAGTCAAACTCTTGAATGGTTACTTGATGAATGGCCGGTTTTGAGTCCTCCTTGTGACAACATAAGGTAAGGAGAGAAAGCATGGTATCGTTTTTATCCATGTCTTGTTTCCCTGATATGTAGACCAGTTTTATGCCACCTCAGCAGCTCAACACAACACATTGAGGCTTAACAATGTATTCTTTCGGACAAAGGGTTCTTTCCCCTTAGTGTACAGTTCTGTTTAATTCACGATGATGTTGTGCAGTGATAGTACAATGCGAGCTTTCTGACTTGGATTAAAGATTAGGTAAGTGGTGGGACTAGTAATATAATCACTGTGTGCAGTTGGGTATAGTCAAGCCTCGATGGTCTTCATGAGCCCCTGCTAACTTGATAGGTTGGATACAACACGGAAGACATTCCAATGCTGGGAAGCAAGGGTGTGATAAACCTAGAAGTTTGGCATCCAGAAAGAGAGCGGAGATCATCAGGCCGTAGGTGTTATGCAACTGAAGTGTGTAGGTTGACGCATGAAAAGGACGCGTGGTTGATGCATCTTGACCAAAGGTGTGAAGTCATAAAGCGGTGAAAGCCGTTTCCCACATGAATGCTAAACTTGCTAGTGCCGCCTATCACTCCCAAATGGAGCATTCTCCGGCGCATGCAGGTGCTGGTCCCTGAAAATCAGGACAGTCGGAGATGACAATGCAGCTTGATCGGAATGGAAAGAACAGAAGGGTCAGTTTGGGGACCATCCAAAACAGACGAGAAAATATTTAAAAATTCGAGAAGAAAAAAAGTTGAATGTCACCTCTGAGACACTGAAAGAAGGCTAGGGCCGGAATGATGAATCTCCCCCACAATCCGAAGTGACCCAAGACGCGATTGCCCGCTTCGCTTGGTGGCCGTTTTCTTAGCCCCTGAATTCGCGAGATGACATCCGAGCATATGTTTGGCGGCATCGGACATCGAACATCACCGACAGACATTGTGGCCTGTAACCCATCGTGATTGCCATCAGCTGACCCAGCGCTTGGTGTGAGGGATGGGGGCGTTGTTCAGACGAAAGCCGGTGGATTTGCGTTGGATGCTTGCCCTGGCTCGAGCGCGTGTGTTTCAGGGGTAGAGAAGTCAGCAGCCTACTTAAAGTTTTTTTTTTGGGTTAGTGCTTGCTCTTTTCTCGGAGGGATACCCCGCCAATCAGGTCCACCAGAACGGAGATTCCCATCAAGGACACTGTCAACATGTCAATCGCGTGAGACTTGTCAGTGAACCGTTGCGGCCTTGTGGAAGAGAGGAGAGGAAATGTTTCAATGTTGGTGACACGTCAGGTAGAAGACTGGTCGAACATGGAGTCTCGGATGCGCGAGCGGGCGAGGGATCATCGCTGGCCGCGAGCGGCAGAAGAAGTTCGAGAACAAATTCGGTGCGGAGGCTCTGGGGCCCGGTGGATATACCACATTTATTATCCACCAGAACGGATGGAGAAACCTGGAACTTGGATGGAAGTTGAGCAACAACCTGAAAGCAACTGGCATCTCGCAGTTTCAGAGATCCGCAGGCTGTTCCCCCCCTCCCCCCCCCCATGTGTGTTGACATTGACCGGATTATTATGTATTGCATAACTCCGTACGGAGTATTGTATCCGTATGTGTGAACAGATGAACAGCTGAGCGGTGTTGATATCGCCAAGCTGCTAGGCGATGTCCCCCTTTTCTTCAGCGGGTACCGGGACGGCGCTAAGAAACCCGGCCACGGGCCTGGCCCGGTGGTTGAGGTGTCGCGTGCTCCAGGGCGGCGACGGGACGCGGAGCTGTCGTTTGTTGACGGCGAAGAGGGCGGAGTGGCCGGTTGGCCGGAAGCTGGCGACGGAGCAGTCAACAGTCAGTCATGAAGTTAAATCCGAGAATCTCGATGCGGTCAACACAAAGTCCCGGCAGCATCGTTGGAGGGTGTGGGGTTGAAACGTGCGGCAAATGCCAAGAAGTTTGGTGGTGCACAGTGTCTAACCTTTGTGCCTGTTTGTCGGCAAAACGGCAAATCGCCAAGACCATCTGTGCCGTGTCCACGCAATGGTGGAGGGTGTGAGGGCATTCGACAAACTTGACTGGAAAGACGATGTCGCATTCTGCTCACTGACGGAGGATATGGAAGAGGCAGTCGGGCCGGGGGACGAGGTCTTCGTCTGCTCAAATCAAGATGGGATGACGGGCAGTGTAAGTGGAATGGCTCCTTGGCTCCTTCAAAAGAAAAATCAGGGACAGATCACCGGTGCACGCCCACACCGCACGACAGCGGGAGGAAAGGCAGCCACACCCGTCGCAGAGCCCACGAGTTCGTAGCACAGGGAGAACAACTGTCTAGGACTGCCCAAGACAGTAAGCTGTCGTCGCTGCCGCCGCCGCCGCTGGCGCTGGCGCTGTCGTCGTGGGCGTCCTCTTTTTATACACACGGATACTGGGCCCTCAGTCTGTCTTAGAAACAAAAACGGAGAAGTGGGGCAGCCCAAATCCCGGCTCTCCAGTCCACCGTCTGTCCAGGGGCCCGGATGGATTTGCTGTCCCAAGTGGCTGCATGTGGCTGCGCGGGATGTGCAGGCTGAAGCCATAAGGAGTGACGCCTTTCTTGATCAGCTTCGGAGCCAATTGTTGATGGGCTGAGAAGGATTTGTGTTGGAGCTGGATGATGACGAATTGAATGAGCAATGAGGTGAAGCCCTCTTCTGTACGGAAAAGGAGAGTTGTGCTCTTCACTGCCCGCCCCCTGCAATCAAGCGTGGTAGTGGTGTGTTGTTGGAGGACTTGGCGGTTTGCTGGGCGTTCTGGGCATGCTGGGGGGCTCGCTACGGTTCCATGCCATCTCCCTGTAACGTGTAAAAATATAGGCCGGGCACTGATGTCGCCTCTTGGTTCAAAAAAAACAGGAATTCCCCTTCCACTTCTCCATGTCCGCCACCAAATCCGCGCCCTGGTTTTTCACCACCTTTTAATACCTATAATCTTGGGACGCCCTCGACGAATCCCCTTCCGAGGCCCGCTGCCCTTTCCAAACCACCCAATTCCCCGACGACGCCAACGTCCGACCCAGCCTCAGCAGTGCTACGCGAGCACAAGAAGCAATCACGGCGCAGGGGCAACGACAAGAAGCGAACGAAGCCTCACGACCGCCCAATTTGACAAGCTCTGCGCAACTCCAGATGCAACGGGCCTTGCTGTCAACTTTCACCGACTGAAATCAACCTATCTTTGCTACGCTTGCACTGACGACGACCTCGCTCTGTCTTCTGTCGACTCTCTCTCTCTCGATGCTCCGCTGCCAATAATAATTAGCCTCTCCTTTTTTTTCCTGTTTCTCCGCCGACATCTGGAACCTCTGGATCATTCCATCTCGGCCCCGACCTCCGACGACTCGGGCTCCTCTATTTTTGCGGCTTCTCCACTTGTCTTCACCACACTCTTTTGGGCGACACACACATAGCCGCGACGACCGAACATCCTGTGGCTTGCTTGTCCCCTTTTTTCTCTCCACCTCAGGGTTTTGTGGGGGAGGATCATCGCATAGGGACTTGTCTTGTATTGATTTTTCCCCGACTTCTTTTCCGGCCTTGACGGCACTTTTCGACTGTTTAGTTCACCATGGCTGCTCGACCGAATCAACGAAACATCAAATGGGTGGAGGTACGTGGCAACATTTTCTCGGATTTTGTCGACCGCTCGGGTGTCCCCGTGCCTGTGTCCGCCTTTGCCTTTGCAGCCACCTCCGGGTCCGGCTCCGAGTGGTCCTGCATGGTCCGGTGACGATTGATAGACGACGGTTTCCCCAGCTTCCACCCGTTCCAGTGCTGACTGTTTGTTTTTTTATTACGCCCACAGGGTCTTCGAGGTGTCACATCGGCTCTCGTTATCACCACCCACATTGCCCGCGCTTTGGATTTTCCACTTTTCTGGCCAGCCGACTCTAAGGGAGAGGCTCCCAGATTGCTGCAATATCCTTACCTGCGCATCCCATACCAAGGACGAATTGGCGTGCCCATCTTCGCCTTCTTGACGGGCTTTGTATGTGCCAATAAGCCATTAAAGCTCGCCTACCAACAGGGCAATGCGCCAGCTGCGCTCAAGACGATTGCGAGGAGCGCTTTCCGGCGCCCTCCGCGCCTGATGCTTCCAGCTCTTATTGCCACCCTGATCAGCTTCTTCATGTCGGTTCTCGGTGCCTACCGGGCCGCCAACCGCTGTGACGCTTTCTGGGTGCGTTTTGATGCGCCGGACCCAATGCCACTGGGCGACAACATCCGCAGACTCTTCCGCTCCTCCTTGACGACATGGACCAACACCGAGAACGTTTATGACCGGCATCAGTGGGCCATGCGCCCGCTGCTCATCGGAGCTTTCCAAGTGTATATCGTGTTGGCTGCCACCATCGGGATGCGTTTCAAGTACCGTGTTTTGGTGCATGTTCTCCTGATCACGTACTGGTTGATGAATGTTGGACACTTGACTGGTACGTCATAGCCGTGCACGGACCATACATCTGATTTTAAACTGACATCTTTTGGACAAACAGAAACCTTTGGTGCAATGCTTGCGCTTGGGACCCTTCTTGCCGAACTCTCCCAGCACCGTCCCACGCAAAACTTTATCACCTCTCACCAGCGCCTTCTCACCTGCGTCGTTGCCCCCTTCCTGCTCTTGGTCGGTGGCTATGTCGGCTCGTACCCGCAAGAGCATGAGGACTGGGCTCCTTGGTCCATGAGTCTCCACAAGTTCCTCCTGAATCCGGTTGATGGTCAGAACCAGGGCAGTTTCTTGGTACCTAAGGGGTCCAATGTCCACCGACGAACATCGGCCTTTTTCATCATGTGCACCTCCATCTCCATCTTTATCTCGCCCTTCATCCAGAAGCTCCTCTCGCATCGTCTTCTGATCTGGCTCGGACACCACTCTTTCGCTGTCTACCTCACCCACGGAACCATCCTCCGCACTGTTGGCATGTGGATTGTGTATGGGATCACTGGAGAGCCCTGGGAACCCGCCGGTAAGAACGAAGACGGGTCCCAGAAGCAGCAGGAGTACCTCCACCCCAAGTCCCGCGCCCACAAGATGGCCTCGATTCTGGTTTTCACCACCCTTACGTACATTGCCGCCTGGGCCTGGATGAAGTACGTGGATACGGCCTGCGCGAGAGCCACCCAGTGGCTGGAGAAGAAGGTGTTTGACGATGACAACGAGGAAGGCAAGGCCGGCTTGGCCGAGAAGGGATTCCTCCTCAACGGCAATGGCACAAGCCCAGCCGACGGGGACAGGCCGAAGCAGGCCCAGTCATAAGGGGGCGTTTAATCCAGCATAATAATTTGTTCACTTCTAGAATTTTTGTTTGGATACCATGTGATATTTGTGGGAGGTCATAAAACCGGAGATATCAGGGGGCGAGGGCTCAGAGGAAGAAATAGAGGCCAATTTCGCATCAACACATCATCAGGCAGAAATACCCGGGACATATATGTGAGGGTGGGATATTCCGATTTGCAGCCACAGTTGTGTGAAACGTGGTCTGTGTTGCGAACACTCTCCTTTGTCATCAGATCATATCTGCCAACCGATTCTTCTCTTTATGGTCTTGAGTAACCTCTGGCAGTGCACTCGGGCCAGACATCAAACTTGCCTACCATATTTATTTACACTTTGCAAAAGATATGTATATACACGAGCAAACATAATGCAGCTTGGATGATGGATGGCTATATTGGGAGGAGAAGGAATCTTTTGTGTCAAGAGGGGGGGGGGTTCTAGAATAGAGAATAATGTTGATGCCTATTGCATTCCTCTTCTATCCTTTCTGCCTACCTGTATACACCGTGACAGCCAGCAAAACGACGCAGTGAATACGCCGCGCCCCGAGAGGATGACCTCCTCCCGCTCGGCAACTCGGCAGTTGACCTGGTGTGTTTCCGATACGACCCAAGCAAAAAGAAGGTGTGGCTGTCGATTCCTTCGCTGCAGTTGGTTCGAGCTGTTGAGTCCGAGTTCGGATTTTTGTTGCATGTCGACGAGGCCAAAGTTCTTGGAAGTGACGACGATGGCGCAGGAAACCTGTTTACCTTGACCTGGGGGTCTCTTGGCCTTGTTCATCGTGGACGTGAGGCCTTTGTGTCTGCGGTTTTTGGTAACCATTTTTCCATGCAGAGTCCATGTCATGAGCAACGTGGGCAGGTCGGGCAACAAAGCCTATTGCAAGTGGCACAGCAGAAACTACGACGAAGGTGGGCAATAGATGTACCTTTGTCTAAAGACTACTCTACACAAAGATAACAACCGACATTGCAACAGCTCTCGTTGATGGTCTAAATCTTCTAGCAAACCCCTCTCACTAGTACGGGTAATCATCATACGGATACTCATCAAACTCGTCAAACTCATCATACTCATCATACTCTGGCGCGTTAGGCCTCGGGCAAGGCTGATACACCGGAACATCCCTCTTTGCCCGCTTCTCCTCCTCCTCGACCTCGTCACAATCCACCTCAAACACCACCCCCTTCTCCTCAAACGCGAGCTTCACCCCCATAAAGTGCTCATCAGCCTCCACCGCCCCCTCCAGCACCCACGTCCACGGAATCTTGCACACCAGCATCACCTTCTTCAGCCGGTTGGTCGTCACATCAAGCGACTTTGCAAACCTCATCAGCATCTCCACGGCCGCCTGACGATACGCCTTTTCCCGGGTGTAATGCTCCACCTTCTTTTTCGGCTTCCACATCTTCATGTCAAAGTACAGCTTCTCATACCGCCACCACCAGTCCTCAATCGTCAGCTCCATCAAATTGGGCGGGAGCAGTGACAGGAGAGGGAGAACAGCCGCGTTTTTCATGTTTCCGTACAGCGTCTCGAGCTGAATGCACAGCTTCTCCAGGTTTTTAAGCTCGGGCAGGCAAATGATCCTCCCTTCTGGGCCGATAAGCTTCTCCATGTTCTTGAGGCTCGTCCACCCGACATCGAGGTTCTTGAGGTGCTTCTTGCCGTATTGTTGCAAGCCCAGGTTGAGCGACTCGTGGTCTTCCTCCTCTGAGCCGTGAACGCGGGGCCACCTTACCGGCCCGTCGTCTTCGATCCGGCGAGGGGTTACGTACAGTGTCTCCAGGTAAGGGGCGAACCTCAACAGGTAGTGAAGATGGTGAGGCATTACCATGCTGTTGTGGAGGTAGATGTGCTTGATGCCGCCGAGGTAAGGGTGGTCTGGAGGGAGGGAGGCCATTGTCTTGTAAAACTGGGTAGAGCCAGGATGTATGGCATGAAGCCTGGCCATGATGTTTTGGTTGAGGTTGACGATGGGGTTGGTCCAGTCGCCGCTGTCGCAGGTGACTTCGACCGTGGCGAGCTTGGGCAGAGCCGCAAACAGGGGGAAGTAGGTGTTGCATTTGACGCCGTAGTTGTCTGGGATGTCGCAGTCACACTCGTCGATCTCGAGGTGCTTGATCATTTCGGTGTCACCCTGCAAGAGGAGGGTATGAATGTGTTGGTAAGGGCGCTCTTCATTTTTCACGCTAGGGTCGCGAGCCAGGTCGAACTCATGTAAGTCGCCGTGCATTTTATGAAACAGGATGTTGTAATCGCCGTCCTCGTCACAGATGGGGACCTCTAGGAGGAGCGTCTCTACCCTCTTGCAGCTGGCGAGGACCATGGAGAAGATGTTTTGAGGCAGACCGTCATAGTAAGGCTGCATCCAGTGACTGCAGACTGAACCTGCCTGCATGATTGAGTTGCGGACGTACTGGGCAATGACTCCGGGGGCGTCGGATGGCTTGAACCTGCCGAGCTGCTCATGCATCGCTTCTTTCACCCCGCGGATGACATTGTTGCGGGTCAGCGTGATGTGACATGAGAGAAAGCGGGTGTGTAATCCGTAGTGTGAAAACTCAGCCAGGGTGCGGAAAAGAAGGAGCATGGTTCGTGGGTTGGTGATGGCGATGACGCGGTAGAGGAGGGGGTGAGCCATTTCACGAAAGGTCCTCGTGACGAGGCAGAGACTGGCGAGGGCGCGACGGCACAGAATGAACTCATACCATGGCTCGCCTTCAAACATCTGCGCGAGGGCGACAGGGCCTGTCTCGCCGATTTCAGGCGGAGTTGGAATGAGACACTCGACGATGCCCATCAGAATCTCTGGCGGAAGCGTTGCCAAGGTAAGCGGGCTGCGTGCAGCAGCATGGCTGGTGATATCCATGATGCAGTTCGACCGGTATCTTTATGCACCCTTGATACCGATGGGGCGATGAGGTGCTGGAATGTCACGAGGCCGGAGTGAAGTTGTTGAAGTTTCCATGCTTCACCGGGGGACAGCAGGCAGTGGTTGCTGGTGGGGTGTTTTGGGAGTGGGTGGGAATTTCTGATAAGATAAACACCCTAACCCTGGACCATTTATCGCCGAGCACGTCAACTCTGTCTTGCAAACTGCAGAATGTTTTGCGGAATCTCCGAGGAAAAGTGAGAGGTATAAATCGTAGAGAAAGATTATGATCAATGTCCAAACACACTGAATCAACATGAACACCACGGTTCTGTTCACTGTGACTCCAAACAGTCGACCCAGTCCATAGGACTTGGAAGCGAGATGCTTTCGTCGGCCACACCCACCAAGGAAGCGATACAGCGATATTGTTGATGCAGTCGATGTTCTTGTCGGGATCGCCATGATCAAATACGAAGCCCTCATAACCAAAAGAGTTGTCCACTGTCACAAACCAGATATTTTCTGCCGATAAACGGTCGAAACGGAAGTTGGTCAGTGTTTTTGGTGACGTCGAGCACCGAGTGATGCTTCCCATCCACTGTGACCTGGAGGGATGCTTCGGAAACTGTCGAAGACTCCAGCAACGAGTGTGCTTCCAGCCAGAAGGTTCCATCCATGTTGGGGGTTCTGTGTTGAAGCACATTTCCGGGATGTAGTTGGATGCATTCCATGTGAAGCCTTTTTTCAAGAAGTTTTGCAAATCATCAAGATAGCAGGTGTATGTGCCAAAAATACACCAGGGCTGTTTGTTCATGACATTCCTCTGATATGCTGGGTGAAATGGAACCACGCAGTAGAGAATCCTATATGTCGGGCGACCGTTGGAGACCAACGTATTTTTCTCAATCAGTGGGAAGAAATCTGTCAGTGGGTGGCCGTCCAGGAGCTCCTTCGTTTCAGGATCCATCTTGTAGCTGGCGGAGTGCATGGAGAAAGAATGGAACTTGCAGAGTGTAACAAAAAAAATGTTTAGATACAGCCTGGCAGCCAAGAAAGGTGGCGCTAAGGGCTGCAAAACCCAAAACCCTATTTTTCAGAGCCGTTTGTCGGATTATGCTTCCACAACTTGCGCCGTTAGGCACCCTGTCTTGAGTGGACCAGAAGTCCAATCTCAGATTGTCACCATCATCAAGTTCTAAGAAGAAACCTAGAAGTTTCTCCACATCCAACCTAAGGTACGACGAATCGACTTCGCGATGCCCCGAGAGATTTATCGAAGAGTATCGTTAACTCATCAACCAGTAGTTGGAACCTCGACTCACCAACGGTTTACTAATCGTCAACACTTTTGACGGTTGACAGGCCGTTGTCAGCTAACCATTGCACTGTTATCTGTAAGCGGCAGCTAGCATCACGACCATCATGAATCCATGATTCAGGAGATTGAACCGGTAGTTATGACTCGAAATTCAGACTTGTTTCGAAGCTATTACTCATTTGCGGCGCGATTTGCAGTGCACGAATCTTGATCACTTATTGGGCACGGCTTCTACTTAAGGGGCAGGCGTCTCCCTCAACCAACAACGTGGGACTATCTGCAGACCGTTTTTCAGATGCTTTTCCTCAGCTATCCGTACTAAAGCACACCGTCGACCTGTAAAGATGTCAAAAATGGCGGCTGAAGCTAGGAACGGCCCGGTTGGCATTGGTAAGAAACGGTCTGACAAGTTCACTGCCCCGTGGCAGGGCTGCTTGTGATGATGATCAGGGGTTTCCTGGACAGTCAACCACATACCTTAAAGTGTATGCGTCAAGTTGGCTTTTTGCTTCTATCTTTTTTCTTCTGTGTACCTGCCTTTTTCTGGCTGGGAAGGCTGGGAAAAGAGGAAGCCCCTGCCACTTTTCAGAGCTTCTCAGTTGGGATCGAATATCAAGAACGCTCACATTCTCTTTACCATGCGGGCTTCACTCCTTTGTTCCGCCCTGCTTGCAGCCATTGCCTTTCCGCTCATTGGAAACAGCCTGGCAATCCTTGCCTCATCTCACTCATTTAAAAACCAGCTTGAGGGAAGAGACGATCTTGAGAAGAGAGATGAGCTCGACAAACCTCCGATATACCCGCCATTTTCCGAAGACACGCAAAACAAGCACCTACGTTTTGACTACCCCCGGATGCATTGGAGATCAAGACCATGGGAAGAGGGCTACTACCCCATTCACTGCGTTCATGAAGCCCAGTTCAACAACTTTTGGATTCTAGACTTTCAAGTCCGAGATGTGTGGTTCGAAGACTGCGGCGTCCCGTGGACGGTGTGTAGACACAAGGATGCAAAGGAAAAGTGGTATAGCATCTTGGATGTCAGTGTTTCCAAACAAAAGCCGAGAGATGATCTGGCGATACATTACTGACATCTCACCAGACCCTCAGCCAAGTCCCCGTAGGCATGCGCCAGTACGTCGCCAACCTGGTCATCCTGCCCGGCCCCATCGATGGCGGACAGGGCTCCACCATCCAAGCTGCGGCCTACACCCGCGGCTCCGTTTTGGTTTTCTCTCCCACTTACTTCAAGCTTGGTGTCTTATTCCATGAGATCACCCACATCATGGACATGGTAGCCCTCGCCCCGTTCCTCGAGAGTCAAGGGTTTCCCGAGGGAACGCCCTTCTCGAGAACAAAGTATTGGAAGTACGCCTACGGAAACGACACCGCCGTGCCAACTCCTTACTCTAGGGCGTCGTGGCAGGAAGACTTTGCCGATGCGGGGAGGTGGGCGATGAGTGACATCAGCAGGTACAGAGGGTTGCGGGAGTACAGCAAGGGTTGGGGGGCGTGCAGGACGCAGATTCGGGCCTTCCAGTGGTGGATGATGCCGAAGATTTTTCCAAAGAAGGGGATATGCACCGGCAAGGTAGAGGGTGGCTACGCGGTGAAGGTGGTGGTGGTAGAGGGACAGAATCCATTGGTTTCTCTTTTCCAACCAGGGTCTGAGAGTCGGGAGGAAGGCAGGAAAAGGCCAAATACCAAGGTGGCAGGGTCAGGCGTGGCACCCATTGTGCTGCCAGCTGGTGCTGCCAACATGTTCTTTGCTTACCACGGGGCTTGAGGGAGGGTTTCTTTTTGTAAAAAGTTTGCACATAGATTGCCGGCTCACAATTAGAGTAGATACATAGATACATTCGTGACCTTTTCGGTTTCATCAGAACAAGTATATAGAGAAAGTGTAAGTTAAAAGAACACGCAAACCGTGATCAACAACGTGCCTAATCGCTGGGACATCAAATCGTGAACATGGCTACCGACTCCACCAAGCCCCCCTAGCCCCTGACCGTTGCCCCGCCAACTTCCACACCAGATTTGGGTTGTGGATCAGCGGGTCTGGTCTCAATAACGCATCTTCTCCCCTTTCTATTCCAATACACACTTGTGCATCTTGAATCGCTGGCCACATCGACCCACTGATTTGCATACTTGATCCAGAGGTTGTCCCAATCGGTCCACCAGAAGTCCGTTGAGATGCACCCGTTACCGCCGTGAATCGAGATTACGTAGGGGAGCCCAGGGGCATTTGGAGCAGTTGTCCAAACGTCACCCATATGTGTGCAGTTGAGATCGAAGTGAACCGAGAAGTTTGGGAGGCGAAGGGTGGTGTAGAGTTTCCAGCCCAGGAAACTACCGTCGCCAAACGTGATGGTGAATGACCCGCTGGGTTGGACTGGTATCAGTAGGAGCACAGAAAGTGAGTATGGATAAGCTGAAGTCTCTTACCAATCTACTTCACCGAAGGTATCATCCCAAGTACAAGGTTTGTCATCACCAAGTTTAAGGACTTGGGACTGGCTCTGATGGTCCGTTCGATGATCTGCAGATGAAGGAGGTGCAGAGAAGACATTCAAGGCGTAATACGCCAGGTAGATCAGCAGTAGCCTGAGCATTGTTTATCAAAATCTTGCAAGAATTTGTGGGTGAAGTTATGCTCTGCGGTTCTTGGATGTCAGAAAGTCTGACCTGCTCTTATACAGCCCACCAACCCCGATTTGTTGCCACACTCCGGTGACAGCCCGAGACAGTACCTACCCGTGTATTGATGGAGTAGATAGGTACTTGAAGACTGTCTCGCTCAGACTGCCTACCGTGGGCCAAGCTGGGCTCTGAAAATCGCCTACCAGGTGCTCAAGTTCAGGTAGGCACACAAAAGCTCTGCATAGTGACTATGGACCATGTTTCGGACAGCTCGGACAGGAGGGAGGGATCCCATATTAAGGTAAGTTGAAATTTGTTTCAGCCTTGTCAGACAGTGTCTCATTTACCGGCTGCCAAAAGTTCTAGGGTGTAACAGCAATGCCACATTCACCTTCAGCTCTGCCCGAGTCCCAAACCGAACAATCTATCTGTCCAACTGCTTAGCGCAACCAGAAAACAAGATTGAACAATTTACACAGACAGCACTCGGCCCGATGCCCAAAAGTCCCTCAACCGATCGGTGCCGCCGAGAAACCTTCCTTTCAACACTTTCCATCCACCATGCGAGACAAACAACCTAACTCCCATCAGCCCCTCCACTCCACCCGCCCTTCCTCCTCCTCCTCCTCCCGACAAACCTTACACCCAACCTTGAAATCAGTATGATCACAAGGTTCCACTAACGGCACCCAAGCCAACCCCCCGCCTCCCCCGTCCCCCCCCCGACCATCCACCCTATCCGCGCAAACCCTCCCCACCGGCGCACCACCCAAACCACCATCCAACGAGTCCTTTCCATCATTCCTCGGCAGCCTACACCACCAAATCCAATTCTTCAACTCGCACTGCCTCGCACACCTCGTCTCTAGTCCCAACTCCTCGCATCGATAATGAGGCTTGATGCTCCCGTATGCACAGCCTTCTTCCCCTTCTGGACCGGGGCAGATGGGGGGGACATAAGGGGACATGTCAAACGCTTGGACTGCCCATAGGGACCAGGTGAGGGTTGTGCTGGTGGGCGGGGAGATGGAGATTGAGGAGGGGGAGTGGATGATAGTGCGGGAGAGAATTTCGGTTTGGGTGAGGGGGTAGGGGAAGATGGATTCGAAGTCGGGAGAGACAGGCCAGGGGTCTAGGAGGGTGATGTAGTCGATGGTGGTGGCGGATGGGGTGGAGGGGTTGGTGTAGGTTGTTGTGAGGGTTGTTGTGATGGTGGTGGGGTAGGTGGTTGTGGTTGAGGGAGGTGGTTGGGCTGTTGTTGAGCTGATTAGGGTTACGGCGAGCCACAGTTGGTATGTGGGGCCCATGGCCTGCTAAAGACTGCTGATGTTGTCTTTCAAGGTCACAACTGTCTGTTTCAACAGCCAGGTCTTCAATGCAAAGACATTGCGTCTGCTTGGCATACTGGGTTGTACATATAAGCACCATGAAAGTGCGGAGTTCAGCTACGTGCACCCACAGCTTAGCCGAAGGCTGATGCTCCTTTACCCGCAAAGTTGTGTGCCAGCAGGGTATTTGTCCAGAGTGATAAAGCCGGTAGATAGAAAGCTTCCGAAGAATCTGCAAGGCCACAGAGTGTAAGGCCAATGGTGCCTACACCAAGCACATCAGGGATGCAAGATGGGCAAAAACGATTCGAATAACATATGTACACGACGCACATGCTGCCTTGCCGACCGGGTGCCTGAATGTTGTTCCGATAGGCCTAAACCGTAGCTCCTGAGATCTGAACGGTATAGTCAACCCCGGTATTCGTCTCTGCTGTCAACTTGAACGGGTCAAACAGCACCAGATTCGCCGGAGTATTGACCACAACAAGCATGGCCTCTTCTCCATTTCCAACCGAAACATTCCCACTACTATTGACCAACTCAACATATCTCACAGCCCCGCTCGTCTGTCTCACCGCAAGGAAAGACGTCAACTTCCCCGCACCAGAAATCGTCACAGTGACACTGACGTTCACCGCCCCATTGGTCTTGAGCGGGGTGATGTTCGCACCCATATATCTAGGCCGTCTCGCACTTTTGACTCTATACCGCCCATTCCCCTGATTATCCAGATTGCCGTAGTTGATCTGCGACCTCTGGCTCCTCCACATGGCTTGAGCCTTGGGGTGGTTGATGTCCACAAAGGCCATCCGAGCCCAGTATTTTGCCACCACAGTCTGGATCTTCGTGCCACCAGGTGCAATGAGGCGTTCAAGCACGTGAAGCGGTGTCTCATCGCTGTATCGCTTGTACTGTGTCCAGACCCCGGGGAAGATGCTGGTGCCCAGTCCCTGAATCTGATCGGGGTTGCTGTGGAGGTAGGTCAGGAAGGGGAAGGCCTGGTAGTGGTTGGCTGTGTCGACTGTGCCGTCGACGATGACCTGATATGAGTCGCCAATGACCTTTTTGAGTTCAACTATGGTGTTGGCTTCAGGTTGGTTGTACTTTGCCCGTGCTGGGGCGCAGTGAGGAGAGGTGAGGTAGGTATCCGCCACGAAATTGGCGACGGTCTCCCACCAAGCACCGGTGCGGTACTGGTCGATCCACCACCCGGCCGAGTAGGTCAGGGCATGCCCAAACTCGTGAACGACGACACCTGGCTCTGCCATCCATGCTTTGACCACGTTGAGCCATGACAGTCCTCTGTTGAGGTCGAGGGGAGTGTTGGCGGCAGCTCCGGGAAGGGTTTCCACTTGGTAGACATTGAGCTTGTGCCAGGGCCCATTGTCGTGATCTTGTTTGTAGCTGAGTCCAGGGCTGCGCCATCCGAGGTCATTCACGAAGCAGGTGTATGCCGCCTCGAGCATGGCGATGGTCCTGTCGGCTACGGCATTGTCGGTTGCGCCGTAGATGCGGAAATGGGGGGAGTCTTTCCACCTAGTACCACCAGGGCCAACGTTTGGATTGGCTGTAAACTCGGCTGGTGGTGCTCTTGGTGAAACAAGTCCAGCTGAAGGCAGGGCATCAACAAGTGTTGACGCCCCCGCTAAGAAGATGGCCTGAGTCAATACCTTCATGATGGTTGGCCAGTCTAATGGTGGTGGTCTGTATTATTCTAAAACAACAGAGCAATGGCCTCATTATGTACAATCATCGACATGGACAAGTACCGGCATTCATATCGTCTGTATCTCTCTTTGTGACTTCTCATTCGTGGGCTTTTATGGAAAAAATAGATTAGCGCGTGGTTATGGACGTGACGGCGTTGAAACGCGGAGAAGAATACTCGACTGGGATGGAACTCCAGCCAAGGTCTTCCGCGCCGAATGTTACATTCCCATCAATTCGCTTTCGTCCCGGCCTTCTCACCTCAAGGCTCCTGTGAAACTTGGCGAACGCTTTTGCAGCTGCAATTGCAGACACCTCGAGCTTTATCTTCTGCAGAGCTGTCGGTATCACACTGTTGGAGGAATCGTAGGTAGTTAGCCAATGTGTCGATGCCATCACCAGTCAACAGGGCGTGTAGACATACAGTCGAGTCCAAGCAGTGGGCTAGGTCCATGATCAAGAGTTCTTCCCGTAGGTACTTCAAACAGGCGTCACCGCACCACTGGTTGCAATCGCCTCCGTTGCCCTTTGGTAGACCTGAGTTGCAGATGCAGGGAATAGTGTCACCAATTGCTGCAACGATTGTCGAACGGATGACAGCAATGGCAAGGCAAATGTTGAAAGATTTCATTTTCAAAGTTGACATGTGTCAGTTGAGATTAGAAAGGCGGGGTATGGCTGTCAATACAAGGCCACTTAAGAGGTATGAAACTGGGGGACCATGGGACTCTTAAAATGGGAGCAACCCTGAGATTTAGGCTGGAGAGCATTATGGAATGGCGGACAAGGCTGTGCTTCCGAAAGTGTCTGGATGAAGAACGTATTCAGCACTGTGAACAGGTGTTATTCTGCCGACAGCTGGCTGGCAGTTGTGTGCCATTCAGGGGTGTCTCTGTTGTGGTCTTCCCCATTGTTGACGAGAGGCCGCTTGCACACAAGTACCTGGAAAACTTATTTATGGCAGTTGTTCGTCCCTCATATCAAGAAGCCATATCACAGGCTCATTATGTCAAATCTTCTCTTGCTCTTTTCCTTTTATTCTTCAGATTCAGTGTACTCGTAGAGTACCTAACCTTAACAAGTTCACCTAGTTACGTAGTTGCAATACGTGCTCGCATTGCCGCCCATACTATTGATTAGCATGTTCCTCATCTCCGCCCTCTGGCAGACCTTTAGCCGTAGTGTCATTGTTGACCCGCCCTCGACAAGGCCCTTGAACTTCTCATGCTTGAGGGCGACGAAGGCGCGAATCTCCCGATACGTGACAAGCTGGCCCTTTTTCAAAGAATCTCCGGGTCGGCTTCCTGGTCGTACTCGTCGAGATTCCCGTTAGTGAGGCGTAAGAAGCGAAAAACGCGTTTGCCTTGGGGGAGACCCCTGCGTCCGTCTCTGCTCTGCGTACCACGTCGAGGATGTTATCTCCTTAAATCTCCTTCAGAACCTCCTCGGCTGTCTTCGCGCCGGCGTCGAGCAGAATCCTGATTATGTGCGTCTGGTTCATCTGGCGGGCCATGTCGAGCGGCGTCGTCGAGATATCCCACAAGGTGTTCAGGTCCACTTTCCACTTGAGCAGCTCACGCACGCAGTCGGTGTGGCCGCTGTTGGCGGCCCAGTGCAGTGGAGCCTAGCCGTAATTGGTAGTGATGGACGGGTTGACACTGTTCTGGAGCAGGAACTTGACGTTCTCGATGTCGCCGCTTGCCGCCGCCTGGTATAACCTCGTGATGCCGGCCGGACCTCTTTCGTTGGGATCGGCGCCGGCGATTCGCAGAAGTTGGACCACTGGTTCCCCCAGCTTGCTGTCAGCTTTTGCGTACGGAACAAAGAGAAATCTCTTATATATGTATATGCTCACCCTCTTTGTGCTCCCTGTCTCCGTTCGCTGTGTATGTTATCTAGCCCTCCGCATCCCGCAGGTCTAGCTTGGCGTTTCGGTCGAGAAGAAGCTTGACGACCTCCACGTAGTTCTGGGCCGCAGCGATGTGCAGCGCCGTCTTGCGCCCTAGGCCGCGCGCGTTAACCCCGACACCGCTTTTTAGCATCTTCTCGACAACCGACAGGTGGTTCGCCTCGACGGCGAGGAAGGAGGCGGTGATGTAAAACATCGACATCTCCGCCGGGAAGGTCGCCTCGCCCGCCGCGAGCAGCTTTTAGATTGCGCCGATATCGCCTAGGCCTGCGGCAAGCATCAGCTGAAGGTAAGTACTAGGCTGTATCGCCGGGGTAGACGCCTGCGCCTCTGATGCGGCCTGCCCCTCTAACACGGCCTGTTCCTTACAGTTCTCAGGAATGGCGCCCGGTTTCTCCGCTGGGCCCTCCGCTGGCTTCTCTGGCTGCCAGAGCTTGCCACCGGAGAGCAGCATAAGTAGAGATATTATGTAGTGAACAATGGCAAGAAGGGGCAGCCAGAAAGGGCTAGATTTGAGCATTTCAAGCGAGTGCGCGTCCATCACGACATCCTTCGGCGACGCATCTTTGAGAAAGCGGGCTTGAGGGTAAGGAGCAAGAGCAGGAGCAGGATCAGGAGCAAGGGTGAGATTTGTGGTGATCAAGCGCTTGATGATGTCGACTTTGTTGCTCTTGGCTGCGTGCCGCAGTATGTTATGGCCTGCCTTGTCGAGGAAATTGATGGATCCGCCGTGGCTGAGGATGACGTCCACCACGTCCCAGTTCTCTTCGGCAACCGCTATCGACAGCGGCATCCTGGAAACCGGATCGAGGATGTTGATGTCGAAGGGCGCGTCGGCTGTCTCAAGTATCCACAACACGGCTGGCGGCCAGCCGAGGAAGGCTGCCAGGTGGATGGCATTGGCCTCACGGTCTGGCGCCAGTCTCGGCATATATCCGGTCGACTGTGAAGCAAAATGACTGTCGTTGCTAGACTCCTCATCAGATGACCAGTCGAATTGCGAGTCTTCCATCATATCGTGCCAGAGATTATTCGGCCCAGGCTCTTCCTCTTCTTCCACCTCGTCAAACCCATCGCTGGCGTCGCTGCTTCCGCCACCGCCACCGTCACCGCCCCCAGACATAAATTAGAAACTCGCATAGTAGGACGAATCAAGAACTCGGAGAAGGAAGCTCCTTTTGGAGCCGCTCTGCAGGAACTCGACCAGCGACTGCGCGATCCTCGGCGCTGTCGGAGCATTGCTCAGCTTCCGCAGGTGATAGGCGATGTTCTTCGCTGCGTACTCGGCGAATGGAAACTTGTTCATTTTGTTCGAGTATGAGAGGCGGTTGTCGGCCGAGGCGCCATGGGCCTCGAAGCACCTCTGGAGCTCCTGCGGGTTCCGTGACTCGTCTGTGTCGTCGTCGGCGAACGAGATCTGGCCGTCCCGGTCATCGGGTTGCTCCAAGACCTTCAGGGATAGGTAGCTGGTGCAGGTCTGCACGATGGTAGCGTGGAAGCCGGAGAAGCGGTCCCTGAAGTAGCCCTGGGTGGTGTAGTGCACGCCGCAAACATCCCGTATGTCATCTTCGGGGTATATCATGTCCAAGTCCAGCTCAAAGTTGCCGGGGACGACGGAGAGGGCGTGCTGGAGCTCCTTGGTGGCCAGCGGGCGGCTGGCGCACGCGATCCACGACAGAGTGTCGACGGCAAGCTTCCTGTCGGCCTCTTCCATGCCGAAGATGCGTGCCATGGTGTGCTCGTACAGGTCGTCGATCTTGCGCGGGAGGCTACATAGGCTGCCACGGATCCCCCCCCTAGGTCCGCTCAGCCTCGATAGACTGCATCTGGAGAAAGGCGACCAAGAACCTAGGCAAATTACGACCTTTTAGCCCCGTTACCTCTACCGCGCCGATTTTAGTCGTGGTCACTCAAATGCTATCGCACGCGCTCTTGATGCTATTCTTCACTTCTTCCTGGAGCGTGGGGTCCATCTTCAGGAACTTCTTCAGCCGCGGATATGATTTGAACTCGTGGTCGATGAAGAGATCGAGATCGGTCGAGTTTGCCGTGATCTGAATCTGCTCAGAGTCGCTCGAAACCTCGTCGAATTCATCCAGCAGCCGAGACGTCACCAAAAGCCTGACGTTGCTGGACTCCGGTTGGAGGAGGCTCATGAGCCGGAGCCAGTACTCGGGCTTGCATTCGTCCAAAGCGTCGACGACGATGAAGGCGAAAATGAGGGCCAAAATGGCCAGAAATGGTTGACAAATTGGTATTACAGTAAGTTGGTTGTTGGTTTTTAAGTCTTAAAGTAAACAGTAGGAAAATCCAGCCTTACGAGCAAACCGGTGTGGGTTTGGTGAAACCTGGGCCCCTTGTCTGGTGCCCCACACCCTGTGACATGGGGGCGACCTACGCATCCCTAAGCACCATAATTTGAGCAGACTGCCGGATCTCCACTTATCGAACCTGTCTGACTCGATGAGCCACCTCCCCGGGTAATTGTCGTTGTCGCCCGAGTCGGCGTGATGCGCGATGTGCGCCTGCTCTGGATGCGGCCGTGTGTCTGGTAGAAGCTGACGCGTGGCGCCAGCCAGTTCAGGATGTCGGCATCGCGCCTATTGAAGGTGGATGCTCGCCTGGTTATGTAGACGTTGTTGCCGTTGTGGACTCGCGCGTTGCCGTCGACGACCTGACTCTCTATCGAGATCGTGCCTTGCTTCTTTAGGCCCTCTTCATCATGCTCGGCCCAGCCCCTGTCCTTCGGTGCCGCCCTCATCGTCTAGTTGAGCTCAGTGTGGTTCATCTTCTGGCACTGCACTGAAAGACCAAATAGGGTAATGGTGTGCGTATCGCCCTGGAAGTAACAACACCCGATGCAAGGCTCCCGCCGCGAGAAAAGGGGGAAAAGAAGGAAGAAAACAGCGGTCCCGGCGGCTGATGCTAATGTATGTCAGATTATATGTAAAGGGGTTGATGACCAGGGTAGATAAAGTAGATGTACCTAGAGGTAACTAGGATTTCCCTAAAACATGCACCCTGTAGACGCCGAAACCTAAGGTACCTAGGTACCCCAGCCACTCATGGAATTGGAAATATCTAGACGTGAATTCAGACTATCTTTTGACTTTGCGTCCGCCCAGGCTCGGCGCCTTCATGTTGTAGGTGGGAAATGGTGCCGAACCCATGTGTACAGACACCGAGAAGATCAGCGCAGGGCCGCCGGCGGAGCTAAAGGATACACTGGAACTGCTCCGCATCCTGGCCGCCCAAGTTGACGGCGCTGTCGGCGCGAAGGCGGTAGAGGCCGCCGCCAGCCATGGTATTTCTATCGGGTCTGTCGACGTAACGGACAAGGCCAGGCTGCGGAGCGGCAATTTCGTCAGCACTGCCTGGAAAGAGGAGATGAATCTCCCCCAGACTGACAGCACCGTGGCTATCAGCTCCCTGCGCGCCGGAGGCGAGTCGCGTGTCACGGCTGGCAACACGTACGCCGAGAAAGACAGCTTCTGGGACTGGGGGCGTGCAGGTGCATCGTACCCTGGCTCAAGTTTGCAAGCTTTGCTTTGTAGGTACCTACCTACCTAGGTAGCACCACATTGTATTCCATCTCTCTCCTGCTGCGCGACAATTTAAAACTATCGGTGGTATTCCTGACCCAATGCGTTGAATGAAATGGTCGTTTCCTGAGTATGTAACGACGGGGTGCTCGTTACCTTGACTTTGTAATTGACAATTGAATGCCCGAGGCTAGCTGTAGCAGATTTATTTAGTCATTCTTGCAGACAGGCAGAGCATTGACCCCCATTCCTAACAGTGAATGCCAAGTCAGCAGGCGGAGGAGGGAACCCGGCGGCAGATTCCGAACCCGAGGGGTCTGCTACTCCCACAGGAGCAATCATTAGAGGTGTGGTAGGAGGTGTTGTTGGTATTGCGATCCTGGCTATTGTCATGTGGCTCCTCCACCGCCGTCGAGCAGAGTATCAGCAACTAAGCATACAACAAGGGTGATTACACTGTCTTGGGTGTCAATACACCCAGGCTGGACGCCGGGTATCAGTACATGTTGTAGGGCTGGTGACCTAGGAAAGTCACTGGCTGCGAAAATGAGGCCAAAATTGGCCAGAAAATGGTAAACAAATTAGTATTACAGTAGTTGGTTGTTTGTTAGAAAGAAAACAGTAAGAAAATCCAGCCCCAAGAGCAAACCGGTGTGGGTCTGGGAAAACCCAGGCCCTTCAGTGTCCCACACATGTACTCGGAGTTGCCTGGGTATGCGCAAAGGCACAATGGAGCACCTGTTGCAATCCGCATTTCAAATCGGAGAGCTTAGTCCTCAACATCTCCCTGCGGAGATGCCTAGCCATCAAGTGGCCGTCAGGCCAAGTTAGAGCGCAGGGTCTGGAAGATGGTGGGCGAAAGACGATTGCAAGCTGGGGACAAGTACCTAGTTGGTAATTCAAGTTATTTGTGAGATTGTTTGGAACGTTGTCTGATTTGATCAAATGCGCTTGCTTTGCTGTTTCATCTTTTTCAAAGAGTAAGCATCGCATTGTGTCAGCGGCGCATCCGATCTTGTTTTAGCTAACCGCTGGCTGAAAACCATCGTGCTGTGGCTGAAGCTGATGTTTCTCAAAGCAATTGGTCGCGTCGGACTCTACAACGAGGTCTCAGCCTCAACTGTACCGCACAATGTCGCGTTTAATCTTCTAAATTCAACAGCCCCCAGATGCGCAAACGTCTCGCATAAAATTGAAGTACAAGCCAGTCCCCATTCAAAGCGTTCCTGAGTTCTGTTGTGTCACTAATTCTCCCATCTTTCTTTGGCCCAAGTCCAGTCTCCTTCATTCACTTTTTACATCTCGCATAAAATACGTTCTTATACATACATCAACCTTTTCCTCCTTTTCTGTCGTCTCTTGTCACAGTAATCATGAATTGCAAAGGGGCGTCAATGTCAGCCTTTCTTTTGGTGGCAAATTTTGGAGCAGCTCTTGTCGAGGCGGGAGTGCTCTATGTGCCCTCTACGGGTAATCATTGGCAAAGAACAGGTACCGACTCACAAGTTTTACATTTAGTCTAGGTACCCTAGAAGGTTACTGACATCTTCCGTGCCAGTAACTGCAAGATCGGAAGATGGGGAAAAAGATTCCAATGGAGCGATCACTGGCGGCGTAGTAGGAGGAGTTGTCGGTCTTCTGGCCCTCAGTGTCCTCTTATGGTCCTTCTACGCTCGACAAACCAGAAACACACCTGTGGCAAACACAAACACCTCTGCTACCACGGACTCTGAGTTGGAGCAGTTACCTAAATACCAACAGTTTGATCCGAATCAGGCTAGCAAAGACAATTATTCAGGACCCAGCGCACCCGAGATGAAGGTTGGGGACGGGTCTCCCGACCTGCCCGAGTATACTCGAGACCCTCCCCAACAATCAGAAAAATCTGTGGTGCCACCGACAGATTCCGTTCCCGAACCGAAGACGCCCGTTGGTAACGGTTCAACGGCACAGGTCAATCATGCATAGTTGAGGTTATGGAAATGGATCAACTACACGGGGCTTGGGGTGTTCAATGGTTACATATTCGCACTAAAATATGAGCGAGGGTTACGTGGTGATATGTGGGCTAGATAAATGTTCATTACTTTGACATCGGTTAATCTATTAGTATGTATTTATAGATTTCTTCTTGCAACCTCGAGAGAACCCCTGCAGTCCAACAGTCTTGGGTAATATCAACATGCATATCCGCGGGATAACCCTCTATGAGAAGTCTCTCTGGAGGACTTCCAGACATTTATATCATAACACCATTGAGATGACAGGCTTCAGGGACATGCACAGACAGGGTACCTTGATCTTGTTTTCAAGATGCCCAACTTCGTTTCATATGCGCTATTCAGCTTCACGGCGCTTGTGTGATTGACTAGAGCTTCAGAAGAACTCACACCTGATGCATGCCGACCTATTATTGCCGACTATGTGGACGGGGGTTCGTACCTTTTCAATGGAAGTTCACCGCAGAATTTCATGGTTGTGGAAGTGTTTCTAGGTGAACAACATAGCAGTCGGAGCGCCCCGGGAAGAGCCAATCCAATACCTGAACAGATGATTGTCCCATTGGGTTCAAGGTCATCCCAACCGTGGCCCAGTCCGGAAAGAAGGACACCCGATATGTTTGCAACAGCGTTGGCTTCACATTAAATAGGCGAGGATCAACTTGGCTCTCTTCATGACACGCAGTGCACAGTTCTACAGGCTACCTATCATGTCACCCCTCCCTAACCAGTCTTCTAGTCCCCTGCCGCTGAGTCAAATCACGTCGGAAGTCCTTCGATCCCAATACTAGCAACTGCAACCAGAACCACAACAGCAATGATGACATATACCCGTTACAATTTTACGTCACCTGCCTACAATACAAGCACATACCCTACAAGCACCTGCGCTATAACACAAGTCGTGACAACAATGATCGATCTTGGTACCAGAATCTCAACAGGTGATCCAACAGGGTAGGACTATGGTCACGTCGATGTTATCGAAACAGTGAGTTCAGGTTTTTCATAACGGAAAAATTTGCACCACCCTGCCAGCAAACTGCCACCCCAGATATCACGCCGAGCGGGACGAGATCGGTGATGGTGACCGTCACGGCAAGTAAGTCAGCGATCCTGGGTTGAAATTACGAATGTACATGTATGCTGAGAGGGACCAAGCTGTGACAACTGTGGTGACGAGAACGCAAGTATGATGCGCTTTTAATCACTAAATGAAAGCTAAACGTACTGGTTAACCCGGTGTTTAAGGAGAATTTTGTTTGGGACCCCTTCGATCTGGTGTGGACACCCCTCCCCATTTCCATGCTTTTAACATTACGAGATACGTTAACCTACTTTTAAGGAGATATAATTTTTACTACTGTTTTATAAAAAGATAATAAAAATATTTAGTCTGCAATAGCCCAAAAATAAGTATTACCGATATTTTTTACTGTTATTTCTTTTTTAAAAAAAGGTAAATATTTAAAATATATATGCAGAGCTTTCGGAAAAGCAGTGTAAGTAAAATCGAATTCATCTTGGAAGTCGGAGTAAGTGGGAAGTGAGTGCTGGATTTTTGGATTTTCTTCTCAGGGTTAGGATTTAGGTGGCTAGAGGGGTCCCAAACAAAATTCTCTAACTAAGACCCCCAGGCCTCGTTGGCTCACCGGCGAGATCTGTGCCGTATTATCCAACTTCATCTGCTGCCACAACCACGACGAGTCATAAACCTCACAATCGTGATTCGGGTACTACCACTCGTTCCTTGCGAACAGCAACAACTGTACACTATTCGACGTAGGTTCTGCCCATCTTGGTTGTACGCAAAACCGCTGCAATTACTAATAACATCACAGGAAAACAGTTTCGACGATTGTCAGCAACAAGACAGTGGAAGGGCATTGCAGTTGACGTAGGAGGTCTAGATTGTAATAGTCAGATTGTTTGAGTGTAGCATACTCGAGGCAACATATTGTCAGTTTTAGTCACGATACTTCCATGTCACTAGGTAGAAGCAGAATAGGTGCAAGTGCAAAAATGTTTATGAAAGTCACTTCTATTCCATGTTGTTACAAGTCCACCCAAACACTGAGATCAAATCATCCATTACACTATTGCACTGAAGCCTTCAAAATCCCAATTCCAGAACGCCAAATTCCCTTCCTGATAGTACATGTTCTAGCTGCTATTCATCGCAACCCTCCGCTTAGAAAATGGTGATCCGTCTCCTCTCATAAGCCTTGGCCTTGGGAACCCGGATTCTAAGAATGCCGTGCTCAAGGGCGGCAGTGACCTCGTCGGTATTGATGCGGCCAGGGAATTGGAATGTCCTGGAAAACTCGCCAAAGTTTCTCTCCTGGAGCCAGTACTTGGCAGGTGTTGGTGTCTGCTGGGTTTGTTGCTGGGCAGGCTGCTTGACAATGGCAGTGGGGGTGGTGGGTGAGGCAGGGCGGCTGGTCACAGGAGTGACGGCGTCGTACTCCTCATCCTCGGTGTCGTCCTCGACAGTCGCCTGGTAAGGGCTTCTTGGTCTTGGCTGCTCCTCGGGGTTCTCAGAGATGGTCTCTTGGGATGGTGCGAACAGCTGCTCGTAGTTGCGCTCGACTTTGCCAGAGATGGTGATTGTCTGGTCTTCGGGGAACTCAATGGTGATGTTTTCCTTTGCAACACCAGGAAGGTCGGCGTAGAGCTCATACGCATCCTCTACCTCCCGCACATCAAAGGCTGGCTGGAAGCGCTGAGGCCGGGCCTGGGGAAGAGCCCTCTGTCGTGGCTGCTGCTGAAGGTGAGGCTGCTGGGGCTGCTGCGTCTTGGGGCGCTGTTGCTGCTGGTGCTTGCGCTCAGGCTGTTGCTGTTGCTGGGCTTGCTCCCACTCATCAAGGAAGCGGAAGAGAGGCATGAAGTTGGGCTCCTCGGGAGCGCAGAAAGCGGGGGCAAAGAACATCGACATATTGACTGTTGGAGTGTTCTTGTTGATGCGGGTGATAGATTGTATTTTTGAAGTTGTTGTAGCTGAGTGATGTTCTTTGAGCGTGGTTGGAAGGCTTGGGTTGTTGTGTTGAAGCTGGCGATTAAGTGTTTGTTTGTTGATGCTGATGCTGATTCCGATGAGAACATTTGGACAAAGAAAGCGCAAAACTGGCAACTTAAGTATTCAATTGAGCTGTATCTAGACTACACTACATTACGAAGCTTTGAAGGTGTTGCGAATGCTCCAGAATCGTCTTGCTGAAACGCGACACTCTGATGCCTGGAAACAGCATCACCAAAGCAGACCAGCAAGTGCTGGAAACCACTGGAAGTCACTGCACCCACAGCTGTTTGGGAGTGCTGGAAACTTCCAGAAACTGTCGCTGCTTGAACTTGGTAAGCTGATCCGAAGCTGCTTATCGATAAGGTAAGGCTTTTATCTTATCGGAGCTGAAAGCCTTGGCACATACACTCGCTGGGTTAGGGTTGGTCAAGGCTGTGCAAGAGATGCTACCCCCATTATTTGGACCCACTTGCCCCTGAGAGCAATTGCACAGGCCTTATCCCTTCTGACCAGGATCCCAATCCCATCGGATTACTAAGAAAGGAAAACAATCTTGGCCCCTGTGCTAGTAGACGCGTCGGGGTGATTTGTTTCTTTGGCCTAACATTGTCTTTCACTGACGTTGACCACCAACTATAGTCACTCTTTCAGCAGCACCAACGCGCGCATACAAGATGCATCTTCCTATGCAATTTCTCCTCGCTTCGGCTCTTCTTACCGGCCTTGGTGTTTTCGCCCGCGGCCCGCCCGGCTCTGGCCCCCCCTCAGCAGAGGATGGACCCGACAAGCTGGAAAAGTGTGGTTGCACCAAGATTGCAAACGCTATCATGAAGTGCCAGGGAATCGACTGGAAGAACACAAGGTCCGACAAAGAAACCCGCGACTGCGTGTGTATTTCCAATGAAGACCGCGAAAACGCGTGGTATGGTTACATCCACAACTGCCGCGCTTGCCTCAGCCCAGGCAGCTACGACATCAACGATTTTTTCGACAACTTCTCACGCACATTCTCGCAACTGTTGGTTTCCTGCACCAATGCTGGCGGAGGTGTCACTGCAGATGGGAGCAGCATTTGCGCTAGCAATTACTACTTTGAAGGCTGTGTTTCACTTAAACCTAATGGCAACAGCTGGGCCAGTTATGAGGTTTTTGGTCGGAATGGCGATGAGGCTCAGAAAGGGAACGGAACGAGGGCCCTCAATTTGGTGAACCCCAATGGAGATGACTCGGACTCGGACTCGGACGACGAAGGAACCAGCACGACCCTCACCCTGACTACTTCTACCAGCTCGGTCACTGCCCCGACTACGGATGGCCAGGATGTCACGACCACCCAAGCTGAAGAATCTGCAACTCAGGATCCTACAACCAGTACCGAGACTACTCCTGCTGGTACTACCGCCCCTGCTGGGTCTTCTGCTATGAGCGGCGCTGTCGTCCCTGGGTTTATGATGACTGTTGTTTTGGGAGTGGGATCCATGTTGATTTAGAGGGTACATGGCACTTAACACGAACGATGATGTTGAAAATGTTGAAATAATAGGGGTAAATAGGGGTTTATAAACATTGAGCTTCTCCTGTGGACGGGCGTATTACATGTGTAATCAGAAGGAAGGAGACATCGGTCCCTACTTTTATGGATCTTGAACCATGCAAAGCTTATCCGAAATAATGTAAATTCACTCTTCTCCAGACTCCGACGCTGCGAAAAAACCTCTAGCTTTCCTTCCACTTTCAGGCCAACTCCTCTTGATTCTTCGGCGTATAATATCTCTTGGTTGGTTTCTCCGGTGGTCCGTCGATGTTCTTTTTCTGCTCCTCAATGTCCCACTCCAACGGATCGTCCTTGATCTCCTCCTGATTGAGAAGCGCATGCAACTTGTCATTGGTCTCGACAATGGTGCGACGAGCCTGTTCGATCTCCCACTTCAGCTCTTGGACGTTGAAGACGAGGTCGGAGACTCTCTGCCGGGCTTTGTTGACAATGTCGGGGATCCTGCCGGTGAACTCGTCGGCAATGTCCTTGGTGGCCGGATAAGCAACGCTGAGGGCCTTTTTGTAGGCTTCGGTGATGGATGTGAGGCTGAAAAAGCCTCCCTCTGGCTTGGTGTACACTTCGAGCTGTTGATTTGAGTCGGTTTCAGACATCTTTGAATGGGAGTGTCTGGAAATGTCAGCTAACTCTGTGCTGTTACGGTTGTGCGTAGATGGAGCTCAAGTTCAACTCACGTGAAGCTCTGCTAGAAATGAGTAAGAGAGACCGGGCTACCACTGAGCGTCCGGTCAGTAGGGGATTGGTGAGAGGTGTGGTCTGTAAGGTATGTAGTAGTGACTTCTGGTAAGTGATATCCTATCGAGCTCTGTGCTACTCTATTTTCCCTTGAAGGAAACTAGACGATTTATACATCCTCGCGCCTTTGTTGATCCCGAATGTCTCCGTCCTCGAAGCCATAGGAGACGATGAGACTAGCGGCTGTGAATGCCCTCAGACGGCGATGTCGACGCCAATCCAAGACTGACTGCACTCATGCCTAACTTCATAGCCTGGAAATGCTTCCCTCATTTTCTTTGTCCTCAATTTTGAGGATCTCGGTCGGAAGGCTGGGACAGCTGGCACCGTCTAAGCTCATTCTAAGACTGTGGCCGGGTTCCAAGGCGTAAAGGATTGGTCGCCTGATGAAGTTAGGCTTGGGATAAACGGTGTTGCCGTTCTGCTCAACATGGCAGAGCCCTGCTTGCATGCATAAGACACGTCGGGTTCGTGCCTAGTAAGGCCGTTATCAACACCGGCATCTCACAGAGCACACCATTTGCCCCCCACCTTGAACTACTTGTCGGCACCTTGTTGCGGAACCAGGTACATTCCCTGTATTTTCGGGGTCGGCAAAGTCGGTTTGAACCTCTTTTTTATGCTACTGCATGCCATGCGCAATGTCGGGTGGTGTACAGCTGCCCGACGACAAACCTGCATGCAGATGACAGAAGGCTTGGCAAGCATCGGGGCAATTAGCGAACTATCGTTCGCCAACAAATGCGGCTTTATGCGTAGTTATGATCACAAGGACAGTCTTGTATGACGAGAGTGTAGCTATTCTAACATGATGTTATGCGCTAGGTAATTACCAAACACCGTGACATCCCAGACGACACATGGTTGTCGCTGACAACACCGACAACCAGACAATCAGAACGACTTTGATCGGGTTCGGCCTGTCCGGTACCTTATCCCACCCTCCAATTCCCGGATTCTCTCCTCCAGTAGCTTTTCCAAGGCTGTCGGGGATGACAAGAAGGTGAACTCAGTGTCATCCACCTGGATGTACTTCCTCAACTGATTCCGCAGCCGCGATATCTCCTCCTTTTGATCCTCGCATTGATATGTCAACTCCCAGTTGTGAGATATCTCCGCGCCAAGTCGCTGCTCCACCTTCTTGATTTTGCTTCCAAGTTCTGCAATCTTGTGTTGCAGGCTAACCTCCAGTACTGTTGCGGGTATCATGGCTGGGTTCATGTTGTTGGGATCGCTAAGAGGTATACTATCCCGAAGTTGTGCCTCCAATCTGCGGACTTTGTCTTTCAGGTCGTTGCATTGGTACTCTAGCTCCCACTTTCTCGAGACATTTTCCTTTGTTATTACTTCCAGCCGCGATACTCGCTCTAGTGCCAGCCGGGCCTGAGGGTTGAGTTGGGCGTTTGCGTCCATAGGCGACGTGGAACTGATCAGTAGCGTGATGGGTCCTAGAGATGTTTCCGGGTTGCTGCTGGAGTGGAAGTCCGATGATCTGGTGTGTGTGGACGCGTACCTCGAGGCTTGGTGACGTCGTTTCCAACTACATGCAGATTTTTCATGTGCTACGTGAAGATTGAACTGTCAATCTTTCTCCCTTATCCCGGTCATGTGCAAGGCAGGTGGTGCAGCAAGGCAGGACTGGCTTCAACTTTGAGGGTCAGGTTGGGCACCAGCCAACACGAGCAACCCAATCACCCACGCCAAGTCCCTGACAGGACCCCCACACAAGGTGCCCTTCCACACCAAGGTTCGGAGCGTCCCGGTATCCAGTAAGAAGCTGTCCCATGAGCCTCATTGTGATGAATCGATGCGAGAAGTGACATGTTCACTTAACCCCCCCCGGACTGATGCAGAGAAATGGGTTCGCCATGTCCACCAAGCTCTTGGTACCCCTGAAACCAGCCCCACTAACTCCAAACTACACAATCCCAAGTTTACGATGACGACTTCCATTTACAGACCCAGACAAGAAGAGAAAGCTTTTGATGACAGCGGTGGCTCTGCTATTAAAGTCCTTCATCCAAAGAACGAGCCCACAGCTAGGGTACAGGCCGAGTAAGTTCACATCCTATAGGTTTGCAATGAACTTATCAGATCAGTGCTAAGTATTCCCAAACAACAGTGTTGTCCTTGTGCCCGGACTTGGGGGACACTTCATCAAGACCTGGCAGGCGAAAGACGACTTGAAAACCGTCTGGCCATCAGATCTCTTGCCTGACTACGTTACGGATATCAGAGTTCTTTCATTCCAGTACAACACCTCGCTCAATGGCACCATGAGCATGCTTGGTATAACAGAGCATGCAAATGACTTGCTGAATTGGTTGTACAACAATCGAGAAGATGATGAACCCGCTACCTTGCGGCCAATAATATTTGTCGGCCATAGCCTGGGAGGGATGATCATCAAGAGGGCATTGTACGTGGCTCGCTTTGTCCAGCAAAGATATAGGGGGATTTGGGAGGCATCCCGCGGCGTTGTAAGTTTCAACCGGCAACAGTCATCGGGGTGGCTAACACTGAGAAGCTGACGCTAATGAAATCTCAGATGTTCTTTGCAACTCCTCACCATGGGCTCGATAGGAACACTTGGAGGGACTTTGCTCGATTTGTGCTTCAACACGACGCTCCAGTAAAGGGAGCAATGCCCACCCGCACCATGGTCCGACAACTTGAGAAAAACTGTGATAATCTCCGAGATATCACAGAAGATTTCAAGCCCTTGTATGACAGCCTAGCATTTGTTACATTTGTTGAAGAAGAACCAATGCCGGGTCTGAAACATGTTGTATGTACATGCTTCACTACCTCTCTCTTGCAGTATCCTAGAGTATTCTCCATCTTGTCCAGTTATGCACCATAAAAGCCCAAAGCTTGAAATGCAGCTGCTGACAGGCTCCCTCACTACTTAGCTTGTGAATAGTCTTTATGGGAAAATGCATCATGGTCATGAGAGGCACGACATGCTCGCAGGTAACCATCTCACAATCTGCCAATTTACCAGAGAGGAAACTGGTGCGTTTCGGCTCATTTGGGACGGAGTCGAGTTTCTCAAAAAAGACAAACCAAATGCACTGGGTACGTATGCAGAGATTCCGTGTCCAGTCTATTCATGTGGATGTTGACTAAGACTTCTACATGCCTTCAGACATGGCTGGTTACTTAGCCAAGAGAGCCCTGTATTCACTCTCTTCCGACAAATTCCACGCCTACTTTCTCGGGAGACAGCACACTCCTGGAACGGGCGACTGGATAAAAGAGCGTCCCGAGTTTCAATATTGGTGCAAAGGGGAGGCTGGGAATGGCAAGCTGTGGATACACGGCCCGGCAGGCAGCGGTAAAAGCTTCTTGACCAAGCACATCATTACACACATCCTACAGCCTAACAACATTGTCCGATCTGACAGCACGGTTCCACACGAAAGGCAGGAGGTCATTCATTGTTTTCTCAGCAACATGTATGCATCAAGAAACAACATCGATGCTCTTCTACAATCTACTTTGCACCAGGCCTTGCGACTTCAGCCTCAAATCATCAAGGAGTTCCTCCTGCCAACCTTTGAGGATGCTCAATCACGAGAAAGATCAAAAGGATCGGTGTGGACGGCAGAAAGGCTAGTGGAGCTGTGGCCCATAGCAATGGCAAGAGTGATCATGGGATATCAACACACCATGACGCTTGTCGTTGACGGGCTAGATGAAATCCCTTCTGATGACCAAACGGCCTTTTTACAATGTATCAAGAAGCTAGACCAAGGCCTCGGTCAGTCCAAGCAGTTGAGATTGTTGGTGGTCTCCCAACACAACTCAACGATCCAGAAGCACATTCAAAGCCTGGGAATCAACGACTGCCCCATTCAACGAGGAGACAATGAGGCAGACATTATGAGAAGTATCAGCGGCCTTTTGACACGTCTGTTGGAGAAGGTAGCACCTGGTGACGAAGATTTCAGAACGAGGGTGCTGGGTGACATCAAGGGCAACAGGGTCGATGACTCGTATCTGCGGTCAATTCTAAGAAGCGAAGAGCTGAAACGCACACGCCTGAAGGACAAAGACGACATTCTAAAGGCTCTGAAAGAGATTCCAGATGATACACAGCATCTCTGTGATCGCCACTCAGACCGCCTGCTAAACAGCTACGATCCAGACACATCCCGGTTCATCAAAAATGTCCTCACCTGGGCCGCCTTTCAGGAAGATGCGCTCAACATCACGGAACTTAACACCGCTTTGGCAGTGGCCAAAGCCATGCGCAAGTTCCCAGGAGCCATCATCACAGAGAAACAGCTAGCCGATTGCCTCGACGAGAACCTCAAGGCCAAAGTCGATTTCTACTGCGGACCGCTTGTCAACTTCGCTGATGGACGCCTTTCGTCTCTTCACCGAACCGCCAAGAGCCATATTGCAACCAAGCTCGAAACTATTGCTGAGAAGAACCCAGAGGAACTCACCCCTCAAGGCCTACTCGCAAGCAGTTGCACAATGTACCTCAGCATGCAAGAGGCAGAACGACCGGCTGGAGAAAGCTCCGAAACCAGTTGGGAGTCTCGAATCCGGAAGACATTGAAGGACCGCCCGTTCATGCGTTATGCTTCGCTATACTGGCACAAACACTATCATCAAGCAGGGGAAGACGTTGACGCAGACACCCAGAGACAGAAAGAATTGCTGACGCAAGAAGGGGATGGTCGTGCCAAGTCTTGGACCGAAGTGTGGTGGTTCATGAGAAGGGGGTCGGAGCAAGCCTTCCCCGAGGAGGACCTTCGTCTGGCGGACAAGATTGTCAATAGCCCGCCTGACAACCCAGGAGGCGGTGACAGTGAGGTTTCTGGATCATTGCCTCCACGGCACCAGACAACCCGACGCCAGGCCGATACATCGGGTTGCACCCTTCCTCCGCACGAGAGATCCGGACACGTCAAGAGGGCCAGCTGGAAGGAAGATAAGATACGATTGCAATCCTCGCAACCGATGATCATCATTGAGAAGGAGATTATTGAGGTGGAGAGAGAGGTCGTAAAGGAGGTTCCAGTCGAGAAACAAGTTGTCAAAGAGGTCGTGAAAGAAGTCAAAGTAGACGTCGTAAGAGAGGTCAAAGTGGACGTCGTGAGAGAAGTTCCGAGGGACGTTGTCAAAGTAGTGATCAAACCAGAGGTGCAGCAGATCGACAGGATACAATACATCGAGAAGAAGAAGAACAGGAAACAAAGGAGCTATTTCGGGAATATCAAGAAAGCAGTCAGTAGTGTTGGTACGTCGCACCACAGTTCGGATGATTTGGTCTGGCCTAAGCTAACGAGAATATCACAGGTAAGGCAGTCCGAGGCAAGGATTTTGACTCTGACTGAGATTCGGCTACTGTTGATGACTTATATACCTACTGATACCCGCAACGCGACAGACATGAGTTAGAGAATATAGGAGTATGAACATCGCTGCTGACACAAAGCCACCGTTTTTATATGTCTAAAAGCTAGCAAAATGGTCTATCTGATCAAGGTCTGCTTCGAACGCAGACGGCCGGCAAAACGCTTCAGGAAGTTCGGCCTCCGCGAGTCCCGGCCGGAGTCAGAAGCATCAAGTTTTGCTCCCCAAGGCATTTCCTCTGCCTCTGAGACGGGAGGAGCCCCGATTTGACTTGGAGATTGAGCATGATTGGCTCTATTAGAGTCATCATCCTCCACCTCCTCGACACGGCCAAGCGTCATTGCCTCAGAAGCACCACTCTCCACAGTCACACTCCTCTGCTGGCTGTGCACCTGGCCAGTGAGGTCAGCGCCAATCATGATGTGTCTCTCCCTCACTGTTTCCGTGAAAATGGTGTAGGGCTGCCGAATTGTAGTCCTGGCGGTGCGTCCCTGAGTGTCGGATACCTCGCCACTCGGTATTTGTCCTAAAGGGACCATTCTCTCCTCCTTCCCAAGGGCTCTCTGAACAAACATCAGCAGCTCCTGCAGCGTTGGATCATCTCCCCCTGCAAAGCGGCACATATTGACATGATCAGCCTCCACTGGCATAGCCTCTTCGTTGCCACCTGCCATCATTCTAGCGCTGGTTTGGTCGACGATACACTTCTTTGTCCCAGGCCAAAACACAGTCTCATACCATGTCACAATGAGATAGCGATCTGTAAGCTCAACAAAGTCGTCGCAAAGTTTGCCTAGTCTGGGAGCAGAGGTGGTAATGGCATTGACAATGGGTGCCACGGAGCCCCTGCGGGGGGAAAGGACGGAATAACTTTCAGCGATGCGCTTCCAGTCTTGTTTCTTTGCTCCGGAGTGAGGGGTGCCAAAGAAAAACTTGACATGTCAGCAGACGGTGTGATGTATGCAAGCAAGACGTAAAACTTACCACAGCCTTTGTAGCATCGCCAATGTTGTGAAACCGGCGCTCAGCGCGGGCAAAGCACAATGCTTGTTTGATGATCAAACCTCCCAGACAGTGGGCGACAAAGATGATGGGACGATGAGGGTCAGATCTCCGGCCGGCATCAAGGTTGGAAAGAATTGATCTGGCCATGTCTCGAATATTGGCGGCAGAGTTGTTGAGGTAGATATCACCATTGTAACCATAAGACAGCACTCTGGTCTTGGGTCGAGCGTCAGGCAACAGCGCCTGGGGCCAGACCTGTTTGGTGTCCTGATGTCGCCATGTCTCGATTGGATCACCGTTGAGGCCGTGAATGAGGACAAGACTGGTACAGCGAGTTTAGCACATCTGAGATACTTACAGAGACGAGAAGAAGCAAGGCACTTACTCGAGGTCGGATGAGTCGGGTGTGTGGAGCTCTTTGATGAGCATTCTCTTGGGCTGGGCCATGGCTTCAGAGGCTTGAAATCTGCGTCGTAGTGTCGATATAGCCCGAGTTCAATGTAGAATGGCGGCTGGGTAGCGAGGGTCAGGTCACGTGTGGAGGTGTGGCCTGTGAATCGGACCGAAAGCTGTCGAAGCCATGTGTAGGCTGGAGTCGGTGGTTGTTATAAGCTCCTGCTGACCTTATCCAGCCGACAAACCAAGGTGATTTGGTGTTGACTTTTGGATCGGGTAGTCAATCAACCTTGACAACCTGTAAGACTGCAAGCAAGAAATGGAGCAAATTCCCAACCCAACGCACCCAGGTAACTTGATGCGGCAAGTCCGGCTCGAGGGAGACTAACGTATGCCCCCACTACCTTATGTTGACTTGTTCTCTTTTGTGCAATAACCAAGACAACAAAAATGGTGGAATGGCCATCAAAAGTCCTATGCCAAGCAAATACTGGATCCAGCGGTTATTGGTCGAATCAGACCCGAGGCCTGTGCCTGCTGCAACCAACACTGCCTGATACCTGCCCGACTTACAAGCTCACGCCCGCAAAGGTGGCGATGCATCTGGTGCTTCCAAGTGGTCCAGGTCAGAGGTACAGACTCTGCAAGGGACTAATCTGAGTCATTTTGACCTTGCCAACTCACTCTGTCTGTGCTAGGAGAAGCTGAAGGTTCGCTGTACCGAAGTGCAAACGGGTGCCCAACTTGATATGGAAGCAGGAAATAGGAAGGGAACCTATAATGTTAAGACGCATGATAGCCGAAACGTATAATACTATACGCGCATTCCAGAGCCCCCCAGTCAGTCAAACTAAACATCAAAAGTTGAACAAGAGACATCACCTTAGTTCACTGCCACGTCGTGATTCCCAATCATGGCCGGCGACTCCCAACAATCTGGATCTATACACCTTCTACATGCCCCCAAAGAGGGCCTCATCGAGCTTGAGTAGTTCTCACCTACCTTTGAAATGCCTATCAGTCTCAAATACGCTGACCACCTTGACCATAAGCATCATCGCTGTACATGGCCTCAACGGACATTACCTTCACACCTGGACTCACACGGACGCTCCGGCCAAGCCGGTTCGCCGTTGGAGTAGGTTACTACGGAAGGGTGCTACCAAAACCGACACAGACACAGTATGGCTGCGTGACCTTTTGCCCGAAAAGTTGCCAAACGCTCGCATCATGACCTTTGAGTATGATTCATCCATCTTTGGCAACAGGTCAGCATTCGGGATAGAAGAGAATGCCGCAAAACTTCTGGAAGAGTTGTGGAATGTGCGGGAAGACGTAGGTGACCTTGATATGCAAACGTCTTCACGCAGGCTCGCTGACATCGGAATCTAGGAAGCAGAAGGCCGCTCGATTGTCTTTATTGGGCATAGTCTTGGTGGCATTGTCATCAAACAGGCCATATCCACAGCTAATCAGAACCGACGGCGACTCTCACAACCCTGGTACGCTGACATAGCGGACTGCACCAGAGGCATAGTAAGTCATTTGAGTACCTCCCTATCGTATAAACTCCTCCCAGTCAGTGCTGACAGAAGATAGGTCTTCTTTGGAACCCCTCACCGAGGTGCTGACAAAACAAAGTGGCTCGGTCTTGTCTCACGCATTGTGCAAACAGCCACCAACCAGCCCAAGTCGAGATTCATCAATGTGCTCGAAACCCATTCACCACATCTACTTGAGTTCTCCGAGGACTTCAAGCCTTATGTCAATCAGTACGCCATTGCCAGCTTTTACGAAGAGCAACCGCATCGTCTCTTGGGCAGCCTGGTGGTGGAGAAAATGTCGGCCGTCTTGTGGCTAGCACATGAGGAGGCGGTCATGATGGGAGGTGATCATTCGAGCATGTGCAAGTTTGGGAAGAACGACAAGAGGTTTGATCTTGCCTGGCGGGCAATTCGACGAGTGTCAAAGGGGAGGCCGGATAACAATAGTGCAGTCGTGATGATGAGCTAAGGCTGTTGACACATATCCAGGAATGAGTCAGGTCTTTTGTGAAGTCACTTTGGTAAACAGACATCTTCAGTCTATCTGCTTACTATAAAACTCTTGGATATGGAAGACGGCGGACTTCAGATGTCTTTGGGTAAGCCCAGACGCGTTAGCAACTCGACAGGGCCTTGGTCTGTCCACTTCCTCATCCTGCCTTCATCCGATACCCAGACCATGCCCAAATACCCTGCAGCATTAGCATCAGCTCCGTTCATTCCAGCTTGGGTTCTCGGGATCACCAGGAGCCACTCCCGCGTAAGAATAATGTTGTGTGGAACTATCTCGGTAGCATCAACCCCATCCGGCGCGTTTGGGATATGACCTGCCTTCATCAATGCTTCTTGCGCAACAGCTGTAAACTCGAAATACCTTTCCCAGGCCTCTCTTTCTCTGGAGAGCTCATCCAAACGCCCATCAATATCATGTTTGTAGTACTTGAACGGAATGCACTTTGGTTCCTCGTACTTTGAAGCCGAGTCCGGCCACAGTCCAAACTCGGCCTCATCTGGAACTGCAAGTACTTGCATGTGCTTGTGCAACCTGCTGCACCCGCTATCGATTCCACAATTGAACATTCCCATGTACCGCCTGGCGCCAGGCTTCTTCGCTTCCCAGTCTTTGTTCAACACCGACAATACCCCCCACAAAGTACCAAAGTCGTCGAAATTCAGGCTCTCGTGCTGTCGTCGGTGTCCATTTTGCGTCAGGAGCAAGTAATGAGGCCGGGCAGCGCAAAACTTGTTGAAGATCATGTAGTGCCCGAGACCGACATCGGCATTGGAGTTGCGGACCTCAAAACCAGTGAGACTGATGTCGCTTCCAGGCAGGTATTCGGGTGTTTTTGGCCGGTGGGCTGTCGACCCATTGCTCGAGATAGAGGCTGAGGAAGCCGAGGGGGTACTGCCAGAACTGGAGACTTCGGGTTTGGAAGCGTGGCCTTTGAGGATTCGGAACTCGAACTGAAGTCAGAGTGTTAACCGTGAGTGAACAGCATGGCGTTCAGGAACAAACCTGGGAACTTACTGGAAAGCCATTGTACGTTTCTCTGATGACTTGATGGTCACCTTCGTATATGACGACACCTTCTTTCACTCGTTCATCGAATTCCTCCAGTAGCGCGTGCTCGTCGAGCTCCATATGAAAGTGTTTGGGATGCACCATTGTGGTACCGAATGCGGAGGCACTTTACATGTGTACTTGGTAGCCTTGTGATGATGGTTGAAGTCTCGAGCGGACTTGGTTTCGGCAGGTGGTTGGTTCAACGAAGTTGGCAACTCGAACCATGTCGTCAGATTTCCCAAGAAACTGCCCAAGTGGGTCAGTGGGCTTGCTGGTTCAACCAATCGCTGCTCGATTAATGCACCGGGGCGATTTCCGGCAGTCTTTTTGAACCAATCACTTTTGTAAACTTCATGTGCAAATGCTTCTGATCATTTTTCGATATCGGGCACCTTATCTCTCATTGAACCTTTCTCATTGAAGGTTATCGAACGATCATTTCAACAACATGTTGAAATAAGCTACCATGTTCGACGGGCACGAATGGCCAGTGAAGGGCCCAGGTGGTCCACCGTTCTTGGTCGAGGCAGGACACAAGTTTCAAGATGACCATGGCCCAAGTCACCAGTCTTAGTGCGGCGCAGATGTGCATCCAGATATCCACAGACATGGAACTTGGCTGTATGGACATGGGTCAGTGGTGGTGGCGGCACAGCATGTGCTTCAGCTACCCGATGGAAGCCAGTTACGAGCAAGAAAGTGCCTCGTCAGCTCCAACCAGATATTATGAGTCAGGTAGGTGGTGAAGTCTAGGTAAGAAAAAAGAAGCCTTAGATCTAGTTAATAAACGGAAAGCTTCAGGAGCCAACTTACTGAATATATAGCTGGTATTGCCACACTAGACACAAGGCTGTAAATGCTTCTTAACCGATATATATCGACAAGCAGTCATGCAGCTCTTCGATAATTGTGGGTCAAGCTACCACGATGGGATTTAGCTAAATCAGGACCTGATCCAACTCAGCAGAACGCCATGTCTTACTTCATTTTGTGTCCGTGCCGAGTACCGAGTTGGTGGTGGATAGGTGGCTGTGCCGCCATCAAACGTAATGGAATCTTCGATCTTCGGCTACCCCCGTAAGGCACGGCGCGGCGGGTCGGTCAAAGATGGGTTCTCTAACCGTATATTCAGGCTGGTCCCAGAGTCAAAATCCTACAGAAACACATATGTTGGTCAAGGTGGGGAGACTGTGACCTCCCAGAGGCCCATCAGCCCTTCTGCGATTAGCTTCTTCTCCACTATAGCTCGAACTTCATGATAGAACGGTGGCGTCGTATAGCGAAAAAGATGGGCCACCTAAACCTGGGCATGGCCACGGCTGTTAATGCTACGTTGGCGATATATTTGGGTTGAATGTGGAAGAACTATGAGATCATAGGGCGTGATAGAAAATGTATATCAACCCGACTTGTGTCACCACTCTTCCCCTTTCAATACCTCGTCAGCATCAGCTCGATCACTTCTGTCATTCTCGTCTTTCTTTCCCATCTCGCCGGTCGAGATCTTCAACTCACACTATCCATTCCTTACCTTATTTGTTATTATTTGAACAGGGTTCAATCTCAGTTTCTCTTGTCTTGCAAAATTCCTGCTGAAAATGTCCAGGCAATCCCGCACCCCTTCTCCCCCTCCCCTGATGGTCACTCATGTTGATGAGAGACTTGAAGGTACTGACCGCGTCAGCGCTGCAACTTGGACGAGGGAGATCATGTGGGATAATCCTTACCCTCCTACTGATGAGCAGCTGGAAGCATTCGGACGACAGTCATATGACTGGCTCGATAACAAGTACGGATCCAGAGCCTTTATCGGACAAAGCAGAAGAACTGGATCTCTCCTGGTTGCGACCATGTACATCCCATTTGGACTTGACGGCGGTGTTATTTACCAGAGCACCATTCCCCGAGGTGTCTTCCGACAGGAAATCTCACAGTACGGCTCCACCTACGCAGTGAACTGGTGGCATGCTGCTTCGTCCTTCGTCACAGTCACCAACCCTACCACACGCCAGCGGGAGGTCAGAAGCAACAGAGACGGGCCCCACCCCGACCACATCCACGCGGAGGATGTCCTTTACTACCTCGTCGAGCGAAACTACCGCGATAGGTTCATCCGTGGAGGAAAGTTCTACGCGCGCGATGGTCCTATCCGTATCATCGTGTATGGATTCAGACCCGGATACGACTACCGTCCTCGCGAGCAGCAGACTAGGGACCCTTACATCGGAGTCCAGGAGCTTTGCGCCCCGGGTCATCAAAAGAATGCCTGCTGTCAGGATATCTGCGCCCGCCTTGGCTGCACTTGGATCAAGCCGCGCATTCTCCGGGTAGCAACGAGCTCTACCAGCGCTGGTGGTGGCGGTGGCGGCGGTGCTGGAAGCAGCCGTGCACCACCTCCAGCCGGCGGTGATGGAAGTCGCCGCTCGGGTCCCAGCAGTGGTCGGCCTGGTGCTGGAGGAGGGGACCCTTATGGAGACAGCTCCCGCCGATCCGATTCAACACGGCCTGGACATCCTGGTGGTATGACGGAATTAACCATGAAGATGTCCGGAATGAGCGTCAAGAGTTCCAGGCGGGATGATACCACGGTACGCACGGATGGCCGTCACTCGAGCCGCAAAGAAGAGGTCCGTTCTTCTTCTCGGAGGGAGGATGTGTATCGCGATGATGGCCGTTCGAGCACCAGGCGCTCTGAAAGGGATCCCTACCGCGATGACGGAAGAAGCAGCAGGCGTACAACAGAGGCTGTCTATCGTGATGAGCGGGACCGATATGGGGAGGTTCGTCGTGTGATCAGAGGTTGAGCTAGAGGGGCTTTAGATAAATGGCATATGACGGTGTTTAGGGAGGCAAGGTAACAATCATGGCGTCAGGCGTTTTGGTTCAGGGGCAAGAAGTATGTAGCTGGTCTCATACAAATGTCGCATCCTTCTTTGCTCCGCGTGCTCCATTATGCTTGTCTCAAATTGTAAAGGTACCTTATAGCCTGAATGGAACAGTCAAAGCGTCAAGGCATTCCATTCTCTGCTCAACTTTGTCAGCAAATCCTCCTTTGAGCCCGTAAACTAGTCGATAAGAAACGAAGAGATAGGTGGCAGTCAAATAGAATCCTTCGCTCTCGCAACAACGCAAAATCTGTTACTATCTCCCACCAATCACCTCCCCCACAAGTTTCAGGAGCAAGCCATGAATCTTTTTGATCTTGACCCATGCCCCACGGTTCTAATTCTCATCACACTCCACTCTACAATCTACAGCTCTGCCAGCAGCACCGAATGCACATCGTTCAACCCAACTTGCGAAGGTCATACTACTTTCAAACAGCCGATGTCCAAAGCAACCACCTTTGCCCACTCCTTGAAAACAATCACACCATCTATCGCTCATTTTCTCCGGTCTCTAGATGCGATTTGCCTCAATCACATCTTTTTCTCATCTCCAGAAATCTTCCAAGACCCGGAGATTGTTATCAGATCCTACCAGTCCACTTCATCTATCATTTGGAACTCTCAACCTCTCATACCTGGAAAAAGTAACGAGGAAGGGCGTTTAGAAATTCACTTGATACCTTCTCCATCAAGTCTCTCAGAACAGCTGGAGATGATCAGGCTCCGAGGACATGTCGACACGATTCTAGTGGAAATGGCTGTCGAAGCTGAGAAACGTTGTCGCGAAGTCGTCTTACCCCGCTCAGCGAACGAGTGTGAAGAATACCCAAAAATGACACATGGAAGACGTGACGTAGAGCAAGACAAAGACGTCGGGGCTTGTAGTCTTCAAGGAGACTTCAGGGGATTAGCTACGGAATGTTTACGTGTGTTGGAGAGGATGGGGGGAGTGTCCGAGAAAGAAGGATGTAGGGAGAGCTAAACCTGTCATCTTGATTGCCATCCATCGCAACATGGAAAACATGAGACAGAAATTTTGGATATTTACTGTGAAGTCTTTTTGTGTGGCGCAATGAATTGCGGGTAAGGACGGTTGTTTGAAGGTGGGGTAAGTAAAAGGGGCCGAAAAAAGGGGTAGGAAAAGGGGTGGCATAACCGTGCACAAAAGGCAGGTATGAAGTTATGAGTTATGCGAAGTTGATATTCAGATGCATGTGCAATGACCCTTTTGATGTCTGAGCGGGCGTCAAAGCAGAAGGAATCTGCAAATAAGTCTGGATGACAGTAATTCCGAGCCGTCGACAAAGCGATCAGTGACACCCTGCAGACAAAAAGTTCGCTTGCCAATGTCCCGAAGCCCCCTGACTGGTTGGACGACTGGTCCATGCATGGCACCATCGATGCAGCTCGATAGAGGCTGCATGCGTTAGCTTTGCATGGCTGGCCAGCAGTCAAAGAAAGGAGGGTTTTCTGGAGAAAGATAGCTGCCGCTGTTCATGGCTAGGCACCAGGGAGACGTGGTCTAAAACACAATCAGTAGCACTTTATGTCTGTTGATTTGGATTCGGAGTATGTCTCGTCGATTGGACTACCTACCTAGGTACGTTAGGTAGGTCCCTACTATGGCCGGGGATTAACTCTACAAATGTCATCACATGCGACTCCAAGATGGCTTCAGGTGCAAGCCTCAACCCGTTGGAGAATATCTCCGAACCTGCAACATCAGCTCCACCAGGTCTCATTTTCGGTGAAAGTCTGGCCTCTCGTTCGTCCATGCAGGATACTCTAGAGCCACACCCTCACTT